GGCAGGAGCCAAGCAACTCACCACCATGGACCAGCAGCTCTGCCTTGCAGAGCACCTGTCCTCCTGCATTCCGGGCAAGGCACGTGTAGACACCAGCGTCGTTTGGAGCCACGTCAGTCAACACCAAGGAATACTTAGTTCCATCCTGCCGCTGGCTCAGCCTGTCACTGTTCATCAGCTGGTTGCTGTCCTGAACAGACAAGAGGCAGGCCGGACTACCATCAGCCTGTCCTGGGAGATACTTGCGCCTGGACCCGCACGGTCGTCCTGGAGCAGTGCTTCCAATACCTGCTGTATGCCCAGCCCCAGGTACAGGCCAGAAGAGGGATGGGAAGGTATAGGACAGGACTGCAGGGTGGGGCCGTGGAGTGGGGGCTACAGATTGCATGGTGGGGTGCATGAGCCCCAACATGTCCACGTGGCTTCATGTATATATGCACCCACACCCTCAGGCTCCCGAAGCCTATCTCCTCCTCCTGCAGCCTGGGTCTGCTCTTACCTTGTACCAGGTCACTGTGGGAGGTGGGTTGCCTTCAATGACAGCATCAAACTGTGCCACGTCACCAGCTTCTACCTGGACATCCTCAATAGTGACCTGCATGGATGGGGCCCCTGGGAGAGGGGGAAAGAGAACCCATGTGTGGACCATCAGGCTTCACAGCCCTGGGTGCACAGTCCACCACGTACATCTGTGGTCAGTGAAGCCTTGGACCAGAAAGCCCACCTCCTTCCCTGGTGACGGGGACCCCAACCACCTCACTGCCTAGGCATCTAGCGGGCGCAAAGGGCTTTCCTCATTCTAGCCTCTGTTTCCCCTGCCTTAATTTCAGCCAGCCAAGCAATCACATGGACAGTCAAGCCAAAGCAGGCAGAACGCTAAAAATCTCTCTCAAGTATAGAACCTGCAGGTACCACATTTGCTGCTGGTGGTCTCTTCCCAGAGAAGAGGGAAGGGGCTGCTCAGAAAGAGGAGGGTGGGGAACGTGGGCTGAGGCATGCCACGTGATGTAATCAGGCCCTCATAAAAAGGCCCGTTGCACCCAGCATGAGTACAGCCCCCATCTGGATAGCATGGGTGCCCCCCCCATCTGGATGGCATGGGTACATTCTCCCTCTGGATGGCATGGGTACACCCCCCATCTGGATGGCATGGGTGTACCCCCCTCTGGATGGCATGAGTACACCCCCCATCTGGATGGCATGGGTGTACCCCCATCTGGATGGCATGGGTACACACCCCTCTGCAGATGGCATGGGTGCACCCCCCTCTGGATGGCATGGGTACACCCCCCATCTGGATGGCATGGGTGCAGCCCCCTCTGAATGGCATGGGTGCACCCCCCTCTGGATGGCATGGGTGCACCCCCCTCTGGATGGCATGGCTGCAGCCCCATCTGGATGGCATGGGTACATCCCCCCTCTGGATGGCATGGGTACACCCCCCATCTGGATGGCATGGGTACACCCCCCCTCTGGATGGCATGGGTACATCCCCCCTCTGGATGGCATGGGTACACCCCCCATCTGGATGGCATGGGTGCAGCCCCCTCTGAATGGCATGGGTGCACCCCCCTCTGGATGGCATGGGTGCATCCCCATCTGAATGGCATGGGTGCACCCCCATCTGGATGGCATGGGTACATCCCCCCTCTGGATGGCATGGGTGCACCCCCATCTGGATGGCATGGCTGCAGCCCCATCTGGATGGCATGGGTACACCCCCCTCTGGATGGCATGGGTACACCCCCCATCTGGATGGCATGGGTGCAGCCCCCTCTGAATGGCATGGGTGCACCCCCTCTGGATGGCATGGGTGCACCCCCCTCTGGATGGCATGGCTGCAGCCCCATCTGGATGGCATGGGTACATCCCCCCTCTGGATGGCATGGGTACACCCCCCATCTGGATGGCATGGGTACACTCCCTATCTGGATGGCATGGGTGCAACCCCCTCTGGATGGCATGGGTATACCCCCCCTCTGGATGGCATGGGTGCACCCCCCTCTGGATGGCATGGGTACCTCCCCCCTCTGATGGCATGGGTGCACCCCCCTCTGGATGGCATGGGTGCACCCCCCTCTGAATGTCATGGGTGCACCCTCCTCTGGATGGATGGGTGCACCCCCATCTGGATGGCCCACTTCCATACTTGCAGCACTTGTATCAGGAGCCTGGTACACATAGGTCCTCTGTGTGGTCTCCATGACGACTCGGCTGTGCACATCCAAGAGCAGCTGCCCTGTGCCTGCACCTGGCCAAGCTGTTCCCTCCACCCTGGAGTCAAGGTAGGGTGGTCTCTGCTCAGTGAGACACCCTGACTCTGTACCTCTCAGGTAGCTGTGCCTCAGGACGGGATGGTGACCCTAGTGTCCCTATTTGTGAGGTCAGATGTATGGGCAGAGGCTTCAGGCTTCTCTCTTAGGTTCTAGGGTGGGTCCCTCTTCCCTCCCCTGCCCACCAGCTTGGGTTGGAACCTGTAAGAAGTATGTTGGAGAGCATTAACCCTGCCAACTCTTCAAGGCCACGAAGCCAGAGCAGGTGGGCCAACCTGCACTGCCAACCCAGGACGTCCCTCGGAGGGCAGGTCCACCCACACACGACCCATCTAGTTCAGGAAGTTACCGAATGGGTACAGTCCGTTCCTGGGCCCCAGAAGTTGCTGTCGTCTCCTGCTCCAGACCTTTGTGTGTGTCAGGCTGTGAGACCTCTGGGGACTCGGCTGGTAGGAGACAGGAAGCCTGGTGAGCTGAAGCTAGGCTGGAGTCAGGAGGGCATTCTTTAACAAGCACGGGGCCCCATGTGCCAGTGTGGGGTGAATCGCAAAGTCAAGAGTGGCTCCAGAACCAGGGCCCTCAGTAGGAACCAGGCCCCCACAATGAGCCCTGGCCCCCACAGCATAGTAAGGGATGCTGGCTGTCCTGTTGAAGCCAGACATCGAGGTCCTCCAGTTCCCAGTAAGGTGACAAGCCTGATATCCTAGCCCACCAGCCAGGCTGGCACTGGGAAGGAGACGCTCTGCCCAGACTGGCATAGGGATGGAGAGGCTCTGCCCTCCAGAACCTGCACATCCAGCCAGGCTGGCATTACAGTGACATGAGAGCAGGACACAGGTTGCAGTGTAGGACTCCATGGAGGACACTTTACTCATCGACAAGGTAAGGCACACCACACTGACTAGTTAGAAAAGAAGAGTTTGGGCCAAACTAAGGGGACAGATGGCACATCTGGGGAAACTGAGACTCTAGGTAGAAGTGGGCACCTGGTACATGGCAGGGGTGGGCCCAGCTCACAGATAGGAAAACTGAGGACAAGTTAAGTAAGGTTAGGCCTTGACCAGGCAAAGTACACGATGGCACATGCGGCCATAAAGATTCCAAGGTGACCCAGAGCTCTGCAAGTTTGTTAGCATGAAGCGGGCAATCCAAGTGACCCCTTGGATGGTATGGCCAAGGATGGGATGGGGTTAGCAAAGGCAGGGTTGGGGAGAAGAGAAGCCTTTGGAGTCAGCTCCCCACTGGGCCCCACTGGGCCTCACCAGGTGTACCTGAGGCTGTCAGGCCTGGGATCTGGGGAGCAGCCTCTTCAAGTGCAGGCGGCTCAGTTTGTCTGGTGTGTGGGAAATCCCCCGGGGAGGAGCTGGGGGCTTCTGAGCTCAGCACTCGACAAAGGACAGAAGTGGCTTCTTGGTCAGTTACATCCTGGGAGGGATGGACAGAGTCCTCCACAGAGGCGTCTGTTGGACAGGAGAATGGGAACACATGGTAAGTCTGGCCTGAGGACCGAAACCCCAGGCACAGGCTCCGAGTGCCCACCCCAGTTCTCAGTCTGCCTTCTCACGCCTGTCCTGCCGTCTGCTGTTCCCTGCTTTGGAAACTACCTGCATGGGGAGGCCCAGGAGGATACGGGACAGTGAGGAGCTCTGAGCCCAGGGGCAGAGGGCCACTGTTTCCTCCTCCAGAGCCATGGACACCCAGGGTCACCCTCCTTGAAGCTAAAGGTCAAGCACATCTCCTTCAGAAAGCCCATCTTCAACATGCGTACAGTCCCACACACCTTCCATCCAGGCCTGGCTCCCCTCAAAGCAGGCTCCAGAGTCCAAAGCTTAGACAGACTGGCACATATCAAGGGCCAGGGGAACCGAGGATTGGGAGTACAGGAAGCCACGCCCATATTTCACCTCCCAGGGCATGCAGGCCTCGCCCCATGTGACTGACAGCTTCCTGCCCTTACCTAAGTGGTCCAAGCCCAGCCCAGGCCTGTGTCCTTTCCCAGCTCCTAGTGAACAACCCCAGGATCCTCTAACCCTCTCCTGTGTGGTTCATTTTCTCTCCCCTGTACCTTTCAGACCCACATGAGGTTCCCACACAGCTGCCCCAGGATTGTTTACCTCTCCTTTGCTAGCAAGTCCCCTGCCCAGAACCTTCTCCCCACCCAGATCCTTCTCAGTGCTTGCTGATGAGGCATCTCTGATACCCCCAGACCCAGGCTGGATGGGCACCCAGACACTCTTCCCAGCTCCAAGAGATCAGCAACACCCTTAGAACAGCCTCAGGGCCAGAGATTGCCTGGCACTCACAGACAAGTGCAAAGACTGTAGGTCATCTCCTCTGAAGACAATGGAATTGACCCCTATATGCTAAGAGCTTAGGGCATGTGGGTCACCTAGTCTCACTCAGGACTCCCATTTCTCCTACAATAGCCTCAACTATCCATGGCTTAGGAAAGCCCGCCCAGATTCTGACAGGCCAAAAGGGGCCAAGACGGCTGCCCTGGTCCACACTGTGGGTCTCAAGGACCAGCCCCATAGACTGTCAAGGAAAGATTCACTGCTGACCCTACTCTACCCATGGAGCTCAAGACAGACTGGGACTGCATGCCCATCATCAGGGTACACAGATAGCCAACCACCCTAGGAGTCCTATATGACCTGAGATGTGACCTTGAAAAAATAAGAGTAGGACCCTAAACTTCTAGGTGAACAATCAAGAAGAAGCAGAGAGGAGGGTTTGGGACTTGTTTTATTGTTCTCATCAGGGTAATGGCCTGGGAGTTCCTCCCGCCCTGCAGCCTGTGTCCACCACAGATGTGGCCCTGAAGATCTGCAGAGCTGGTGGCCGGCCAACACATGCCTTGGGTGCAGCCCTAGGGAAGACCCTCAGTCGGGATATGTCTCAGGGAAAACACCCAAGTCCACATCTTGTTTTGAGAGCCCCACAGAAGGTTTGTGGGGTGAAGTCCAAAGCTGGGGTCTCTCAGCTGCTCCTGGCCAGAGCTCTTGAGACCACAGCATATTCTAACATGGTAGGTACTTCCCCATCTTCCCGGCAGAGAACAAGTCCAGTGAGGTAGGAAGGACCGGGCAGGAAAGCAAGGAAGACTCCATCCCAGGCTGGAGAAGAGCAGGGGGTGGGAAGTCCCCGAGGTAAGCTGTGGGTTCCAGGGTAGACGCTGGTACCTGGCAAGGCCCGAGGCTCTGGGCCATTCGCCTTACCTTGTTGTCCCCAGGTTCTGTCCCCAGGGTGTGGCATCAACCCTGGGAGGGGCCTGGGGCCTCTCCCCCATCTGGGTTAATATGCAGAGTGACTGTCTCTCCTACGGCCCCAAAGCTGACTGTCTGGGTAGAGACCTCTGTCTTGAAGCTATTCTGGCCGCCATCTACAGAACTCTGGACATGGGTGTGGAAGGAGCTTGTCCAAGGGGTGGCACCCACTGGCCCTGTCCAGGCTTCACGCAAGAGGAAGGAGACACCCTCGGGGCTGTGGACCTGGGGTCCTGACCTGAAGAAGCTGGGTATGGCACTGGGGCCTGGAGGACGCCCCACGTTGAGTAGGACAGGTTGCCCCACAGTGGGCTCTCTGATCTCTCTCTGGAGCACGGAGACTTCGCAGGGAGGTTCATCAGGGGTGCTGGTGGTGGGGTTCCCACAGCCAAAGGTCTCTCCTTCCTGGGGTACGTAATCTTCCAGGTCAGCCAATGTTAGCACCCGGCCGTTGTGCGTGAGGATTTTGGGGTCACGGCCCTGAAGGCTATCCGCATCCTGGGGTTCTTCTAGTAGGACAGTATTTTCTTCTCTGTCGCTGTTTCCTTCATCCTTTGCAATGTTCTCTTCCTCCTGGGAGGCTCTGACCTCCTTTAGCTCAGGGCTGGCAGCTGCCCAGTTCACTTTGCCCATTGGGTCCACATGGAAGACGAAGGGTTTACCAACGTGGACTATAGGGGGGCTGCCGGTCCGAGACTCCTGGGACACACTCTTATTGTTGGAGTTGTTGGCATTTGGGTCCCTGCCAGCAATCCCACTAGGCAGTGTGAAGAGGAACCCCTCTCCACTGCTGGGCATCTCTCGGACAGGAGATGCACCCCGTGACCCTGTCTTCTTCACCCGGACTTCAATGGTTTCCTCAACCTCTAACCACTTGGGCTTGGGCTGCGAGGCTGGAGCGACGGCTTCAGCTTCTGTCACATATAATGCAGGCACTGGGGCCTTCCTGCTTGCTTCTACCTCAAGTCTCCGGGATGGGCTGGTCCCTGGTGGGTACAGCATCTCGGGGGCCAACAGCCCTGGCCTCAGTGGACTGGCAGAGCGGCGGGAGGGTGAACGGGAGGGAGACTTGCTCGGGGACTGTCGTCGGCCACGGGGACTCTTCACTACTGTGGTGATGGTCTCTTCTCTGGCAAGGGGAGAGGGCCCAAGAAGAGATGGGCACGAAGACCCACAGCCTCACCCAGCACAGTGCCATCAGCATACGCCAGAGCCCGGGTTAGTGCATGTGTGAGTGAGCAGAGGCTAAGACAGCACAAACTCCTGCGCATGCGCTTGAGCCCACCCTGCACAGCCCTCGCTAAGAAAACCATAGGAACAAAGCACAAAGTCCCAGTGATCAACCTCAGACATCAGGATGTGATCTGAAACAAGAGTCCTGGGTACCTCCCACCACCAAGTGAGGTGTGCTTTACAAATATCCCTTGTGCTGGTCACCCCTCTTTCCCATCCCCGGAGTAGACTTTGTGCTTTGTCCCCAAGGAGATAGTACCTGGCCAGCTCTCAGTGCCCCAAGCAGCTCGGCTAATAGGGATTGATGGCTGGCTGGTGCAGCAGCCACATGCACAATAGCAAGCCCAGCATGCCGCTGGCTCTGACTTGCAGCTGGGGTTCCTGGTCTCTGGGATTGAATGGATGAGAGCAGTGAGAGCTCCCCAGGCCAATGAGGACACCTGAAGGAGCTACTTAGCTCTGGACCTCTCTGGGCTGCCAAAGGCCTTGGGACTTCTCACATACTTCGTCCCCTCTTTGAGTTCCACCTTCCAAAATGGGAGTGAAGGTGGCAGGAGAAGGAGGTAAAACCTGAGCACCAGGGTGAGTGACAGGCATTGGCTAGGAATTTCCAAGTTTTTGAGTTTGGGCTCAATTGCTTCTTGCTCCCAGTAGAGGAAGGGATAAAAAATGGAAAGGCTGAGAACTTTCCCAGGGCTATGTCACAAATAATGGATATCTGCGGTCTCCTCTGGCACCAGGGACCATGATCTGGATGTCTCAAAGTGTCTGATAATACTGCTCCCCACAAGGCAGATACAGGCAATCATCTGTGCCAACCTCCAGCATGGGGCCTTTCCAAGGCTAGGGTGGTGAGCATAGGCTGGGTGGCAACATGGGAGCAGACGCCTTAGAAGCAGAGAGGTGGATGTAGGGCACTAAAGGATAACCTAGATTTCATCCAAGGTCTGCAGACAGCAACATGGCCACCCATGGCACAGAAGAGACCTCCCCTTATTGGGCTTCCCTGTCTCTTGTACCCTCTATAGAGGAAGGCCTCCCAGATTCTCCTGGTTCCCACAATCCCACATTCAGTGGGGTCGCCATGCTCCGAGCTCCTGGGATTCATACATAGGATTTTTGTTTGAGCTTTAAAAGCACTGGAGAATGAAGAAAAGGCTGGCTGGCGGAAGTGGCTCTCAGATGGCCTTCTTACTTTCCAGAACCTCAGTTTCCCCATCTTCTAAATGTAACAGCTGGACTTGGAGACCCAAATGCCCCAGGGCTCTGATATCTACCATGGTAGCATTATTTAGGTTAGATCCAATGAATAAAAACTGGGTCACATTTAAGATTTGGCTGTCTGTTGCACTAGACATATTTAAACGCTGTTGGGCAGAGCAGGTTATGGAATGGGACTCTTTCGCTGCAGAAAGCCCTGTCACGAACATTGCCTAAGGGCAGAAACCTGTCTTGAGCCTATTGAGGGAAATGGCTTTCATTGCCAGCTCTCCCCAGCTGCTGGAAAGCCACTATCCTGGTGAGTCGCCATGAACTATGTAGAATAGCAGCACCCTGCGGGGTGTGCTCTGAGGCCTCAGAAGAGAGCTGTGGTGTGTACAGGGTCCACAGACCCCAGGAAGTGGCTGGGCTAGGTGCCTGCAAGAATCCACAAGATGCTGATGACCCATGCGGTATGTGAAGGTTAGGTGCACAGGCAGGCGGGCAGGCTGGCAGGCAGCAAGGACATCAGGCCGGCAAGGTGAGGGGGTTAGTAGCATGCATGGGCACGACAGTTAAAGGAAGATGAGAGTCACGCCTGCACTTACATGATGACGGTTTTCTTGGGGACTTTTGTCTCCTGCTCAGTGACTACAAAGAAAACAGTCGGAACAGCAACCGTTACAGACCAGCAGCGTCCCGGAGGCTGAGCTGAGTGGTGTTGATAGCGTAGCAACCTGTTTGGTGTAGGAGCATTGGCCCTGCCTATCTGCGTGTTCCTGGAAAGATATTTGCAGTCCAGGAATCCAGTTCCCTCTCTGTGAAACAGGGAACCGTACCTGTCCTATGGGAAGTGTCAACCTTGCATCTCACATGGAGTACCTAGTGACCTTAGGGTACCACAGGACTGGGGGTGGGTGGGAAGAAGAGCCTGCCTCTGTATAAAACCTCACTCGGTCCATAGGCCATGGGAGTCCTGGGAAGTTGTCACACTTAAGGCTCCACTTCTCAGACATAGAATTTGAGCTCGGGCAGGGCCAGGGGTGGGAGTGGGGCTGGGGCTGGAGCTGCACACGGAGCCAACAGCCACACTAAGACTAGGATAGGATGACCGATGCCTCTTTTACAATAACATCACAAAGACTGAAAATGGGGATGGCACAGCTGAGCTCCGTGGTGGGAGGCCATGGATGTCCTTCTAGCAACAGCCCTAGACAGTGCCTCAGGATGGGAAGACCTGTCTCTCAGGAGAGACAACCCCAGCATGTCTCTGTCCTATAACCAGCAACTCCCACCTCGTGTGTGGAGCTCTAGGTTGAGAAACTGGCTGGGACTCATTTGGGACCAGACTGTCTCTGGCTCTATGCAGTAAGAGGGCTCTTCACTACAGTACCCTCAAATGGGTTCTCCCAGGTGCATCCCGCAAAGGCTCGGCAGCCAGGCCATAGGCAGCTCATAGACTACCTACATCCTTATATCTTAGTAGACTTCTTTATAACCTTGTGGGGGAAACTGCTCAGGGGTGTAGCCTGGGACACTATCTCATAAGCCCTGGTTTGCTGCAAGTTCACACAGAGGAAGGCAACAGAGTGTGACAACCTCTCTCAGCCAAGGTGCACATGAGATAAGGTAACATCAGTCTGTGTGTATAGAAGATGCATTTATTATGTGTTGTGTATAGGCACATACATGCATATTTATGTTTCACAAGGCACATATATGCTTATACATGTACATACATAGGTTTGTACACATATGCATACATGTGGGTGCATGTGTATGTGTGCTCTGTGTGCATGGATACACACATATGCATGCACATATGCATGTAGGCATGGATGTGTTTGTAAATGTGTGCGTGTAAAGGTTTCCCCTAATGGGAAGGGACCCCGCGGTGAGAGTCTAGGTTCCAGCCCCAGAGCTCGGTGTACACAGATGAACAACGTGTTTCCCACCTGCTCCAGCACCTTCACCCTCCCTAATGGATCCCACTTCACTGCTCTCAAGAGCAGCGGGCACAACACCTCAGAGATGCTACATTCCTGGTCCCTCCGCTCACAGCGCTCAACATGACCAGCTTTCGGCCTGGGTGTAACTGGCAGCCACAGGCAGGCTGCAATAGTGCGAAGCAGGGCTCCCAGCCTGAGGCAGGACAAAGCAAGAGGGCAGCCACACCCACAGAGTTCCGTCAGGCTACTCCGGCTGCAGAGCCGCAGGGTTAACAGGAAGCAGGACGGGGGTTAGGAAGCAGGTTGGCTGGACTCTGGCTCCAGGGTCTTCCAGGACCAGCCTTCTCGCCTCCCCAAGGCGTCGAAACACATCCAATCCCAGTGAGTCCTGGGCCTGCTATTCCATGCTGCCACCCCTCTTCTGTCCCAGAAAAAGACTCATCACGACAACCAAGTAAATGACTGTGTGGGATGCGCTTGCACGCCATGAGGTGTGCACCCCACAGATGCCAATGGGAAGAGAGTGTGCCGGTGGCGGCAGATGCCAGTATGCATGGTGCTCCAGTAACCAGGTTGTGGGCAGACACAGCATGTGTGTGGCAAGTCACAGGAAAGGGTCTTTGACCCTATGGGGGACAAGAATCAAAGACCTTTGCTCATCAAAGAAGGAGGGAATCTCTGAGAGGACAGTGGAGGACATCAGAGGTCCCAAGGCTGAGCTGCTGGGCTCTGAGCACCTCAGTTCTGAGAGGGTTTAGATGGCAGGAACTGGTTCCAGTGGCCAAGGGACCACATGAGCCAGCTTTTGATGTTCAGAAGATATATATGTCACCACTTCTACTATGGGCACCGTGGCTCACTTGGTACTGGTCCAGTCTCTGTTATTATGCCCCCAGGGATGTGAGGCTCTCAAACATCTTGGAGCCCTTCCAGATGGGACAGCACTAGCTGGGCTCCTCCCCGTCCTGACTGTCCACGCGACTGTCTTGTCATAACCCTCCTAAGGTAGTCACTTACTGCAATTTGAAACACCGCTCTTGGAGGGAGGTTCATTAAGACTCAAGAAATCCACAAAATCTCCAAGCCGCTGCCAGCTTCCCAAGTTACCTCAGCAGTAACAACTGCTGGGGAGTGGAGCCCAGCAGAGCAGCCTCCAGGCTGTGTCCAAGTTCTGAGAATATGGCCTTTTGAGTCCTAACCCTTGCCAAAGAAGGCTTCCAGTAATATGCCCACATTTGGGTCACCTGTGTTCCTGAAAGTACCCTCCACCATCTCACTGGTTCGCTAATCAAGACTTGAGTAAACATGTGTTTCAATCTGTCAACCATGCCATATCTTGGATAAACAGACATTTCGTCTCACTAGTTAACAGTCGCAGAACACTAGTGGTGGCTGCATAGGGGCCAGCAGAGTGAGGGACACGTGGGATGCAGGGGTTGTACGGATCCTGCAGTGGGGACTGACATATGCAACTCGGGTTCCACCCTGCTGAGGCCATCGAAAGTGGGGTGATGCCCACGAGTCCTGCAGCAGCGATGGCACCTCAGGATGAAGAGATGGTTCATGAAAAATGTCTGTGAATTATGGAAGGCTAGATGAAGTAGTACCTCCCGTCTGTGCCTGACACCGCTCTCGGATGAAACAACGGATGTGATATTTTCCTACTATACTGGCCTTTTATAATGTTTCTCTTTTAGTAAAGCCCTAGCTGACCAAGACCACTTGATACTTAGAATGGATGTGGGCTGGCCTTCAGAGAACCCACCCGCCTTCTGCTTTAAAAAAAAAAAAGAAGTGACATCACAGTGCTGACCCCTGAGGAGACTCTTACAGATTTGTTAAAGCATCTGGAAGAACAGGGATGGAGTTCAAACAAAAGCACCTACATGGACAGGAAGAAACATACAGTATGGACTAAAAGTCCCAGAGCCAGGGCTGGGCTACTCCTCTACAAGGCCTTACAACCAGAAAGGCTGTTGTCACCGCTGCAAAACACAGGTCTAAATGGTAAGAATCTGCTGCTGAAGCCTTGACACGCTGTGACACAGGACACGGAAGTAAGTTAGCACTGAAGAGGAAATTCCCTTTTTGCTGGCTAGTGCCAGTAGGTGCTGCTTGGACCACTGGGTAACCAATGGTCATAATCAGCTAGGAGTGGCCATGTGCACTACATCACTAACATGCCACACAAGTTGTGTTTGCTAGGACAATGGTGGCACAGTCGTCATAGGGCAACCATTTCCTATTAGATTCAAAGCCTGCTCCATGAGAGGGAATTCACATACGGTACCTCAAGGAAGGGCAAAATACCGTGGTCCCTGAGTGGAGACAACTGGTGTTGCTTTCTTTACTGGCTGTGATGTGCCTATCAAACTACCTTCTAAACATCTGTATTTACATCCATCAATTACTGCTTACTTTGGTAAGTCATTTTGATCAGTCATAGAGGAAAACTTATTTTTTTTCCAGGGAGGGGTGTGCTACAGAGACCCGTAATCCATTAGCTCCCGAAACTAAATGACTATTTCTCTGCCGCACTCAGCCATGGATAGAAGAAAATAATCAGATATATTTACCATCCCTCTGAGGCTCAGAGAACATCAAACAACAAAAGGAGTCAGAAAGAATGGAAGAAGGGTTCTGGGAAGGGGTGGAGTATGATGCGGTTCCATCTTCCAAACTGAACCAATGAACCACGCCTTCGATGAGGGAACCCCATGAGGACACGGGAAGGAAGGAAGGAAGGAAGGCCCCCCTCCAGGTCATACAATGCTGGGTCATACAACACCCATGCTTGGATGTGCCTGTTGGCGACACAGCTGCCTTTGAGTTATTCATGTTTCTGTAAGTAATCCCCCACCCATATGCCTCTAAGCAATCCCAGCAAATTCATCAGCTTACTATGACTTGTGTAGAATTATTTCTTGGGTCCGTTATTGACACCCTATCAGAAGTGAACGGACAGATGTCTGTTTACATCTTCCAGGACAATTAACAAAACTTGCCTTCTGTCCCTAGTCAGGCTAATCTATATCATCTTGTTTTAAATATTTATTTTGATTTTATCTCTGTACACATGGGTGCTGACCCTCACAGAGACAAAATGGCGCCCGATGCCCATCTGGAGCTAGATCGACAGGCAGTGTCCTGACATGGGTACTGGGAACTGAACTCAGGTCCTCCGCAAGAGCAACAATGTTCTCACCACTGAGTTAAATCTCTCCAGTCCCTAGTGAGATTACTCCCACCCCTACCCAGGTACACCAGGAGTAACCCTGAGCCAAGATCAGGACCCTGAACTGCAGCGTTGTGCTTCTCACGGGCAGTCCACACCCACAGGTGTCCTGACACCTGCCCCTGCTCCAGGCAGTCACACCCACAGGTGTCCTGACACCTGCCCCTGCTCCAGGCAGTCCACACCCACGGGTGTCCTGACACCTGCCCCTGCTCCAGGCAGTCCACACCCACGGGTGTCCTTACAGACACCTGCCCCTGCTCCAGACAGTCCACACCCACAGGTGTCCTTACAGACACCTGCCTCTGCTCCAGGCAGTCCACACCCACGGGTGTCCTGACACCTGCCCCTGCTCCAGGCAGTCATGCCTTCTGCATTCAGTGTGGGACCCTCACCCACTCCTGCTGCCACCTGCACAGAGCCTCCATGACCACGGCCAGTCAAGCTGATGGAGGCCCTGCTATGTTCCTCTGCAGAGATAATGCTGAGCAGGACTGTGGGATGCCCGTTATCCAGGGCAACTTCCAGCTCTCATGCTGGGCTCCTGTCTTCTCCAGCACTCTCAGGTACACACATGACCCCGCAGCCGCCTCCTCTGACCGCCTCTACAGCCTCCCCAGCTTTCGGCCTCCATCATTTCCCACCCTGAGATCTAGCCTCCTCCTCCTAGAGGCCCCTCCTGGTTGGCAGGAATGACAGTTTCAGTTCCACCAGGCTCCTTCCAGGCCGGTGGAGATTCCCACGTGGGGCTTAGAACTCGCAAGTCACTGAGACAGCACAGACAGACACAGAACCTACCTTCCACAGCAGCCACAAGCTGTTCTCGATGGTGCTGGTCCCGGGCACGCAGCGCAGGGCTCTGCATGTACAGTTCTCCCCCACCACGTGTTGAGCCCAACCTGTTCACCAGCTGGCAAAAGGACAGCAAAGGCCCATTAAGAACCAGGCTCCTCAAGGGGTCTGGACCCTCTCATTAGAACCACTCCAATGGTCTAGTGAGCCTGGGCCACTCCCCTGAATATGCTCAGGGGAAAGGGCTCCTAGCCCAATCATAGGCTCCCTAGAGACCCATAATGTAAAGTCTGATCTCTTTCTTCCCTGGCCAGGATGTGGCTGCTCAGCTGGGGGTGGAGGGCAGGGGCTGGACACTTGAACAAGAATAGCAGGAACCTACAAGCGGACTCCACTTTAATTTGAAGTCATTACATGGCCCCTGGCATCTGTGCTATCTAATCCAGAGAACCCTTGCTTCCAGGAAACTTGATGGGACACAAGTGCCCTAGGGTTGCAGATGAAGCCATACAGAGGGGGCTGGCTTCCAGACAACAGCTCTAGTAAGAGCTGGACACAGGCCAGAGGACCCAGGCTGGTCTCCACCTCAGATCTGAGGATGAAGAGCACAGAGACGGAGGTTAGCTGTGCATGGGCAAAGGTGAGCTCTGTGCGTGCAATGCCAGCCTCACTGGGCAAACGGCACGACATTTTTACCTAGTGAGTGACAACTGAGGTCAGCACTAGGTCCCTTCCACCAGGCAGATGCTAAGCATCATCTTAAAATGGTAGGGACAATGGCAAGAGGACAAGGTAACAGAGCACAGCCTAATGTGACAGGAGACAGGCTACAAGGCAGAGGGCAGGTGGCTGGGGATGGTGGGTGGCAGCAGCCTGATGTCCTCTGGCTGGCCTAGAGCCTCTACACCTACACGGTGGAACCTGGGTTCAGTCAGACCACTGAGGACGGCTGTTGTCCCTCGCACACAAGCCTCACCTCACACTCATAGTGTCCCAAGTCCTCCTTGCTGGCTGCCCGGATCACCAGCACCAGCACGCCACTGCGGGGCTCATTCAGCATCCGGTACTTGTTGCCCAGGGTTAGCAGGGCACCATCCTTGTACCACCTGGAACCAGTCAGGAGGTCCTGTGAGCCAGTGCCCAGCCAGAGCCATCCTCATGGTACCCTCAGGGGTCTCAGGGCACCTCCAGAGAGAGCTACTAGTGCTTAAAACCCCTGCTAGGTTACCCCAGGTCCAGTGTCCCTAGCTAAATTCTTTACCTGGAAGCCACCGTCCAGCCATTTCTTCCCAGCTACAGAGGGTATCTCCAGCAGGAATCACCATCCCATGATACCCACTTTGCAGTGATCAGTGGCCATAGACGACCTCCCTGGCTTAGGAGATCATGCTGCCCAGCCCTCCCGCCTCTGCAGGAGCTGCGTTCCCATTCTCTGCAGCCCAGGTCTCACCTGATCTGAGGATATGGGGCACCTTCCACAGTGCAGGTGATCTGTGCATCTTCCCCCTCCACAAAGGGTGTGGCCCGGACCTTGTTCACAAATCGTGGGGGCACTGTGGGCAGAGGTAGGCAATGGCAGGAAAGACAGAAAGATGTCTGTGATGGAGCTGAGGGAGAGCTAGGGTGGGGACTGTCGTGTCCTCACCTCCAGAAGCGACCTTCCTCTGGGGGTTTCTAGGAGACCCCAACTCACGGGGCCTGCTCCATCCTCAGGCTCACCCCACACACCACCCTCCCACAGCCTGTATTCTGGGCAGAGTCCACACCACTGACAATGGAAGGGTGTCCACCACACCAGGAAACCCATCCTGCTCACCTTGTACTAGAATCTTCCCCAAGGTGCTGGCATTGCCAGCTGCACTGGCTGCAAAACACATGTACTGGCCAGAGTCCACACTGGTCAGGTTGTCCAAGATGAGGGTACAGGAGCCATCAGGATCTTCAATAAGGATGTGGTGTGGGTCTACCTCCACCGGCTTCCCATCTGGAAAGCAGGGACAGGCTCTTATGGAATAGGTCCCCAAGGGAGAACAAGAGGCTGGGCACAATCTCCCTCTCCCTCTCCTTCTCCCTCCCCCACTCCTGAGTGTCTCTCCACAAGGGCTATCTCAGCTATCTGTCTCCATCCAACTTCAGCATTCTAGAAACAGAGGGTGGTGAAAGGGTCTGAACTGTCGGGGCGCTGGCTCTTGGTCACCTCCTCTCCTCAACAACTGCACCTGCTCTTCCAAGACAACAACACCCAGCATATGTGATGTGGACCCCTCTTCTGTCAAACACCTCCACTCTGAAAGCCTAACGGCATGAGCCATTCCCTCGCGGCCCTTCCTCCTCCTCCCTCATCCAACCCTGTCCTACAGCCAGCCATCCCCTGTAGCAAGACAAGCACCCAGGGTTTCCCCTGAGCAAGTGGAGACCACTCCCAGCAGACAGCTCAGACCTCAGTACTAAGCCCCCCTCCCAGGCCACACCCTTGTGACTTTCCTCTCAAAGGTAAAGTTCCGGTTTCCTCAGCCATGAGCAACCAGAACCTCCCCTCTCCATTTAGGGAAAACGCATCTCCTTCAGGGTTGTCCCTGCTCACTCTAAAGTTAGACACTCTTGGGCCATCTGCAGCAGACACACCAGACACCTATCTTTTAAATCATCACCTTGGTAAAACATATTTGAAGACTGGCAGTAAATTCTGAAACAATAGTGAAAACAATGTGTGGTTCACGGTAAAGGATTCGAGGGCTAGATTGGGCAGGATGGTGCACACCTTCAATCCCAACATTTGGGAGACAGAGGCAGAGACAGGTGGATTTCTGTTTGAGGTCCGCCTGGTCTACAAAGCAAGTTCCAGGACAGCCAGGGCTGTTACACAGAGAAACCCTGTCTCAAAATGTGTGTGTGTGTGCGTGTGTGTAGGCTAAGTCATCCAAGCATCCACCTAAACAACTCAGGTAACCCAGTTTCCTGGTCCCTTCCCAGATTGGCTGACAGAGACAGCACAAAACACAGGAGGGAAAAGAGTCCAAGGATCATTGGAGGTCAAGTCCTCCTTGGTGACCTTGGGTGGTGGCAGGGTGCCAGCCACAGGCTCAGTTAGATCAGACACGACCTATGTGGCTTCCGCTGATACAGACATCCTTGGTGAGACTAGCAGCTGCTGATGGGCCATCTTAGGGACATCGGATGTGGCTCCTTTTGTCTTGGATAATAACTGTCAAAATTTGTTTGAGTTCACAAGACCAGGTCTGCGACATACATCCATTGGAGCTCCAAGTCTGGACTCAGCACTCCGGCCTTCAAGGTCCTTTGACGGTCCATTTCTATGGGATCAGTGCTTTTCTGGTTGGTCAGTTAGGAGCATCCACCTCAGATGTTCAGGCCTGAGTGTGCTCACCAGCAGGGCGGGCTGAGAAACCTAAGATTCGGGGTCTGTTCCCAGTGGGGAGTGCCTCAGAACTATGTTGGCATTCACAATAACCAATCTTTGTCTTCTGCGTCCTCTATGGGAGAATGCCTTATGGGACTCTTGGACCCTGGGATACAGTATGCCCCACCTATTCCCTCTCCTTGGTCTCAGCCAGTCAGTCTGGGGTTGGCCTGAGGGTTTTCCAGAGTGCTGCAGCTAGCTGTGGACCTTCTGGACTCCCCCATGGGAGGGATTCCTGAGAGCACTGCTCTGGGTTCAGTGTGGGTCCCCTGAAAGTTCCTGTGTTGGAAGCTTGGTCCCCAGTGTTGATACTGAGGAGAACCTTTTAGTGGAGGGCTCCAGGTGAAGTATATTGGGCAACGGAGGATGGTGGATTGGGCTGCGGAGCAAGTGGATTAGACCACAGATAAAAGCACCTTGAGAAGGGACTGATACTGATCTTTAAGTGTAACTCAAATTTTCAAGAGTTATTTGGAGAGCAAGCCCAGATGGAGTCCCTCTTCCTTCCGGTCTGCCATGATTGCTCCCTCCATCTATCTGATATTCTCATCATCGTGCCTGTGGCCACACTGTACTGCAGACAGACAACAGGAACCTCACCAGGTGACAGGAACCTCACCAGGTGACAGGAATCTCACCAGGTGACAGGAACCTCACCAGGTGACAGGAACCTCACCAGGTGACAGGAACCTCACCAGGTGGCAGGAACCTCACCAGGTGACACTGCTTTTAGGCCTTTCAGGCTCCAAACCCTGATATTAAAAAAAAATCTCTTTAGTTTATAAAGAATACATTTTTTTTTTTTAGGTAGCACACGCCTTTAATACCGGGACTCAGGAGGCAGAGGCAGGTGGATCTCTGAGTTCAAGGCCAGGCTGGTCTACAAAGCAAGTTCCAGAACAGGCACCAAAGCTACAGAGAAACCCTGCCTTAAAAAAAAAAAAATTCTTGTTGCTTTGTTACAGCAACAGGAAACAGAAGCCCGAATGTCTGCAGGCTTTCGCATGGTTTTGGGCAAACTTTAAAGTTTCTGAGACCCATCATTTTTCCAACTGAAGACTCTGGCAAAGGAAGCCCAGCCTGGGGTTTGGATCTGACCTCTTTCCAACATGGCCACTAGACATGTCACTTCCGAAAACCAACTCTTTGCAGGCTGTGGGGCTCTGGTGGAAACCAGACATTCCGCTCAGTGATGCTCTATGTGTCCATTCTATGATGAGCCAGCTTGGATGCCGTGACAAGCATGACAAGCAGTGCCCAGCCAGCCTCAGTCACCAAATTCACATGAAAAGCAACGACCCTCCCAGAATGGGGTACTCTACCTTTCTACTCCCAAGGCCGAACTTCTTCAGTTCCCTAAAGGTCTGGACCCATGAATCATTCATTTCCCAGGCAAACAAAAAGTCACCAGCACACAGACCGAGCGCTGCAGCTGGGCAGAGGTGCCATCCTCTGCTCACTGGGCAGAGTTCAAAGCCATTCTTGTAGCTTTGCCCCATGCTGCTCTCCTTAGTGAAGACCATTACTTCCTTACTGAGCCAGCTGTTTTGTCATGTAAAGCTAGAGTGGCAGGTTAAAGGAGCCCCTTTTTCGGGCCACAAAACATAAGTCAAATAAACACCTGAAAGATTAAGGACACCTAACCCAGACCACCAGGACTCTTGGATGGAGCCATTACAACACAACACCACCAGCTATGCTCACACCAGACAGAAGGCTACTGAGAGATGCTCTCAAGTCTACTGAGAGATGCTCTCAAGTCTACTGAGAGATGCTCTCAAGTCTACAGAGAGCATGGTCACATCACATGGAGTACCTACACCCCACCCTGGCAGGTGGTCCCATGAAAACAGACATATTGTTTCTGATCAGTGAATGTGGCCTTGTGGCCAGCATGAGCCACATGATGCCATGGGGGGGGGGGGGCTCCTGCCATCTGATGACTGTCCACAGTGGCCACTCCAGGACCTAGCTGTCCCTCATGCCCTCTGGTCCACACTCCTCAGGAAGGTTTTTTTGGGTCACTGAAAGTAGCTGCCCCCTCCTCCCCAAAAAACTGTCTCTTCCCCTGCAGGCTCCTTACTGGGATAAAAGGAAAAAATGGCAGGGGCTGGTTACAAGGCTTCATTTGCCCACTAACAACCCAGCCAAGGGAGATGGGGCACCAGGGGTTCAAACTGACCTCTGACTTGTTTTTATGAAAAGGTGCTTTGCTTCCTACACTTGACCTCTGAACATAAGGAGGGGGATTGGATAGATGGGTAAAGGGGCAGGTTATGCATAGTTAGCTGTGAAGGAACCTTCCAGTCCCAGGAGCAATGGTCACAAGTGATCTTCTCTAGAGCCGAGAGATGACACCCAGGGCATCTCTCTCAAGTCACCATCAGGAGCCAGTCCCTCTATTCCCACCACCCAGTGAGAACTAGGCATGTTTCAGGATGCTACTGCCCGCTGTATCACAGGAGCAAACATGCCTTTGTCCTAGACCTTAAGTCTGTGTGTACATACATCTGTGTATATGTGCGGCATGTCTGTGTACATATATATTTGTGATGTTCATGTATGTGTGCATGTGTAAATGTGTGGAGCATTATCTGTGCATATGTATTAGTGAGACTCTATGTCTGTGTCTGTAGTGTTTGTATGCATGTGTACTGTCTGTCCATATACCTGTGCAGTATACATATGAATATATGTTTGTATCTTTGTATATGTGTACACATGCAAGTATACATCCAGGCATGTATGTGTCTAGTGTGTACTTTTGCATTATATTCATACATATGGCATGTTTAAGTATGTATTGGTTTAATGTTCAAATTACATATGTGTGTCATGTATATACAAGTATGTGCAGTTTGCATGATCTGTGATGGGGTGGTCCACAGGTAGGCAGGTGGACCCAGGTTTATTTCAGTCTTGGGACTGGCTCTAAGTGATGGTCACTGTCAAGCTGGTCACCTGCCCTCATCCTTGCTGATGGTCCATTCTCTCTCTCTCTCTCTCTCTCTCTCTCTCTTTCTCTCTCTCTCCACTCACTGTACCTCATCTCCCCAGACTCTGGAAGTCAGATGACACATGGGCCCACTAATGCCAACGAGGAGTCCACGGTACAAGCTCCAGGCCTTACAGACACCTCCTATTAGTGTCTGTGGTGGGCACTCTGGGCTCTGGCAGTGTCAACCTGACTTCAGACTGAGGTTGGCCGTGTGAGAAGTCAGGCATGGCCACTGACCCAGACCCAGGTAATATCCTGAACTAGAAGGCTCGAGTGAGCTTTCTGGCTAACCGTACTCTGTTGGTCGAGGCACTGATGCTGGGGGACAAGGGAGCTGGGCACGTGACACTGGGAGGGATAAACACCAACTTACACATGGCAACTCACGGACATGCCCATCTGCCGCCAGCCTGGCCCCTTGCGCTGCAGTAAAACCCAACCCTGACGAGAACAGCTCTGGGCATTTCCGTGAGTCCGTGGGGTGAATTGTGGAACTGGAAGAGGCTCCTGGGACTCTGAGCCTGCAGCTGGTGTTAGTGAGAGGGCTTTGGGGATTCCCAAACTTGGCACCAGAATTGTGGGTGCTCTTGGAGACCTCTGAACTTGGCATCAGGAAACCAGGTGCTCCCTGAGTGGCCAGTCCCTCCACCCAGAGCCAGGATGTCTCCCAGACTCAAACTGATACCACGGGCCATGTCTGGGTCTGTGGTCCAGCTACAGCTGGGGTCTGTGTGGATGTCTGTGGCCTGCGTCACTGCAGAAGGCCCTGGAACCATGCAAGATGAAATCAGAGGACTATGCTGAGCCAGCCCCACCCTTTGCTGGCCCTGGGAAAGCTGACCTTGCCTCTCACGGGCCACTGGCAAAAGAGTTGGTCTCTGCACACTGGAGAGATGGCCCCCACCCCTCACTACAGGTCAGGGTGAACCAACCCTGAGGGCATGCATGTAGGGGAGCTGACTCCACCTACTCGCCCAGGGTGGATGGCCCCAGGGGCCCAGACTGACAAGCTTGGCTACCATCCAGGTCTACAGCCAGGCCTGGAGTTGACCCGCCCTAGCATCTACCCCATCGAGGATCTGCTAGAGCTGGTGAAAGGACTGGCCCTATGAAACGGCACCCACACGATCTCCAAGACTCATGCCAGCCACAGGATACCCCAGAGGAGTTCCTGTGAGGACCCAGTGATGATGGTGCACCGGAGACCAGAGGCCTTGAACCAGACCAGTGACTCACTGCAACTGACATTTGCCAGTAAAACTGATGGGACAAAGAGGAATGCTATAAGGTCCACTGAAGCCTCCACTGTCACCAGGACAAATGAAGAGGGGTTAGAGAAACGGGAAAGAAGGAGAAGCAAAGAGAGTTTTCTAATGTGGTCTTTGATTTTGTTTTGCTTTTTTGTTTTTGTTTTGCTTTTGTTCACTTCCTTGCTTACTCTGTTTCCTTATGGGGGGTGTGGCAGGGATGGCGGAGGATGGGGGTACCAGGAGGTGAACCTGAACTGGGGTGCATGATGTGAAACTCCCAAAGGGTCAATAAAGAAGTTATTTTTTTTTTTAAAAAAAGTGCTTTTGAGGACCTTTCAAGCCACAGCTGATGTCAGGAATGAAGGTTCTAGGGAACCCAAACGTGCAGGTGGTGTCATTGGTGAGGTTGGGTGGAGACTGACCCTTTGCAGCTCCTCCCATCACAGCTGAGGGAGGCATGAGCATCATGCCCCTCAATCTCATCACTGTATCAAGCCCCTCCATCCTCTCGGCTCTACTTCCTCATGTGACTGCGTGCTCGTGACATGTGACTTGTTGACCAGAGCTGCTCCTCAATGCCATGGCTGTTGCTTACTCAGGCCCTCACGTCTGTCTCTCACTCATGCAGAAGTTTTAGACCTGTTATCTCAGAGGGCTGCTTTGTCTTTTGTCATTGCCCCAAGCCACTAGTCCTCTGGGTAGCCACAACACCATCTGGCTTTAGGTTTATTTATCGGTCCATTACCTGTCCCCTACCCTACATCATCCTCCTCTTGACCATCCTCTTGTCCTGTCTCCTGCCTCTCAGGTCTCACAGACCACTGGACAGAGCCTACATTCTCAAGAGGTCCTTCCCTGTTGCAGAGCCAGCACCCCACAGTAAGTCTGGAGACCCTCGTCCCTGGGTACCTTTGTACCAGCTGACAACAGGCTTAGGGGTGCCAGTCACTCGGCATGCCAGCTTGACTGTTTCGCCCAGCTCAGCGGTGCAATCAGCCAATTCCTCTTCAAAATCAGGGGCACCTGAGGATACATAAGGAGGTCCTCATGTTATGAGTACAGGCCAGGCCTACCGTCTCAATTGCACACACCCTGGCAGCTTACCCCACCCAACACTAGGACTCCATGTTCAGCAGTGTGGCTGTTACCATCTGCAGTCCCAACATAGAATCAAAGGTGAGTGAGGCAAACTGGATACAGAGTGGGAAGGAGTAGGGACTACAGTAAAAAAAATAAAGAGTTTGGGACCTGAATTTGCATCCCCATCAACCACATGAGGATGTAGCCTCTTGTGCCTGTATCGCTAGCATTGTGGAGGAAGATACAGGCAGATCCCTGGAGCTCATTGGCTAGACAGCCTCCCTCTAAAACATAAGCTCCAGATTCAGTGAGAAATCCCGGCAGAGAGGGATTGAGCAGAACACCTGATGTCTTCCTCTGGTTCCAGCACATATACACAGGCCCACATACTAACACACATGTGTACATACATGTATACACACATGCATATACCACCAAAAGTCAATTAATTTTTTTCGAGACACGGTTTCTCTGTGTAACGGTTCTGGCTGACCCGGAACTTGCTCTGAAGGCCAGGCTGGCCTTGAACTCACAGAGATCCATCTGCCTCTGCTTCCCAAGTGCCAGGATTAAAGGTGTGCACCACCACCACTTGGTTAATTAATTAAGTTAATTAACTTTTTAAAACATATAGTTTGGATGATATGTTTTTGGTCTGGCTGAGGAACCTGGTCCAAGTTAGAAGATTCCCCCACATCTTGCAGAATCCAGATGGATGTCCTGATCTTAGGGTCTTCGTGTGGGAACCCCCTATGATTTCCCCAAGTGTTTTCTCTCCCTAGTTGGGGGTAACCTGATACTCCACCTGGATTTCCCAGTAAGGGTGCAGTTCTTATACCCCACCCAGAGCTGACAGGAGAGAGTGGAGTCCTCTGCTCTTAAAAGCACCCCCTCATGTCCAGTAGGCAAGAGCCAAGGCAGTGTCACCCCACAACCTGAGACTCAGGGTCCCCACAGCCTGGGTGCAGCCCAGCTGGACACCTAGGGTTAAGAGTCATGTCCCCATCCAATCTTGACCATTATGGCCCAGCCCTACCAAAGGACACTCACGCCATACAGGCTGGGCCAGGCGTTGCTGGATGCCACAGATCTCCTTCACCCACGAGTTTTTGATGATTACGGTCCGGGCCTGCAGCAGGTATTTGCGCACAGAGTCCTCCCGCTCATGCCACACCTCAAAGGCACGGTCATCCCCCTCTACCTGGTCATTCAGGTCGATGCTACTCAGCTGTGGGGAGAGGATATCAGTAGGGAGGATGTGACCATGCTCAGATGATGTGAGATAACGCCAGGAAGGACACACTGGCCAAGGACTAGCCACCAGCATCCACGCCACAGCCTGAGAGGGAAACGGGACTCCACCCATGGCACAGCCACTCCGCCTACAGAGCCCTCAGCAGCCCCTGCACACACAGACCTTCATCATGTTCCGGAACACGTAGCTAAAGGTGTCGGTTCGAGAGTCTCTCCGGGGCTTACAGATCACCAGGTGGTTTCGGAAGAGGAAGACATGCCGGTTGTGGCCCTTCCAAGGCATCCGGGCCCCTGGTGCCCCCTCCCATACTATGAAGTGGCCCTAGAGATGTGAATGGACTCTGGTCAACCAAGCCTCCCCGATGACACCCACATATCCAGCTCTGCACCGAAACCATCAAGTCATCTATGAGCTCCCACCTCCAAAAGCCTCCTACAGTGTCCCACCCTCAGCATCCCAGGGCACCACCTGGCGGATAGGTTCTCCCAGGGCCTCCAGAGTTCCAGGATAGTTCTCCATGAGCGACACATGCAGTTTGTTCTCAGCGCGCTGCGGCAGGGCAGACACCACAGCATAGGCCTGCTCCAGCAGCGCGCAGTTCTGCCGGTTGCGGGCCTTGTTGCGGATTAGTTCCTGGGGTGAGGGTCAAGAGTCATGGATCCAGGATGATCGGAACCCAGGAATCCCCCTCCCTCAACAGGTGCAGCCTGCACAAACGAGGCTGGAGCATATCACCTTCAGCAAGGCTTGGTATTTCTGCACCCGCTCCACTGGCTGCTCTAGGTAGTGCTGAAGTGGAGGTGGCGGTGGCTGCGTGGGGTCCTTGGCTAACAGTGTCTCTTCTGCATATTTCTGTAGGAGCCACAGAAGTGGTTTTGCGCATGAATGCGTGGTCCCTGGGTGGCTAGAGTTACTGCAAGGGTGTCATAGGCACGGCCCTGGACTCCCCAGGCACGGCTATGGCCCCTGGAAGCTAGAGGAGGATACCAAGGGTGCCGACACACATAGCCCTGCACAAGGGTCACCGGGTGGCATAGGGCTTGGGCAGCTTACGTAACGACTCAGGAGTGCAAAGTGTGAGTACTCCTATTGGCAGTTCCCACTGAGCCAGGGTTCAGGCAGGTGGTGGGCAGGCAGTGATGCGGGTTGAGGAAGACAAGCTTGGGCCGGCCATGTGGACCATCAGAGCTACACCTCAAAGGGCATTTGGGCAAGAGCTAAGGTCTAGGAGCAAGCAGGGTGGGTGGCCTTGTGACAGACAGGAAGCACCTTGTAGAACTCCTGGACCGGGGTGCTGACAACCACGGACTCAGCTTGCACGCGGCCCACCAGGAACTCGAGGTACTTCTCAAAGGCTTCCTGGTTCTTGATGAAGCACATGGCTATGTCATCGTCGGTGTCACAGGACTGCAGCTCCTTCAAGAAGCTGCCACAAAGGGGACAGTGTCAGCGCCTCCCTCCACCTACCAGTCCACGCCTTCTCTAGAAGGCCAGACTCCTTACCAGGGCCTGAGCCCTCTGAGAGGGTATGGTGAGTTGTGTGTGCAAGAAGGGCACAGTTGTGTGCCCACCACCCAGGCACAAGTACGACATATATTATATGTGCACATGCACAATAGCATTCATACGTGGTGCAGGTTTTCTAAAAGTATGCATGCCTATACACATAAACATGTACAAATGTGAACACATACACGTACAGACATTGTCTATGTGCAACGTGGTGTGCACATTTCTGGTGTGCACATTTCTGGTGTGCACGAATCTCGGTATAGGTGCATACATATATATGCTCATGTGTACTTGTATGCCTTGTGTGACAGTGCACATGTATAGACACCCAAATGTGTATGCACATGTTGGCATGTATGCTGTGAGGCAAATATAGGTACATGATGTGAAATGTTATGTATATCCTTGAGCAGGGAGGTAAGCATGAGTTTGCATGTGTGTGCAAATATGCACACGCATATTAAGCACACGTGCATGCATAATGTGGCAGCTATGCCTATACACATGTATGCGTGTGTGCGCGCGCCTGCGCATGAAAATCTACATGCATATGGCTGTGCACACACTTGTCAGAGGCAGGTATACTACGGGCTTCATCCTGCATGAGCCAGATACGCAGAAAGAGGAAAGTCTGCCTTGTGACACACTAGTACAGGCTCTCCCTTTCCTCCGTTCCTGCCCCACCCCCACGCCATGAGGCCTGGCCTACAGGTAGCGGCTGGGTGCTCATAGACACACGTGCCTGTATGCAGTCCCACCCCCCTACCTGCTGTGGAAACGGCTGATGTCCTGCACATTACGAAAGATGACTGTCTTCTGGCTGGCCACGGCTGTAGGCACGCGGGGAGATAGGTCCAGGTGCTTCATGTGGTGGCTCTCCAGGAACTGCAGCTCACCCACAAAAGCCTGCTCTGAGTTCAGCAACTCCTGGATGACAGAGCTGGCAGGAGGAGAAGCCATTACGGGGCACTTGGGGCCTCCAGTGGCCACAGGCTCCTGTCCCTGTCAAGGCCCTGGGAACGGCACTGTTACGGGAAAGCCAACTCTCTCATAGCCCCCGTTATCTCAACTGCAAAATTCGGGCACTTCTTGCTACCAGAACCCCTCTGTCAACTTTCAGAGAGGGAATGAGGGGTACCGGGAGGAACCACTCTTCCACATGACTGCCACACCCCCCACAGAAGTAATCTGGCATAGCCCATGAGAGGCCAGCTATGGGAATCAGTATCAAACTGGTGCCCACTCTGTTCCCGACCTCCACCCATCCCCATGTAGAGCAGGCATTCAAAGGCCCCCGTAAAATGGTCAGAACTCCATTTGTACCCTGAAAGAGGCAGAAACAGGTCTCCATGGGCAGTGGGCCAGCCAGGGAAAGCTTACACAGAAACTCACCTCAGTCTTGTTCGGTACTCATCCTCAGACACGGCCTCCCCAGGGAACTCGGGGGCCTCGGTGGGCCCCCACTCAGGAGATAGCTGGTGAGAAAGAGGTGTCTGTCAGAGGCGGGCTGGGCCCTGGCTCCGCCCCTGCGGAGGTGGGGGGAGGGGGGCTCCTAGCTCCAAAGGGGAACAACAATGCCAGAGTCCTCTGGGCCGGTGACCTGAAGACCCTCTTCCCTAAGTTTCCCAGTCAAGTACCTTGAGCCTCTTGTCCAGGTAGGCAGGCGACACCCAGCCCTGCCTAGAAGGGCTGGATTTGGTGGGCTTGGTGCGTACAAGCCAGCGCAGAGGATGGGCCGAATCAAGGACCTCCACATACTGGCCTTCTCTCAGAATGATGGCATCCTGCTCCGCCCCCAGGGGCAGGTAGTCAGCTGTGACCACGTAGATGTCAAAGATCTGATTGGGCAGAGAGAGGAAATGAGTTGGTGGGGGTGGGGGTGGGGGGTGGGATCGGTTTGGCAGACCCAGCCTGTCAGGATCCCTGGTAGCCACCAGAGAAGGGAAGATGAGAAGTCTTCCAAAACCTTGGGGAAGAGGTTGAGTCAGGAGTCCCAAGAAGGTATCAGCCAAGCCTGTCAAGTCCCAGAATGCAGGACAGGAATCTTGGGGACATTTAGTGCAGACCCTGGCTCCCAATCCCACACAAACGGCAGGCATGTGGATGTTCTCCCTTGTCTTCCCCCTAAAGAAAGCACTGCCCCCGCAGGGTCTCTCGCTGGGGCTGCCTATACTACTTATTCACATCCTACTACTTGTCCACCTGCTGCCTGGGACCTAACAGGGTGCCTGCTACACCAGAGGGAGAGGCGGGTGGGAGAAGGAACGGGAGCAGGGCAGGGGAGAAGGCGTGAGGAGGACTCAGGGGAAGAAGTCTTCAGGGATCCCTGGGGAATGGACCCAGTTCCTCACCAGTTCCTGCCCTCAAGCCAGGAACGCATTTCCTGAGGGCCTGTGATGCACTCGCTTTCCAAGACCTCCTCCCTGGGATCCTGCCCCTCTACCTCTCATCCCTATACCTTCCCTCCAAGAGTACCCTCCCCAGAATATTCTCCAAGGGTCCTGACCCACCAACCTCACCACGTGAGTCCCCATCCTCTGACTCTGAGGATGACTCCTGAACACTGGAGGAAGGACGAGACCGGCCGTGCCGAGGAGAGGCAGATGGCGTCTTGGACTCCTCATCACTGTCGCCGCCAGGCACCTGGAGCTTGGCTGGATGGGCACAAGGGTGGTGATGCCCCTCAATAGCCACTTTCTAGATCATGGAGGCAGGAGAGCCTCCGCCCCTGCTCGAGAGCACTGGGCCCCACCGCCCCCTTGGGACACGCACTAGCACCTCACCCTGTGAGATCTTGGCCGACACCATCTCAGTGATCTGTGAGGTGAGCTTCTGCAGGAACTCTTCTGTGCCCACCTCAGCGAGGGACAGGTGACCATGGGCCTCGTCAGCCGCCAGGGTCTCCCCTGGGGTGGCAAAAGTGACCCTTAATCTAGCATCCTCCCCCCATGTCTACTGAGTACCCCCTACATTCTAGGCTCAGTTTGAGCCCTGAGGGATGCCGGGCACAGGAGACCAGGCTTCCTAATGGTGCTGGGGTCTGAAAAGGAGACTAGCCTCTAGGACAGGGGTGTTGAGGCCGGCCCTTGACAGAAGGCTTGCTGTGGTCTGAGCCAATATGCAGCCAATGTAGTTGAGAAGAAAAGCAAGCAAGTCCAGACAGAGAGGACACAGTAGGTGCAGCTGAGGGACACTAGGGGTGGCTAAGAATCAGCAGGGTACCCACTGGGCAGTCAAGGGACAGCCAGTCGGGGAATGGACAACATAGCCAGGATCCAGACAGTTACTAGGGACAGTAGGCACAGTTAAACGGCAGGTAGCTTATGGACAGTGGATACACTGGCCGCAGGTGGCCAGCATGGCTACAGGGTAGAGGGTGAACAGGGAGAACGAAGCTACAGAGGTTTCAGAGTTCGGCTGTCAGGCTGTGAAGGACCTGGAGTATGGCCCATGCCACCTCTGCTCTTGTTGCCTGGCTTGCTGGCCTCCACAGCCCATTGGATGTGAGCTCTGCATCTAGGTTAGGCTTCCCTTGGGATCCCATAGGCTCCCAGATCTACAGAGGTCATAGATGTCTCTGACTCCAACCAAAGCTCAGTCCATAGGAGACCACTGATCCAGCACCATTGCCAGCGGTGACCCTTTCACCTGGCCTGGCTCGGGGTGAAGGGTCCTTAGAGTGCCCATCCCACCTGTACCTTTCCTTTGCCCGGCAAGATCAGCAAAACCTGCAGATTCCGCCATCTGGGCTGAAATAGTTTGGCTTGTCCTGTGGAGACAGGGGCATCCTGAGAGGCCTGAGATAGGAGCTACCACTGTCTCCCACCTTCCATGGTTGGTCTAGGACACCAGTCATCATCTCCACATCAGAGGGCCCCTGGGAGACTATGCTGGGGAAACTGAGGCATGGTAAGAAACAGGGGGTGGCCCAAGTGAACACCCTGTGCAGGCCAGAACTGGTCTATCGGCAGGACAGAGAGATCTCCACCAGCATAGCTGTCCTGTTCCCAGTTCCCAGACCTATTCCGTGATCTTGGCCCTGGGGCCTTGGATAACATCCACTCACCCTTGCAAGAAGGAAGAAATGAGGGCCTCTTTTACTCTCTCCTGCTCTTCCTCCTTGGCCACTGTCAAGAGAGCAGAGAGCCATCAGCATGAAGTCATGGACTCTGAAGTTTCAGGTTCAGACATACTCAGGACATTTGAGCTGCTCCAGGAACCTAGACTCTGTTCTCTGAGCCCTGAGCAGGCACTTTTCTGAAATGGAACTGTCCTGCTCCTGACCATGGTCACCCCAATGGTAACCACGAACATACGAACATGAGTCTACCCTCAGAATGCCAGCCCACGGGGGACTGAGCAAGGCTCTGGAGCAGAGAACTCAGCTCACCCTAGAGACCTGTCCCCACATACAGAGCAGGGCGAGTGCTAGACCTGAGAGACTCTGAAACCCCACACCAAACGCCCCTGCACCCGTGAGGCTGGACATGCTCTGGAGGTGTCCTGAGACCATAGAAGGATGAGAAATACAAATGCTGAACATCCACATATGCTAAGAAGTCTGTGAGCCTGCACTGCCCAGCTCTGGGTCCCCTCCCATTCATATGTACCTGCCTTCCCCCTGACCCTTCACTCACAGCCAGAGACGTGCAGGCTGGCAGAGCAAAGCGCCTGGCCGGCAGCGTTGGTAGCAATGCACGTGTAGGTGCCCTGGTGCTTTCGGCCCACGTCCAGCAAGACCAGGCTATGCTGCTTGGCAGAGCTGGCCATGGTGTAGCCAGGGGTTTCGGGGCCAATCCACAGCACTCCCTTCTCTGCCTCCTCCTTGAGCCAATGTACAGTGGGGGCTGGGTGTCCTGAGGGACAGAGGGCAGTGAGTCCATCCCTGACAGAGACAGAACCCCACCAGGAACTGGGCCCGCTCCCAGGGACAGGCAGTATGTGGCTGTCAGCCTCTCCAGGACAGCTGCCTCACCTTCCACCTTCACTGAAAAGGTGATGCTGGAGCCCCTCTTCACTTTCTTGGGGGTGAACTTCTCCAGGATCCGGGGTGGCACCAGCCGCTCGTGCACATCTGGAATGACACGGCCAACCCATGAGGACCCCCTGCCATAAAAGAAACCCACCCCACCTTAGTGTGCTAATCCCAGAGGATGCCCTGAAACCTATGCGCACTGACCATCCACACTTCCACAACAGCCAGCCCCAGGTCCATCCATTCTGGCTTCCTGCCCAGGATCTACCACCCTCTTGTGTCCATCTGGGGCTATCTCACCTGATGCTGGCTTCTCTTCTGGTTCACTGGGACCTGAAAACACAGAGAAAGTCAGACACTGAGCTATCATAGGTGCTCTGATCCCATACATGGTGCTGAGCTGCCCTGGTAGCTCCACTCCCAGGGCAAAGATACCCAAAGCTCTTGAAACCTTAGTCAGAGAGCTGTGGGAGTCACCACTCAGCATGACGATGGCCACAGGTCACACAAACCTGATAGATAACATACTGCTACCATTCTTGTTACACCCAGCCTCCCCAGACCTGTGGCCTTGATCTGCAACAAATGCATGGGCACAGAAACAACCCAGCATCTTAGGAAACCGCATCTTCCAAGATCTGGCAGAAGAGGCCACAGGTAGCACTGCATCCCTCCTAGCAAGATAGGTTTGGTTCAAGTTTGGATTCACTTCTCATGTTCAGGAAGAAGGAACCTCAAGGCTGTTCCCTGCAGGGCTGACTTCTGGCCACCCGAGTCTCTGCTCACTGGAGCAATGAGCTCAGAGCCTTGGACCCAAGTCTGATAGGGTAGCAGGTCAGCTCTGTCTAGTCCTTCGGGATACCCACCTTGGACTAGCAGCCGGGCCGATGAATAGGCAGCACCTACAGCATTGCTGATGTAGGCTGCATACTGGCCGCTGTCCTCCAGGGTGACCGAGACAATCTCCAGGGTATGCAGGGTCTTTTTGTCAGTCATGCGGATGTGGGCAGATGTGGTCAGAGGCTGACCATCTTTGAACCAGTACAGTTTGGGGGCGGGGTAGCCTGGGGATGCAAAGGCAGGTGGTTGTGATGACAGGAGACCCTGAGCAGAGGTCCCTCAGAGGCCAAAGGGTGCTGGCCTCCTTATGCAGAAAGGACACACACATGACCAGCCATGCTGGCTGGGGTCCTCTCCCAACTGTGGCCGGTAAGACTTGGTCTCTGTTAAGTGAGGTAGTGCCACTTCCTCCTCACCTTTCACCTTGAGCTGGAATTTGGCCAAGCGTGTGCCAGGGGCCACCTGGAGGTCTTTCAGCTCCTCCAACACCTGGGGAAGCTGCCCCTCATCTGACTCGGTCCCCTCTTGCTCCCGGCTGTCAGGAAGGACAAACAAGGGAGCGCCCATAAAGCAACAAGTCAGAAGGTTCAAGGCAGGAGGGTCCGGGGAGTGATGTCAGACACAGAGAGAACCTGAAGCTTCCTGAACTGCGCGACAGAGGAAGCAGAGCCACCAGGGCCTGGTGGAAGTCCCCAAGATTTGACTTGTCAATCCAAGGACCCTAACCCCCTGCCCCAGGCAGCAGCACATGGCTGCCTCCTCAGAGATCCTGAGACCCCACCTGGACAGGTATCCCTGGGCGCTGAAGTATGATGAGGTCTCAGTAGCGTCTGCTGCAGTATCATAGTCTGTGCTGGTCACTGGGAAAGAAAGCATGACTCAGGGACAGGCCTAAAACACAGTGCACCAGAGCTGCCTTGGCTGTGTGAGGCTCTGACCGAGCAACCCTGCAGGGAGCTACCGTACTCAGCTTGGAGAAGGGCAACAGCTGCGCGTACCCTCCCGTGACTGGGCCAACACTTCCAGGCTCTAACTAACTGCAGGCTTCTTTGACCCAACAAACTATAGGCATCACACAATTTGCCATCTCCATGAGTTACAACAGCACAGGCAGGATCTCCAGTTCCATCTTATAATACCATGAGGGGTTAAAGAAATACTGGCTTCAAAACCAACAAGCCATGGACTTTCCAGGCAGGATATAGGAAGAGAGACTAGATTTTTCTGCAGTTATGCTGTTACACATCCAGTGTTTGTGTCCCACAAATATGCATGTTAAAACATTAATGTTGGCCAGACGGCTCAGCAGGTAAAGATGCTTGCACGGAGCCTAACAACCTGAGTTCAATCCTTGGAACCCACATGGTGGGAGGAGAGAACCAGCTCTCATTTGTCCTCTGAATGCATACAGGTGTCATGGCACACACGCAGACACACATATATGCACACGCACGCGCACACACATACGCACATACAATGTAAAAAAGAACCAGAGTGGTATCGGTATTAGGAGGCAGAGTCTTTGGGGGGTGGTCAGACCGCACCCAGGCCACCTGGAAGACACTCAGCTCAGTCCGGCACTCACGCTCTACACGAAGCTCAGCCTTGGTGGAGGAGACTCCCACGCTGTTCTCTGCCAGGCAGCGGTAGACACCCATGTCTGCTGGTACCACAGCCATGATGATGAGCTGGTGACCACCCTGTTGGTCCTCGTTGATCATGTAATGGTCGTCCTCCTCCAGCAGCTTCCCGTCCTTGAACCAACGCACGCTGGGCACAGGCTGGCCTGTTACCACGCAGTCAAAGCTTACGGGGTATCCATCCTGCACTTCTTGGTTCTGCAGCTCGGTCAGGAACACTGGGGCTAGCACAGGCAGGTAGAGGGTACAGAGAGTTAACCCTGGAATGCCCATGCATGCAGATGCCACACCCATGCAGGCGGGTGGTGTGTGACATAGCAGGGTTTCCTAGAAGAGGTTCCCTAAACTCCACAGCTAGACACCCTGAGCTTCTCTCTCCATCCTTCTCTTAGAAGTTTCTTTTGGTTCCCAGTGAGGCAGAGGAGTGCAGACAGAAAGAATTCACAGGCTTGAAGTTTAAACCTCAGGTACCCCAAACTAGGGAGAAGTCTCGAGACACAGCACTGAGGGTCATTCATTATAACCTCCTGGTGGCCTGGGAGAGACTCGAGTGCACAGTGAGGTTGTCTTACTTCCAGCAGTTGACACAGAATCTACCATACGGAATGGACCTCAACACACACTGCTAGTGAAAGATAAAACTGAGGTTCACAATCAACTGTCTAACCTCGAAGTTGGGGCTTTGCTATGTTCCCCATAGGCTGGGGGACAACCAATCAGAGCTCCCTTCTGGTTCTGCCTCATTCAGCCCCCATCCTCTTCTCCCTCTACCCTATCTCAGGCCAACCCCCACCCCCACCCCAGGCCACTGTAGCCCACGGCTCACCAGCATCTGAAGTCTGCAGGCCAGGTGTCTTGGCTAGCGGCACCGCAGGGGTGACATTGGGCGCCACCTTCCCAATGCGCATCTCCACTCCCCGGGGTCCCTGCTCTCCCAGGCTGATCTCCACCTGGATGCCCATGGTGGCAAACATGTCTTGGAAGCAGGTGACTGCCCGGCGGGCCTCTTCAAGTGCCTCAAAACGAATGCACACAAAGTTTTCGTCCTCTCGGTATGTCTGCCAGTCTGCGGGCTCCTCTGACTCGGCGGGGCCTTCATCAGCGCTGACGAAGAGTTCCTCCTCTGAAAGCTCAGCTGGGCTCTTGGTGCGGAAGAGCCGGTGCAGGCGCCGTGCTGCCCGCCGGAAGGCGTCATCCAGCTCGCCTCCTGAGGAGCTCTCGGCCTCACTCTCTGTCCCACTGACCACCACGCAGGCACTGTGGCTCACGCGGCCAAACTTGGTGCTCACTTGACAGGTGTACCGGCCAGTGTCGGTGGGGCCCAGGCCAGTGACCAGCAGAGAGCAGGTGCCATCCTTGAGCTGGTCTATGTGGTAGTGCCGCCCGTCCGTCAACTCTATGCCGTCCTTCAGCCAGCAGGCCCGCAAATCAGCCTTGCTGGCCACCACACACTCCAGGCGCAGCACGTCCCCAGTCTGTGCCTCTGTGTCCCCAAATGTCCGGGAGAACACAGGCCCTTCCTGCTGCTTCATCTCCTTCCGTACTTTGTAGCCCTTAAAGGCAGCCTGGATCTTCACAGCTGCCTTGTCCAGCGATGGATCCTTCAAGTCGGCTGCACTCAAGTCTCCAGGCAGTGAGCCCATGGGCACTCCTTGCTCCTGCTGCTTTTGTGGCTTCATGGAGGTGGCGACCTGGGCCCCATGCTGTGGACACAGAATGTGAGGTCAGAGCAAGGCTGGGAAATGAAGACCAATAACATTCCAGGCCCAGTACCCTCCGGCACTCCATCTGCCTCCAGCGGAGTGGCTGCCCAGGCGCTGGCTGAACCCCTGCTTCGTCTGCTCCCCAAAGCAAATGCTCATCCTAGAAATCCCAGTATGCAGTGACCCAGATGGGGACCAAAAGCACCGTTGGGAACACCAGAAAGGCCAGGCCCATCTCTTCAGGAAAAAGCTGTAACTGTTGTGTGGGTATGAGGTTGAGCGGGTAGTGGGAGGATGAACGGATGGAAGGACAGTTGGGTGGATGGGTGGAGACGTAAGTCAGGAGAAAAGTAAGTGACCAGGTGAGCAAATACAGGAGTAACAAGCAAATGAACTATGAATGGGGGATGGAGAATGAATGGATGAGCAAGGGGAAGAACAAGTGATGCTGGAGAGTGGACCACGGAGAGATGACTGGGTAAACAGATGGGAACATGAACGGAGAAGCCGAAAAAAAGTCCAGGAGGTATGGAGAGTAGATGCATGGACAGGTGGGTGGGGACAGGCCAAACGGTTCAACAGGTGCAGGAGTGACAGGTGAGTGGACAAATAGGCAGACGGATAGACATATGTATAGGGCAATGGTTGGATGGGTGGAGAGACTGATACACAAATGGAATAATGGTGAGTAGAGAATGAATGGATGGACAGATGGACAGATGCAAGGATGGGGGAGAGTGAATGACAGGTCATTTGATGGATGTTAGGATGGTAAGACTACTATGCATGTACGGGTAGATGGTATTGAGATGGATGAACAGATGGATACGTTATGGGATTAAGGCACAGAAAAGGATGGTCAATTTCTGAGACCTCCCTCAGCCGTCTCTTGCATGCCAACTAGGAGGCTCACCTTGCTGGCCAGGGGTGAGATCCCAGGACCCCCAGCCTTCTTGAGGTAGGTAACTAGGGAAGGGGTGCCAGCCCGGGACTCATCGTCAGAGCTGGTGTGTGAGAGATCAGCCTCTCCTGTGCGCACCAGCTCGTCAGCTGTGGAGTAGCCCTCAGAGAGATCAGGGGCTGTCTCTTCCGCCTCCTGCCGCGGATGCTGCACTCGGCCGTCGTCCTCGGGCAGTTCGCTGATAGAGTCCAGTGTGGGCTCCCGACTCATGCGGCGCTTCCGGGCAAGGGCCTCCCAAAGCAGATGCAGGTCACCCTCCTGGGCTGCCTCGGGAGGCAGGCTGGGCTGTGTGGGGACCTCATCCCCAGAGGTCGTGACCACTGAGGAGGGCAACAGGGCAGTCAGTGGGTGAAGTCAGACAGAGCTGCAGCCCCACACCTGCCTTTGCTGCTGGGTCGGGTACGGCCTGGATGTGGTCTTCTGGACCTCTGCTCCCCCGATTGCACCAGGAACCTTATCTGTTCTGAGATGCTCCAAGGCTCAGCTCCTCACCCTTACTCTCACTCCCCTTCAGTCTGGCCCCTGCCAAGGGCACACAGTCACTCAACCAGGACAGGGAATCGCTCAGCAAAATAAAATTAGATGTATTTCCACCTGTTCGGCACTGCTGCTGGTACAGATGCCCAGGCTCGCAGGGACATTAGCACCGCACAGAGAGGATATGCTCACAATGGGGCAGGCTCAGCACGTGAGGGGAGGAGACCCCAGTACAGCATGTGGCTCAGAAGACAGTGCATGGGCTCTGGGAAGGAGGGCTGATAAGGGATAGACTCAGCACCAATTGAAGGACTAGGAGCATGGAACAGGGGACAGGAGACTCAGTGTGGGTAGGACCTCAGGCACAGGGAAGCAGGAGAGGGTCAAAGTGCCTGGTGCAGAGGGAGCCTCCCGAGGATGATGCTCAGAGCCGGGGTGGGTCAGGGTGCAGACAGAATGGGTGTGTGGGAGTGTCTTGGAAGGCAGAGAAGACTGAGAAAAGACTATAAGGAGCTTCAGAAGAGGTCTCAGAACTCCTGTGGGCAGGAGTCCCAGGACTTAAGAAATCCACCACCAGTCTTACTCGGGGACAGGAGGCTGGCCTACAGCACAGTTCAATCACATGAGACCTGCCTTGCCTGGCCAAGCCTTGGTTTCTCTTCACATCTCACGGAGTCTTGGGAAGGATTCAGCTTTGGGTCCAGAGCACATCAAGAAGAAAACTCAAATCAACTCTTCCCCACTCCCACGGCATCCAACCCCAGAGCTCAGACTCACCATTAAAAGTGGCTGTCCCTGAGGAGGGCGGGCCCCGGGTGGGACAACAGCGGTACTCTCCTTGGTCTTCTGTCCTAAACCCCTTGATCACTAGCATCTGCCGCCGTCCCTGAGAGAGGACCTCAAAGTGTCCGCTGGGCTGGATGCGCTCTGTTCCCTTGTGCCAGACGACCTCACCAGCCTCAGCCGCAACTTCCAACTCCAGACACACGTCCTCACCAACCACTGCCTGACGTGTCTCTGGGGCTGAGGCTGGGGTTGGGGTTGGGGCTGAGGTTGGGGTTGGGGCTGGAGTTGGAGCTGGGACTTGGGCTGAGGTTGAGGCTGGAGTTGGGGCTGGGACTGGTTCCGCTGGCTCTGCTGGAAAAAAGAAAAAGTGTTCACAGAAGATAAGCCACATAAGCCACGATGGATTCCAGGGTCACCAGCCAACCCTAAAGAGCTCCCTCCCTCCAGCTTGTGCAGCTGGGAACTTCCGTGGACTGAGAGCAGTAACTCACCTAGCTTGACCATCTGAGGCAAATGTACAGGTTCCCCAGCACCTGCAGGACCTACAGCTGCCACTCGGAAGCGGTAGGTCTCGCCGGGGACCAGGCCGTCCACCACACACTCTGGCTCAGGCACTAGCTCGTGGCACAGCTTCCACTGGCCTGTGGATGCCTCCTTCATCTCCACACGATAACCACACAGACCACCGCCACCATCGCTCATGGGAGCCACCCAGGACAGGGTCACAGAATGGCCACTACGGCCCACCACCTCAGCATCTTCAGGGGGGTCAGGGAGAGCTGCGTGGAAGAGAGCAGGTTAGCACACACACTGGAACCTGAAGTCCTTCCGGAAGTCACTGAGGTCTAATACTAAACATGGTATATACTTCGGGGTAGACTCCCTTATGAGTCCTGTAGGACCCTGAATGCAGTGGTCCAGACCGCTTTGGGGAGCAAGGGAAGCTGATGAAGCCTTGATGGGGTTGTGTTTATGCATCTCGGTACCCACCACAAAGGGCAGGCACTGGGACTGGAGGATCTCACTTCTCTTGAATCTTCCCCCAAGAGCTGGGGTTAGATATACACGAGGCAAAGAGGAGAGTACACTCTCAAGGGGCCTCAGAGGGTGTTCCTGGACCTGCAGCAGGAGCTACTGCAGCCACTATCCTCAGGCTCGTAGGGTCTAATGGAACTACACAGAAGCCAGCTCTGAATGGTTGCCCATCTGAGTCGGGGGGGAGGGATCAGGTGTGCCCCAGACCCAAACTGGAGGGGAGGAACCTCTGCCACCCACTCACCCAACACAGAGAGGCGTGCAGAGGCCACGGCATCACGTGCTGCAAATGTGACCTCTCCTGCGTGTTGGGGTTGGGCGTTGCTCAGCATCAGGGAATGATGGCTGCCATCTGCGGTGACCGTCCAGTCGGTGTCGTCCGGTTGGACAGCAGCCCCGTTGATGTACCACGTGGCCTCGCCCACAGGCACCGCCTCACTGAGCGTGCACGTGAAGGAGGCCTGCATGCCAGCTCTCACAGATGCATCCTGTGGGGGCTCCAGGACCTCCAAGCGCCAGCCTGTGGGGAGCAGGATGGATGAGCATTGGCAGGAGGGGTGACCCGGAAGGGAAATGCAAAGCCTCTGGCTTCTCCTCAAGTTGGAGGTGTCTCAGACTGATCCACCAGATTCTCCTGGCCCAGGAAGGCCTCGTGTTGGGGAATCTGGGAAGCCAAGAGCCCTCACCTGCAGACCCAGTCCCATTGCTCTGGCAGCCACCAGGGCCCTGCAGATTTCAGGGAGGGCTGGTAGGAGGGTGTCTCCTATTTCCTACGCCACTCCCCAGCCCAGTGCCCCTAAGTCCCTGCAGACCAAGGAGGTCCAGTCCATGGGAAGAGCCTGGAGAGCTGACACCTGACTCCCCAAGGCAGGTAGAGCCTTTCATGTTTCTCAATGGAGTCGCCACTCCTGAGGAGCAGCAATAGAATCTCAACCTGGAAATGACTCTCCCACCTGTGGCTCCCATCCCAGACCCCAGTCTTTCCATCCTACTGAGTTCCACTGAGATAGCAGCCCCATGGAAGGAACTCAGATCCAACATCCTTCCTGTCCTGCATGGGCTTCGATGGCGAGATCTCAGAGAATGAATACCACCTTTTAAGACGTCCCCTTCACTACCACCTCTGCCTGCAGCTCAGCCTCCTGGGGAAGAGCCCTCCCAACCACGCCCTCCCTCAGCACCTCTCACGGTGAGGAATGCAGAAGTGACCACGTCCCCCGCCAGGAAAGTCACTCGGCAGCTGTCCTGTGGCTTCAGGTTTTTGAGCAACAGCAGGTGCCGCAGGCCATTCTCAAAGTAGACCACCTCCATGTTTTCTGAGGTGTGCACAGGCTCATCATCTAACAGCCAGGTGTGGGCGGCCACCTCGGGCTGGGACAGCTGGCACTCAAACAGGGCTTCGCCGCCCTCCAGCACATCCACGTTCTCCAGGCCACGCACCACTGTGTTCTTGGCTGCGAAGAAAGCAGGGCTCAGGGTTTTTTTGGACCTCCAATAATTTTTCACTACTGTCTCTTGCAAGAGCCCTCCAAAACTATAGCAGGCTAAAGGGAACAGGACCGACCCCAGCAGCCACTGTAAAGGGTGGCACTCAGGGTCCACTGGAGAAGGTGTGGTTTCCCAGCCCCACCCACCCCATCACCCTCTCCAGAGCCTTCACATCAGCAGGGGCATCCTGTGTCTCAGATGAGAAACTCCATAGGTATTCACAGACCAGAAGCTCACAAGCCCAGACTCAAGCCCACTGGAGATACAGATCTGTGTCCTTTCCCACAATGGTGCCTAAAGCCTCAAGGTGTGGGCTACACCCTTTCCTCAGGACCTCCACCCAACCCTGCTAGACTTGTCCTGGTGCCTGGGATGCTATCTTCAAATCGGTGTCAACTGGAGACCTCCCAAGTCCATACCCCCCTTATCCCTTCTTTCCAGTTATATTAGTCACTGTTTCTCATAGAAGCCACAAGCCGAGACTGTGTCCTAACCTAGCTATTATACCTCTGCGATGCACCCACATGGGTGTTCTCACTATATAGGTCACCTGCGTTGCAAGGCTAGCGGCCACTGCCTGCCTCTCTACCGTGATCATGCTAAGGCCTGCCTGCCAGGTGGCCTCACCTTGCACTTGGAGCAGTGCCACAACTCGAGTGCCTGCGGCCTCACAAGAATAGATGCCGCTGTCACAGGGCAGGGCTGGCCTGAGGGTCAGCCTGGCTACGGTCCAGTCCTGCTCTATGATGACACGGTTCCCATCTGCGCACACCTCCCGCTCGTTCATCTTCCACGTGGCCTGCACTGGCCGCGAGTACTGGCAGAGGAGCTCAGCCGAGCCACCCTCCTCCACCACCAGGTCCTGCATGGCACTCACCACCTCCACTGTGGGATCTGTCGGCCAACATCCCAGACAAGTATCAGCCCCTGGGACAGTGCCACCATGGCCCACCCACCTTCTGCTGTCCATGTTAGTTGCTTCAGCGGCTGCAAGCATGGAGCTGTGGTGGGCAATGGCTTAGCAATAGGTGCCTGGCATGTGGCCAGGAAGGGGACCCATCATAGCTGCCCTACACACCAGACATGCCTCATTGCACCCTGGCAGATGACAACGCCAAGGCAGAGGACAATGTCCGTCTTAGGCTGGGACCCTCTAGCTCAGAGTGAACACCAGGTCCCATCTTAAACACACCCCAGATCCTGCAAGTCTGCAGCTGCAGACCATCTTGTCCCTCTCCAAGGGTGTGGGGATGCTTGCTGACACCCTTGGGGTTCCATCCCATCCCCACCTGCTGAGATCCTACACAACCAATAACGGTCCATCCTGGGTCTGATTCTATGAGGCCTTACAGGAGGCCTTAGGCAAAGACAATGGGTGGAGGATTAGAAAGGAGCCCTTTGGAGCCCCTGACAACCTGCTGCCCTCCCTATCCAGCTAGCACTTCCCCAGAAGAGTGTGCACAGGAAGAGAAGCAGTTGTACACAGGAGCAAACCAGAACTGGAAGCAGTGGCTTCTCCATCAGGAGCCCAGGAAACCCCTCCCCCCTTCAAGAAGCTGGCCTGTGGCTGGGATATCTACCCAGTCGGGCAGTAAACAAGGGCCAGTGTGTGTAGGTCCCACACGGCAAATGTGCAGGAGGCCGGTCTCCAAACAAAACACTTCCCAGAGATTTACCCTCCCACTCAGGTGAGTGGAAGCCCATCCTCTGCCCTGGGTCCATGATAGGCAGAGAGTAAATACCTCAACCATGGCCCTTGGGGTCAGTACCTGACAGTACCTGACACTGTTCAATTCCCCAGGACCCTGCAGGAAGCATGCGGGGACAGCAAGGGCAGAAGCGCCAGCGTGGGGAGGTCCCCTTTGGCCAATACCTTTGACCAATAACTTGGCTGTGGAGACCAGGGGCCCTGTGCGGAAGGTGATGGTGCCTGAGTCGGCCACCCCCAGGCCCGAGAGCATGAGGGAGTGAACAGTCCCCTCTTGCACAGTGATGGCACTCTCAGGGCTGTTCTGAAGCAGGGTGCCATCCAGCCACCAGCGGGCCTCCGGCCCACCTGCACGAGATACCTCACAGGAGAACGTAGCCACCTCCCCCGCGAAGACATCCACATTCTGCAAGCCACGTACCAGGCACAGGGCTGCCTCTGTGCAAGAGGGCGAGAAGGAAGTCTGGGCTGGGGCTCCCTTGGGTGTGTGGGAATGGGGCCACACTCGGGGGCACTGATGTGGGAATGTGATCCAATAGCCAAATCGGTCTTTGTCCTGGTTCCTAGCACAGAATTTCCTGAGTGTCACAAGTGCTCTTACACACAGCCAACACCTTCTGATCACATCAGAGGCTATGCTAATGAGGTGCCAGCTCCAGGAAGGGGGGACCTGGTCACCAGGAAGACCAAGTGACAAGAGGGTTCAAATGTCCAGCCCAACCCACCAGCCTCGGGATAGCAGTAAGGCTGGGGATAAATGTAAACAAATCAGATTGACTTCGAGGTCTTGGGTACCAAAGGAGTGGAGAATGACATAGAAGCGGGGAGGGGTACCTGTCAACTTCCCCCCTCGCTTTGTTAGTCTTTGTCTGTTGCTGGGTTGTGTCCTGTGTGACAACCAGTGACAGCAACTGTTTCATGACTTTCAGCTGTCCAAGCAAACTGGTCAAACCCAGGTAGGCAGTGCGAGCCCCCCACTCACACCAGCTTAGTTAGCAAGGGTTAGGTTTGCAACTGACTTTGTTGAGGGGGGCACTCTTTTGGGGCTGAGTCTATAACCAATGAATCTGTTCTAACTTGGGTAACACCAGAATTGAAATGAGCTATACTGCATCCAGTTGGTGTCTGTTGGAGGATTGCTTGGTGTGGGGGGAACCCACTGTTCTAGTCAGGTGTCCTGTGTTGTGCAGAATGTAGAGGGGATTAGCAGTAAGAATACTGTTCCCCACAACTGGGGTCCCAAGTTGTAGAACAATCTTGAGATTGACTGACATGAGCCACGTGGCATCTCCTGGGATCAGGCACTACCCAGACCAGAATAGCTTGGACCAAAGGTCCAGAAACCCACCCTAGACAGTTGGCACACCCTAATCAAAGAGAGAAGCACAGAGGCCATCCACACCAGCACATGAAAAGCGTGTGAGCCACTGAACATCCCACGCACATTCGGAGCACTCCTGGCTTCACCCCCAGGAGGCCAATGGCACCTATCTGGCATCTTTTTCAGAAAGAGCAATGGATGAACTCCACATTTGGGGCTCTTCTTGACAACAGGTGCCTCCTCTAATCTAATATGTGCAAGAAGGATGCACCCCAGGACCTGTTGGTCCAAGAGTGTGGGGCTCAGTCCACTCCTCAGGGTATAGAAGCAGACGGGGGCAGTCTGTCTAGATGTCCTCCGAGATCCTGCCACCCATGGCCTTAATGGCTGGGTACACTGCTCCTCCACCTCAAGGCAAGCCCTGGGTTCAGGAGCCTCATAGATGTAGATGTGCTCCGACCTAGTTCCCTGCGGCCCATCTACCTTTTGAGGGAACCACAGCAGGTAGAAAGCCCAAGCACTCCAGGGCAGGAATGGTCTCTTAGCTGACTTTCCAACGGCCCGGGTCAGACAGGAAAAGACCAGTGGTCTCTTCCACACTTGCTACCTGGGACCAGGTAAGGAGGTTGGCACCCCCCCTCCCCATGCTTCTCCCTGAGCATTTACCAGATGCCTTCCTGGGGGCAACCGATAAAGTCCAGATGTCTCTGTTGCATTTGCTTCTACACCACAGCATGAGGCTGAGAAGTCAGTCAGGAACCATTTGTAGAGACATCAGTACCCAGCAAGATGGGGTAGCCCTCAGGGTCACCCCAGAGGGTTCCTTTAGAAGTCTGTCCACACCATTCCCCATGGACGCTCCTCCTCTAGCACAAGCTCCCAAGCCTGTCCATAGCAAAGCTACCTGGACAACCATTCCTCCCAAGGCCACACAAAGTTGTACACAAGCAGTTCTCTCAGAATGGGAACAGCTAGCCTAGAGCAGGACAGAAACACAGCCTGCAGCTCCATGCTGTCCCCTAGTAAACACAGACCTTTGCTGCCCTGCCCCCTACTCATGACAACTATGAAATTCTTCATCAATCAACTTTCAAGTCATGCATTGGCAATTGGCAGTCTTTCTCAGCCCCACGGGCCATAGAATTGACCATGCCTGACCATCTCTGAAGTTCCAGAACATGGGATTCAGAACATGCTCTATCCTACACATCTAGCTCCCCTCAGGAGACCGAGGGCTCCATCGTGGCAAAGCTGTCCGTATAACCCTCCTGGAATCCTGGACACGAAGGGTGGATCAGAGGTGTTAGCCAATGGTGAACAGATGTCTGGGTGGCAAATAGGGGCTTGGATGGATGGATGGATGAATGGATGGATGGATGGATGAATGGATGGATGGATGGATGGATGGTAGGTGAAAGGCTGATTGGTTGGATGGTAAGCAGATAATAAATGCACAGATGGTAGGATGAGTAAATGGATAGCTAGATGGATAATAGGCAGACAGATGGACAAATCATGAGTAGCTCGATAAGTGGGTCAGTGTGATGTGGAAGATGAATGACAGATGAATGGAAGGTTGGTGAAGAATGGGCTTAGGTAGGTGACAAGTGGTGACCACAAACGGATGGATGTGTTGTGGATGGCAGATGGATAGAGGATAAGTCAGGAAGTGGGCAGATGATGGAGGGGCCAATGGCATCACATTGAGAACCAGGACAAGGCAGCATGGGAAGGTTGCTCAAAGCCAAGCTCTACAGGATGGCCTTATTCTGGAGACAAGGTCTACTCTAAACTGAAGATTCCTAAAGCCTTACCTGAACACATGTTTACCATGGCCAAATCCATACCTGTGTCATAGGTATGTGATTGTACCCTTCTGAGTAAGCAAATGTACATCAACATAGACATACATGCATGTGCAAGGACCTAAACCACAGAGTTGATCCTGTCTCCACTCAAGGCCCAAGCCTATGCTAGTCAGACACTCTAGCTTGTCCAGGAGGCAGAATCAATTCTGGTCTGAGATACCACTACAAAATTGACATCCCCAGTGCAAAATCCCAGCTAGAAGTCTGGGGCTCCTGATTCCCCTCCAATAGCTGCAGTGCTAGGAAACACAAGACATTCAAGGGCATGGGCTGGGTGTAGGATAGGGATGCCCACCTGTGACCTTCAGCTGGGCTTCTGAGGAGCATGAGCCCACTTGGAGAGTGATGGTTCCAGTATCCTCTAGGGTCACCTGAGGAGGCAGGAGGTAGATGCTTGCCCTTGCACCTCATGCTGATCAAAAGGGGCCAATCCATCTTCCCAGACCCCGTGATAGGGGCTTGTCACCTCCCCAGCCCACCGCCCTAGAAGAGGATCTTCCCTAATGAACTCTGAACCTTCTGAGGCAGAGGCAGGTCCCAGAACCCCACCTTATGCAGAGTGAGCAGGTGGAGCGTGCCCTGCTCTATGGTGATGTCGTTCATCTCGTTGGACTGCAAGGGAACCCCTCCCAAAGCCCAGCGGGCCTCCTGGCCCGAGGCCCTGGACAGCCGGCACTGGAAGTGGGCATCCTGACCCTCGCTGAGCTGCACATCTTTCAGGGGCTCCAGAACGGTCACCTCGGGGACTACACACAGGAAGCATGGGCATCAGCCTTGGTATCTAGAATGCGCCCTTGAATGGCAGAGCTCTCATATCCCAGAAATCCCATGTTACCTCACCCCAATACCTGAGAATGAACCCATGGGAGTACACTACCAACCCCCTTCTTCTACCTCTATCTATATAGATAACACAGCTTGGGCTCTGACCCACAGGGAATCTAGAGGTGACCTAGGGTTAGGACTGGCACAGTCTACAGAATGTGGGTAGGTTCTAAGCGCCAAGACAATCTGAGCTTCTGGGAGCTCACTGAAGCTGCCTACCAGCCGGATGCAGCTGTAGAATTACCAGCACAAGGTTCTCCTCACTACCAGAACCTCCCCTCCCCAACAAAGAGTATCTATCATCCCCCAAAATGATCTGAGCCTGAACAGTCTCATTCCAGTTGAGGGAAGGCCAGGTCCCCCGGAGCCAGATACCTCGGACTGTGAGCTGAGCAGAAGATGAATGGCTGCCCACGTGGAAGGAGACGGTGCCAGCATCCTCCGGTGTCACAGCCTTCAGTCGGAGCACGTGCGTACGGCCATCTCCAAGAACCGCCACCTCTGTCACTTCATTGCTCTGCAGTGGCAGACCTTGGAGATGCCACCGCACATCCGCAGATCCTGCCTGTGACACCTCACAAGTAAACTCCACATCCTCATCAGCCTGTGCCTCCATGTTAACCAGCCCCCGCACAATGGCCACCTCAGGCTCTGTAGGAGAGGGACACAGGAGAGAGAGGCTCTTGATCAGCCTGAGCCCAATCCTTGAAAGCCTTTCTTGACACTCCAGGGTTCTCCTGTCACCTGGTCTCACAGGCATGATAGCTGAGCTGGGGCCCTTGCTTCTCCACGGGCCGAGAGAGAAACTGGGCATACAATGGTGAGGGCTGTGTTTGGCCCTAATGCTGTCGCCAGCCCTGTTCTGGCTAGGTCACTGTGAAGCAAAACCTTCAGTAGGAATAAGTCAGGCACAGAGAACACCTCAAAGGCCAGCAATGCTGTTCTGCCTTCTGGGGAAGAGGAGTCAGGGCTGCCTTTGGGGACTGAGGTCTGTCCTGGCTGCCCTGGCCTTTCAGTTGGGGAATCAGACCTGGAAGTAGTGTAGGAATGACAGGGACAGAATTGTGATGCGATGGTCCTGGCCCCAATATAAGGTGCACCCAGGGGAGTCCCAAGGGGTGGGCATGACAGGAGGGATTCAAGTTCTCCTCCTGGAGTCTAACTACTCACCTTTGACTCTGAGAGAGGCCAGGGTTTTCTGGCCACCCACCACACAGGCATACTCTCCCGTGTCCTTAGTCTCCAGCTCGTGGATCAGCAGCTCGCACACAGCCCCCTGGCACCGCATCTCATACTTGGGGCTGGCATGCAGCTCCACACCCTCCTTGAGCCACTGCACTGGAGACCCAGGCTCAGTCTCGCTCAGCTGACAACACAGCCGGGCCACGCCCCCTGCTTCCTGCTGTGTACTCTGCAGGCCAGCCTTGAACTTGGGCTTGGGGGCTGAGGAGCATCAAAAAAAGACTTAAAATCGCAGGTCTCATCCCCTGACTCTGACTGAACAAGATCTCCTGCTCCTAAGAGTAGGAGGGGGCTGGGCACAGCTACAGGCAGCTCACCTCGGACTGAGAGCCTCGCGACGCTCTGCGCATGGCCTGCATCACAGATGTATTCGCCTGCATCCTCCTGCTCCACCTCACGGACCAGCAGTGTGGCAGTGGTGCCCTCCTGCACCATCTGATACTTGGCACAAGGGAAAAGCTGCAGGGAGCCCTTGCGCCACTCCACACTCACGGCCTCGCGGCTCAGCTCACACTGCAGGTGTGCACTGGTCCCCTCATCCACCTCCTGGGCCTGCAGCTCCCTGAGGAACCGCACAGGAGCAGCTGCAAGGTTGGGGGACAGCGTGAGAGCAGGTCCTGGAGTCGTGAAGGGAGTTCTGTCAGGGAACCACCCACAGTAGATCTGTGGTCAGGATCCACAGGACACCGCCAGGAGGAACTAACTAGGGACCGGCATACAGCAGTGAGTGGGGTTGCTGCGCCTGCCCAGGAAGCTACCAGGACGGGGAGAATGCCTGAAGAAATAACTCTGAGGGCTAGAGAGCAGGAACAGCTAAGGTCACAGAGACACGGCAGTGAAACTGTAGCAGGTGACAGAAAGAACTATGGGGCAGATATGGAGAGTGACAAAGAACACAAAAAGACTGGAGTCACCTGGCAGGACAGTGGAGAAGCCACCATAGAGGGACAGCATGTGATGGTGGGTCACCTAACAATGACAGAATGAAGGACATGCCCAGGAGAATCTCAGGGACCCAGCTACTGGTGAGGAAGGCAGACCTCAGGGCCGCTAAGTTGAATGAGTTCTCCTGGCTGGGACCCATGAAACACAGCTGCAACCGTGGGAGTCAGCATGAAAACTGTACCCACACAGCCAGCCCCCAACACTGGAGTTGACCAGCCTGGGACACCTACCTGTGACCATGAGCGTGGCACCTGTGCTCTGAGAGCCACAGGTACAGCTGTACTCGCCCGCGTCCTCACGGCGCACATCCCTAAGCAGCAGCTCCGCCACACACCCCCGCTGCCGTGACTCTCGGCGCTCATCGGCCTGCAGCTCCAGGCCACCCTTGCTCCAGACCACAGCAGCGTTGGGGATTGACAGCTCACACTGCAGGCTAGCCGTGGAACCTTCCTCTACTTTCAGGTTCTGCAGTGGTTTCTGGAACACCACCTGTGGGGCTGTGAGAGGATGAGAGGCTAACAGACTCAACTCAAGGTGCACCCCCGAGCACCCAAAGGCAGCCAGACAGGGTCCTAGGGCAGCGCTGGGGTTGATGCTGAATAAGACCGTGGGGCTAGGTGGGCTTCAACGTAAGAGAGCCAGTGGGGAGGTTGGGAAGAGCTCAAGAGCTGCCTCTGGGTGCTTGCCTCCCACTTAGACAGACCAGTCCCCTACAGGGCTACATCCAAAGGATCTAGGGAGCACTAATGTCAGACTACCCAGAATAGAATCAAGTCTAGTCATGTCCCCACAGACCAGAACCCAGGCTTTGTCCTCCAAGATCACAGCCTCAGACCAGACCTCAGAGCATAGCTTAGCTCTTCCCTGGCTGCTGGAATGGTCCCTCTGATACTCGGGCACAGTGTGCCCCACAGACCCCAGGAAATAGCCAGTCCTCTCAAGATCAGGCAGGGCTCTGGCCTCCATGTTCTGGAGACTTCAAGATACATTAGTCATTGGGCTTCACAGAGCCACACCAGGAACACGACCCCATTCTGCAGGGTCCAGGACCCACCGGGGGATCCACATGTCACCTCTGAACATCTAATTTGCCCCAGACCAAGAGAATATTCGGTTAAGCATGACACACAGAACCTGAATGTAGATGGCAAAGGGTAGGATATCTGGGAACACAAAATAACATGCTCGGCCCCAACATGATGTCCAGCAGTGTGAGGGCACAAGTGGTAAGTTACAGACACCAAGTCCCTGGAAATGCCGTGGCTGAGATCAGACAGGACAAACAAAGCATCACAGAAAAGATGAAAGAGGACATCGTGAGGAGAGGTAGAGCAGGACAGGGTAGGTATAGAGAGAGAAGTCCAAAATCATCACGTGGCCACAGGAAGCTCATTTACCTGTGACGCTCAGTGTGGCTGAGGTCCTCTCCTGCCCACACACGCACGAGTACTCCCCAGCATCTCCTACAGCCAGGCCACAGATCTGCAGCTCACACGTGGCCCCTTTCTGCCTCAGGCTGTATCTGTCCCCATCTCTCAGGATCTCAGACCCCTTCCTCCACACCACAGGGGCCTTCTTGCTAAGCTCACACTGCAGTGTGGCTGTTGTACCTTCCAAGGCCTCTTGGTTTCTCAAGCCTTCTATGAATCTGGCTGGCAGGGCTGGGAAGGACCAAAAAGTCACTGAGAACATGAAACTGGAGAACCTTGCACACACAGGACACACAACTCACAAAGAACAAAAACCACCACAGAGAACAAGTGGAGGGAGGGGGAGATGATGAGGGGCAAAACTCCAGGAGGAACGGAAAGGGCAGTGAGACGCCTGAAAACATGAAAGGATCTCTTCAGCAAGCAGAACAACTCCAGTTACAGGACAGACGGCCACAGGGTTGCCACAGAGGCTGTGCCATAGGTGCCGTCACACAGAATAAGACAACACGGAGACACAGCACCTCAGGTTCAGGTGGCCACACACGATCTTTACCCTTGACACTCAGTGTGGCTGAGGTCCTCTCCTGCCCACACACGCACGAGTACTCCCCAGCATCTTCCACAGCCAGGCCACGGATCTGCAGCTCACACGTGGCCCCATCCTGCCTCAGGCTGTATCTGTCCCCATCTCTCAGGCTCTCAGACCCCTTCCTCCACTCCACAGGGGCAGCCTTGCTCATCTGGCACCTAAGTGTCACTGTGGTGCCTTCCTTGGCCTCTTGGCTTCTCAGGTCGTCTATGAATCTGGTGGGCAGGGCTGGGAAGGAGCAAGCAGCGACTGAGAACATGGGACTCTGAAGGACATGCTGTGCACAACGTGGAATACACAAAGAGACACACATTCTGGAAGGATTTGACAGGAACAGTGAATAGACTGGGAGGAATCAAAAATCAGGGAGGTGTAGAGAGGTTGGTAGGATGGAAATGAACATGAGAATATTTCCTGGACTTGGGAAAAGGAAGGTAGAGAACCCAGATGACCCCAGTTATGGGACAGATGTCACCAAGGGAGTTGTGCCACATTTACAAAGCAGACATGGCATCAAGATAACATAGAGACAACAAGTCACAGATTCAGGGGGCCACACATGACCTTTACCCTTGACACTCAGTGTGGCTGAGGTCCTCTCCTGCCCACACACGCACGAGTACTCCCCAGCATCTTCCACAGCCAGGCCACGGATCTGCAGCTCACACGTGGCCCCATCCTGCCTCAGGCTGTATCTGTCCCCATCTCTCAGGATCTCAGACCCCTTCCTCCACTCCACAGGGGCAGCCTTGCTCATCTGGCACCTAAGTGTCACCGTGGTGCCTTCCGTGGCCTCTTGGCTTCTCAGGTCTTCTAGGAATCTGGTGGGCAGGGCTGGGAAGGAGCAAGCATTCACTGAGAACACGAAGCTCCAGAACACGGCACACAGGACACACACTCACAAAGAATGACACACTATCAAAGGAACACAGCATAAACACGTGATGGAAGGTGCAGATGGTGAGGCAGTGATCTCGTGCAGAACAGAGAGGGCAGTGGCCTGGATGTGAACACAAGAACAGATGTGGAAAGCATAGGTGGAGATGCCAAGATGACTGAAGGGGCAGAATAGATGATCACAGGGCCACCATAGGAAACCACGTGTGGAGACAGAAGCAACGAGGGGGCAACATGGAGACACCACGTCTTGGGTTCAGGTGGCCACACATGATCTTTACCCTTGACACTCAGTGTGGCTGAGGTCCTCTCCTGCCCACACATGCACGAGTACTCCCCAGCATCTTCCACAGCCAGGCCACGGATCTGCAGCTCACACGTGGCCCCATCCTGCCTCAGGCTGTATCTGTCCCCATCTCTCAGGCTCTCAGACCCCTTCCTCCACTCCACAGGGGCAGCCTTGCTCATCTGGCACCTAAGTGTCACTGTGGTGCCTTCCGTGGCCTCTTGGCTTCTCAGGTTGTCTATGAATCTGGCGGGCAGGGCTGAAATGACCAAGCAGCGACTGAGAACATGGAACTCCAAAGGACATGCTGTGCACAACATGGAATACACAAAGAGACACACATTCTGGCAAAGGAATTGACAGGAACTGTGAACAGACTGGGAGGAAGCAAGAACCCAAAGAGCTGTAGAGAGGGCAGTAGGGTCGGCACAATCATGAGAATATTTCCTCAACAAAAAGAACTAGTGATGGAGATGTCCAGATGACCCTAGTTTCATGACAGATAGCCACAGGTCATCACAGAAGCTGTGTCACATATGGGGGAACAGACATAGCATCAAGATAACATTGAGACACCACGCCTCAGGTTCAGGTGACCAAATATGATCTTTACCCTTGACACTCAGTGTGGCTGAGGTCCTTTCTAGCCCACAGAGGCACAAATATTCCCCAGCATCTTCCATAGCCACACCACAGATCTGCAGCTCACACACAGCCTGGTTCTGTCTCAGACTGTATCTGTCTCCATCTCTGAGGATCTTTGTTCCCTTCCTCCACTCCACTGGGGCTCCTCTGCTCAGCTGGCATCTCAAAGTCACCACGGTCCCTTCTGTGGCTTCTTCATTCTTCAGGCCCTCTGTGAACGTGGTAGGTAGGGCTAGGGAGGTCAGAAAGACACAGGCATGGTCATTCTGTCAGAGCGAGTGGAAGACAGGACACAGATGACACAGAGAAGGCACAGAACTCCACCAAAGGACACATGTGAGCGTGCTGAGAACTTGGTGTGGCATTCCTCAGGCTAGACTGTGCACAGCTGCACCTTGCTCCATCTGCAGCTTCCTTGGTTCCTATATTTCATATGGACCTGGCATGCAGAGTCAAAGATAGAATAGCATGGAGAACCTCAGATTTCCTAGAGAACTTTGGGGTTCAGGGCACGACAGTGAGAACAAGAGACACAGGATCCAACAACACAAATCCCACACAGCACACAGCAGTGGGAGAGTGGCTGCAGATGTTCTTATCTTCTGGGTAACACAACCAGGAAGCAGGAATGGATCCCCCGCAGTGACGGGCAGATGATGCGCAGACTTGGGTACCACCACACAGATCTTTACCCTTGATGGTCAGCATGGCTGTGGTCCTTTCCTCCCCACACACGCATGAGTACTCTCCAGCGTCTGCCATGGTTAGGTCATGGATTTGCAGTTCACACATGGTTCCCGTTTGCTGCAGCTTGTATCTGTCTCCATCTTTGAGGGTCTCTGTGCCCTTCTTCCACTCCACAGAGGTCTTTTTGCTGAGCTGACATTGCAAAGTGGCCATGCACCCTTCCATGACCTCCTTGGACTTCAGCTCTTCAATAAACCGTGTGGGCAGGGCTAGGAAGGATCGGGTGGACAGAAGCCATCAAACTCTATGAAAGTTTTGAAGATCACTTTCTGAGTATCCAGGAAGGAATCAGAAGCAGAAGGGCTAGAGATCATGGGAAGGAGCAAATCAAAGTGTGCGAGTTAAGGTTCCTGTGCTGTGCCTACTGAGATGCAGGTGGACTGGAAGGTGGGTACCATTCCAGACTCGCCTTCCTGTGGTCCTCACGTCACTAGGAGACACACCAGGCATCTGAGATCAATCGTGCATGCAAACACATTTCCTGACAGAACTCCACGGCAGGCATCTCCCAATTGTGATGCCTTCCAGCCTTATAGATAAGATGCCCACGCACCCAGGGCCTCCATCCAGCACTGTCCATGCTTGGACTCACCCTGACAGCTTATACGAGGCCCTATCTCCTCCACTTCATGCTCCTGTCCTGATACTACTAGAACCATACTCCACCCATTGGCGCCACCTCCCTGGCTGGTGTCTCCTGGTCCGATAGACTGCAGCTGGGAACTCCTAGGCGGGCCTTTGACCCTAGGATCTGTCCTGCTGTCCTCCCCACTGACTGGTCAGAGCTCACCCTGATGATATTGTGATTGACTGTGCCCCTCCAAATGTATATTAAATGTCTAATTGATACAGCTTCAGAAAATAAGTGTATTTGGCCCTTGAGAGGAGAAAAATACTAAATGAAGTCATGCAGACAAGTACTTAATCCAGTAGGGATAATGTCCTTATAAGACATCTGGATACAAACAAGATGATCATGGGCTGGAGAGATGGCTCAGTGGTTAAGAGTATTGCCTGCTCTTCCAAAGGTCCTGAGTTCAATCCCCAGCAACCACATGGTGGCTCACAACCATCTGTAATGGGGTCTGGTGCCCTCTTCTGGCCTTTAGGCATACACACAGACAGAATTTTGTATACTAAATAAATAAATAGAAATGATCATGAGGAAAATAGCTGCCTGGGAGCCAGTGAGAGGCCTTGGAAGCGCCAACATTGCTGGCCCTCTGCTCACAGGCCTCCAGCCTTCTGAACTGGAAGGAAACTAACTTCTAAGAGTCCTGATCTACTGTTCTTCATGATGGTCACCCAAACAACACACATTTGAGGATACTATTGTAACAAATACCTAAGAATCTGGAGCTGTCTGGTAGCAGTTGATGACTAGGGGCTGGGTGGCTTTTGATGTATATATCAAAGAAAATCAAGATTGCTGGGAACGGTCTGTTAATGGAAATATGGATATTAATTCCACATCTAGACAGGCCTCAGAAAGAAATGGGGTAATAAAACTAGAAAGAAGGAAGGTGACCCTTCTTCGGCATCAGTGAGCTTGGCCAAATTCTCTTCTAGTGACTTGTGGGATGCAGAATTTGTAAATTTGAAATTGAACATTTATCTTAGGGGGATTATAGGGAAAGTGTTCAAGGCATGGTCTGGATTCTTCTTTCTGCTTACAGTAAGAGTGAGAGGATACAGAGGCAAACTGAAGAACTAAAAAGTAAAATGGTAAAGGAATGGAAGATTCCAAGAATTTACAGCCTACCCATGCTGCTAAAAAATAATGAGGATGTATGTTCTGAAGAGAACCGCAGGACGCAGTTAACCGTGTCATCTCTGCAGAAGTCACAAACAGAGAGCAAAGCTGTGGAGGACCCTTTGGGAATTCACAGGAAAGTAAGGACACTGAGAATGTCAGGCCAGTTGGAATACCACTTAGACTAGAGAAGGATGGGGACCTGAGGGAAGGAAGAAGGTGATCACACATGATGAGACTACAGAGCCATCATCCATCTGCTACACGTGACCCTTCAGGTAGATGACCATGGCTGGGTGGCTGGCTCATGCCTGCAACCTCAGCACTTGAGAAGCTGAAGCAGGTGATGTCCCACAAGCTCCAGGGGAGACTGCTCTACGCTAACCACTCAGGCTACCCAGGGCTGCATAGCAAACGAGTTTTAAAGAGAGTGACTCAGAAGAGTGGATCAAGATCAAAAAGGTGCCACTGCCACCAGGAGCCCCACGACCACAGGCCTGGGGAGAAGGCACTCTCCTCCTTGGCCCTAGGTCATCTCCACTCAGGACTACGAGGGCTGATCTAGAGGACAGGGACTTGAGCCAGAGATGATTCTCCTGCCTTGAAATCCAGTAGAGTTGCCCTGCTGTTTCAAATTGGTGGAATCCATATCCCATCTCTTCATCCCAATTTCCTCCTCCTTGGGTAAGGACATCTGCTACATGCCCTGTCATTGTCCCAGCCTCCTAATGCTATGACCTTTTAATCCAGTTCCTCATGTTGTGGAGACCCCCAGCATAAAACTGTTCTCACTTCTATTCACAACTGTAACTTTGCTACTGTTAGGAACCACAATGTAAACACCTGATCTATAGCTTATCTGATATGTGACCTCTGTGAAAGGGGGTTTGACCGCCAGGTTGAGAACCATTGTTCTAGAATCATGGTTCTACCTGGGTCTGTAGCTTCATAAGAAAGAGGCAAATGTGCCTCCGTGTGAATGAAACCTAAAACATCACACTTAGAAGAGACAGACCTCAGGCTGTAGGAACCGGAGGAATGCAATGCCACATGCAAAAAGAGCAACGGATTTGCGGAGGCCAGAAGGTAGAAAGTTACAGGCTATGGTGATTTGAATGACACAGCCCCTCTAGTCTTAGACATTTGAATACTTGGTTCCCAGTTGGTGGCCATGTCTGGGTAGATTTAAAAGGTGCCGCCTTGCTGGAGTTTGTCACCTTGAGAGATTTTAAGAGCCATAAAATTTCTAGTTCACTCTTTTCACCTCATGCTTGCTGGTCAAGATTTGACCCCCAGACTCCTGCTCCTGCTGCCATGCCTACTGCCTGTTGCCATGGCTCTCTCCCATAATGGACTCTTATCTCTCTCGACCTGGAAGTCCAAATAAACTCCTTATGCTGCTTTGGCCATGGCATTTTTATCACAGCAATAGGCAAGTGACTTACACATGAGCTAAACTGTGCCACCTCCTCACACACACATTGAAGCTGCAATTTCCCCAGTGTCCCGGGGAGTCACTCCACTCCCAAGAACATTTAAGTAAATAATGAGTCAAAATGAGGTCAGCCTAGACTCAAGTCCAAAGTGGCTCATGTGCAACTATTAGGTCAGAGACACAGGGAATGACCATGTGAAGAGTCGGAGAGAAGAGACATCTTCAGGGGAAACAACAATACTGCTGATATCTCAACAAAAGAATTCCAGCCTCCAGAATTATGAGCAGACTCAGGCAGAAGCCCTTCAGAGCCTGGCATTATCTCAAAGCAATAGTTAAACTTCAGCAGTGTTTGCCTGGCTACCTCCAGCCAGGACCACACACTGCTCTGCACATCCATCAAGGGACAGACATCTGTCAACTCCAGGCCTGGAATCAAAGAACCCAAAGTCTCAGCAGGCCTTAGCAAGATGCAAGTAGCTCTAACAGATCTCCCATTGGACACTGATGGAATACGCCAGTACCTCCTCTACAACTGTGTACTCATTTTCCCTGGGTTCATGTCCTAGAACAGGCTCTAGACTAGGCTAACCTGGTGTGGTTTGGGAGAATGGATCACACAGACATATGACTGTGCACGACATGATGACACTGAGAGGCATAGGAGGGCAAAGCTTACACAGGAGAGATGGGAGAAAGCAGACCAATCAGGTGGCTACACAAAGTCATTACCATCTACAGTCAGCATGGCTGAGGTCCTCTCCTGCCCACACACGCACGAGTACTCCCCAGCATCTTCCACAGCCAGGCCACGGATCTGCAGCTCACACGTGGCCCCATCCTGCCTCAGGCTGTATCTGTCCCCATCTCTCAGGATCTCAGACCCCTTCCTCCACTCCACAGGGGCAGCCTTGCTCATCTGGCACCTAAGTGTCACCATGGTGCCTTCCGTGGCCTCTTGGCTTCTCAGGTCTTCTAGGAATCTGATGGGCAGGGCTGGGAAGGAACAAGCATTCACTGAGAACACGAAGCTCCAGAACACGGCACACAGGACACACACTCACAAAGAATGACACACTATCAAAGGAACACAGCATAAACACGTGATGGAAGGTGCAGATGGTGAGGCAGTGATCTCGTGCAGAACAGAGAGGGCAGTGGCCTGGATGTGAACACAAGAACAGATGTGGAAAGCATAGGTGGAGATGCCAAGATGACTGAAGGGGCAGAATAGATGATCACAGGGCCACCATAGGAAACCACGTGTGGAGACAGAAGCAACGATGGGGCAACATGGAAACACCACGTCTTGGGTTCAGGTGGCCACACACGATCTTTACCCTTGACACTCAGTGTGGCTGAGGTCCTCTCCTGCCCACACACGCACGAGTACTCCCCAGCATCTTCCACAGCCAGGCCACGGATCTGCAGCTCACACGTGGCCCCATCCTGCCTCAGGCTGTATCTGTCCCCATCGCTCAGGATCTCAGACCCCTTCCTCCACTCCACAGGGGAAGCCTTGCTCATCTGGCACCTCAGAGTCACCATGGTGCCTTCCGTGGCCTCTTGGCTTCTCAGGTCGTCTATGAATCTGGTGGGCAGGGCTGAAATGACCAAGCAGCGACTGAGAACATGGGGCTCTGAAGGACATGCTGTGCACAACGTGGAATTCACAAAGAGACACACATTCTGGAAGGATTTGACAGGAACAGTGAACAGACAGGGAGGAAGCAAGAACACAGGGAGGTGTAGAGAGGGCAGTGAGGTGGGCACAAACATGAGAATATTTCCTAGACCTGGAAAAAGGCAGGTAGAGAACTCAGATGACCCCAGTTATGGGACAGATGTCACCACGGGAGCTGTGCCACATATGAAAAACAGACATAGCACTAAGATAGCATAGAGACATCAAGTCACAGGTTCAGGGGGCCACACATGACCTTTACCCTTGACACTCAGTGTGGCTGAGGTCCTCTCCTGCCCACACACGCACGAGTACTCCCCAGCATCTTCCACAGCCAGGCCACGGATCTGCAGCTCACACGTGGCCCCTTCCTGCCTCAGGGTGAATCTGTCTCCATCTTTGAGAGTCTTTTCTCCCTTCCTCCATTCCACTGGGGTAGCCTTGCTCATCTGGCACCTCAGTATGGCCATGGTCCCTTCTGTGACCTCTTCATTCCTCAGACACTCTGTGAACTTGGCGGGCATGGCTAGGAACGTCAGAGAGGCACAGGAATCATTACACTCAGAGCACACAAAGGGGATGAGACATGAACAACACTGAGAATACACAAACACCTCTGAGGGTGGGCCGTGTGCTGCTGTGCTGAGAACAGGCCATGAATTTTATGTTCCATGGCGTGTCCTCTTAATGTCAGGATGGTGGTCCTTTCCATAGAGCTGGCATGATGGTCAGAGGGGGCCAGAAACACACAAGGGTGCCACATTCTCTGCAGAACCTTAGCAGGCATGACTCAGCCCAGATGACAACAGGACATGGACTCTACCACAAAAAGTACTTAACTCATGGCGGCACAAGCTGCATATGTGATTTTTCCCTGTTTCATATAGTTCCCCAAAAAGTTGGGACTCTATCCAGTTACGAAAGGTGACACACAGACAAAGGGACAGAATATGGGATGAGCTAGAGGAGCAACATGTCCATAGACACCAAGACACAGATCCGATCAGCCACACATCTTTACCACTAATATGCAGTGTGGTTGAGGTCTTTTCCTGCCCGCACACACATGAGTACTCCCCAGTATCCACCAGGGCCAGGCCACAGATCTGCAGCTCACACACAGTTCCATCCTGTCTCAGGCTGTATCTGTCTCCATCCCTCAGGGCCTCAGACCCCTTCCTCCACTGCACAGGGGCAGCCTTGCTCAGCTCACATCTTAAGATTGCTGTTTCCCCTTCTGTGGCTTCTTGGCTTTTCAAGTCTTCTATAAACTTGGCAGGCAGGCCTGGAAAGGATCAAGCAAGCACTGAGAACATGAAACTCTCTCAAGGTCTCTGCGTGGACATGGAACCCAAAAAGAACCACACACATTGCTCAAGAGCCATGGCGTGAACGACTGAGCTCATGAACCCATGGTGAAGACGGCAGGGAGCTGGAAAGAGACAGCAGCAGGAGGAAGATCCACTTGAGCAAAAAAAATATATATATACTCAAAGGACATCAGCGTGAGACAGTGGCTAACACAGCGGCTGTGCCACACATGAAGACAGAAGGCAGGACAGGGACAACATAAATCCAAACCACCCATCTTTACCCCTGATGGCCAGTATGGCTGAGGTCTTCTCCTGTGCACACACACATGAGTACTCCCCGGCATCAGCTATGGTCAGGCTGCGGATCTGCAGCCTACACACGGCTCCATCCTGACTCAGGCTGTATCTGTCTCCATCTTGCAAGGTCTTTGTTCCTTTCTTCCATACCACAGGAGCTGCCTTGCTCAGTTCACACCTCAGGGTAGCCGTGGCTCCTTCTGTAGCTTCTTCGTTCTTCAGACCGTCTGTGAACTTAGCTGGAAGGGCTACGGAGGTCAGAAAGACACAGACACAATCACACTCTCTGAGAACATGGAAGACTCTAGATGTGGATGGACAGGGAAAACAGGAAGCCCGACCGCACACAGGCCACACACTGGGCATGACAAGCACAGCTGAGGAGGGGACTTTGCTTGGTCGAGACTCTGTGTGTCTCGTGGCCACAGCCCATTCTGTGATTTTCGCAGGCCTCAGACCGTATGAGTTTGGCTTGTGGGATTGGGGACAACACAAAGATCATCAGGATCTTACAGAATGGTGAAGATGGGATGCAACACGCAACAGTAAAACACACCTTGGAGATTATAAGGTATAAACAAGCAGACACACATGGGGAACAGCACAGATGGGGCAGCATAGAGAACGGTCATCCTGACCCTGGTGAAGCATCAAAGTAACAGAGCACCTCAAGATAAGGAGTTCCAGAGAGAGCACCTAGGAACTGGACAGCAGAAGCGTTTACAATATTCCTGGCCCCGTGGCTTCTGTGCCCACCATGATCCACACACAAACTCCATGCTCAATGGCTTTACTGCTAGGTCACAGCATGTCATGGTTGTGAACGACTCCAAGTAGTTCTTGTGCTCTCATTCTGATGATGCCGGGAGAGCTCACAGGGTGCCTGGACCCCAGCCCCCCATCATAGCAAACCCCAATTCTCAGAACAGACTGGGAAGAAGGAACAGCTTAGCTGGGTCTCTTGCTGGCACTGTCAGCCTAGAATAGGTGGCCAGAGGGCTCTGCCCCATCTTCACAGTGCAGGCAAACTCTCCGGTGTGAGGGAGCAGTGTTGAAGGCCCACGAGTGAACACGGAGAGGAACAAGTCCTTGGCTGCCATGTGGGAAGTGGTCACAGAGAGGAGGGACGAACCGGCTCCTGTTTGCCAAAGCTGAAGCCTTCCTCTGGCTACCAGACCATAACTGAGAACTCATGAACACCAAGCTCTGCGTGCTTGGAGCATCCTCGGGACGCTGTGGTCCAGGGCTAGCTTTTGAAGATGAAGCACTCTCTAGAAAGGTCCCGGTAAGGTATCCATCATGGTCTAGTCTTTGTTGGGACAAACCCAGTTCTGAAAGCAGCTGGCTGCCAGGACTCTCTACACCTCAGCCATCAACTGTGTGTCCTGTGGATGGGAATAGGGAGAAGGGTTTCCTGTGACCTCTCTCTAACTCTTCAGCCATGGGACAGGCCTCGGGTGCGTCCTTTTGTCATTTCTTGGAATGTCTGAATGCGTGACGGCGCCAGGTCTCTGTGTTTTGACATTGATCCATCTACATGGTAAATGGTTTTCATTCAAGTGTCTCTAATGCTTGTGATGATAACAGGAGCCACCTGCTGCAGCTTGGACAAAGATGGCCAGCCCTCACCATGCCTTCCTCTTCAGCGCCCTCAGTAGTCAGCTCTTCACAGGAGAGCAGAGCCCGCCAGGCCCAGGGCTTCACACCTGTGGGAGTTTCATTCAATCTTCACTCTCCAAGATGCCCAGGGTCCTCAAACAATGGTCTGTGCATTCCATCTGCTTCCCTGCAGGGATGCTCGGCCCCTCCAAGGACCCCTGACAGAGAGCTGATTCATTCCTAGGTCACCAGTTACACCAAGACGGGAATTCCAGCTCCCTGGGCACAACTGTGCCTACGGAGCATGGTCCAGCAGGCCAGTCACTCTAGGAAGGTGTGTTGCTGCCGGTGTATACATAAGGACCCAGGATCTATGACAGCCAGGCTACAGGGTTCCATGTATCATATCTGCCTCAATATGTGAGAGCCTCTGTCTGTGATGTCCTAATATCCTGACGTCCAGGGAGGTACCTTGCTCTGTTCACACTACAGTGTGACCTTACTCCCGGTAGTGCCCTCCCCAGGCCTCTAACTATCTGTGAAGTACTGTTCACACCTGGGGGGGGGATACACAGCTGAGGGAGGGGTAACAAAGAAGATAATTAAACTCTGTAGCCGTGGACAAAAGTGGTCACCGACAACACGTACAACACAGAACACAGAGTGGCCAGAGGCAGGATCGTCAAGCCCTCTCCAGTGGGAAGACCTGGAACTGACCAGGAAAAGCCCAGGGAGAGCAGTGTCAAGCTCACCCCCACAGACTTGTCTTCACCTCTCCTCACCACCACGGGACAAGCCCTTGCCTCCACCTGACTCCCCATGGGTCAGGTGCCTACCTCTGCCTGATACCCATAAGGTTATGCCTTCATCTTCATCTGACTTGTGCATGTTGGACCCTTGCCTCCATCCTGACTCCCAAAAGATGGGACCCCACCTTTATCTGACTCCTAGGGAGTGGGCCCTCAACCTTGCCTGACGCATGGTGAATCTACACCTTCCCATTCAGGCAACGTCAAAGCTGTCCTTCCTGTATTCCTGCCGGGTGGGCCATTCCTCCATTTCCTGCCTCCCCCTTCTCCTGGTGTGCCCCCCAGGACCTATAATTGCACCTTTGTAATTGTTTTCACACACACACACACACACACACACACACACACCCCAACCAGGACGCTCCTGGAGTTGGGAAAGACCTGATTCTCCATTGTTTTCTGGCATCTAAAGTAGGTCCCATACAACAAGCATGATAAATACCAGCTAACAGGATAAAGATGAGACATAGAAGACCAGGGGAGGTGGGTAGGAGAAGACACTCAGGCACAGAGCCGACCATGCACACAGGGCACCTGCACACAGGAACACACACAGTCTTTACCCCTGATGGTCAGTGTGGCTGAGGTCCTCTCCTGCCCACATATGCACAAGTACTCCCCAGCATCTTCCACAGCCAGGCTGCGGATCTGCAGCTCGCACACAGCCCCATCCTGCTTCAGGCTGTATCTGTCCCCATCTCTCAGGGTCTCCATTCCCTTCCTCCACTCCACAGGGGCAGCCTTGCTCAGCTCACACTGCAGTGTGGTCGTGCCCCCTTCTGTGGCTTCCTTGCTTCTGAGTCTTCCAATGAAGTGGGCAGGCAGAGCTAGAATAGTAAGACAGACGGGAACATCAGATAGTGTTGTGGGATAGAACATGACATAGAACAGGATGGGGAACAAGACAGAATACAGCAGAGCAATGGGACAGAACCCTCCAGGGCTCAAGAGCAGGAAGCCAGCTGCGCATACTAGTATTTCCTGGCTCATATAAAGACTCAGAGAGTACGGTGGGATGAACAGAAGGTGCACAAACATAAGGAGAAAGCACTGGGGGAGTTGGAACGCCAGGTCAACTCCTGGGTAAACCACTGACCCACATGACCCCATCTGTGGTCCTTACCCTTGACAGTCAGCGTGGCTGAAGTCCTTTCCTGTCCACACACGCACATGTATTCCCCTGCATCTGCCACAGCCAGGTTACAAATCTGCAATTCACACACAGCCCCATCCTGTTTCAGGCTGTACTTGTCCCCATTCCTCAGGGTCTCTGTCCCCTTCCTCCATTCCACGGGGGCCTCTTTGGTCAGCTCACACCGTAGTGTGGCCATGGTCCCTTCTGTGGCCTCCTTGTTTCTCAGTCTTCCTACGAACTGGGCAGATGTGGCTGCAGCAGGTACAGATAGATACAAAAGACCTCATGAGTCACTGCAGTGAGTTTCCCACTGGAGCCTGAGCACAGGACGGCCAGCTGCACTTACGCTTCACTGTGAGTGTGGCTGAAGTTGTCTGGTCCCCAAAGGAGCAGGAATACAGCCCACTGTCCTGGGGCTGCAGGTCTCGGATGACCAGCTCCAGCACAGCACCGTCTTGGCGCAGGCTGTACTTGCTGCTGGACTTCAGAATGTCTTCTCCATGACGCCACTCCACAGGCGCAGCCACGGACGACAGCACGCAGCGCAGTGTGGCGGCCCTGCCCTCTGGTACCGCCACATCCTTCAGGGACTCCCTGAAGTGCACTGGTCGAGCTGTGAACAGGCAGACTCAGTTAAGCCTCCTGGAGGAGAACCCCACCCGAGGTCCAGAAGCAGCTTTAAGATGTGGAACAACTCAGATAGTGGATGCCAGTGGCAAGACCCCAAAGACTTCTGGGAAAGATGGGTCTGAAGTTTTATAAATGGAAAGGTGGGTATGGAACAGATTAAAGGCAATTATTACAGTCCGAAATGTATCCCCTGAAAATTTAGATGTTGAAGCTCTAAGTTGGGATCTCAGAATGTGACTGTTTGACAGTGTGGACTTCAAAGAGATTAAAACCGAACAAGGTTGTTGGAATGGGCTCTTATTTCATCAGACTAGTGTGCTTAACTAGGACACCAGCAGAGAGGAACGAGTGCCTGGAGTTACAAAGAAGGTGGCATCTGAGAGCCAAGGAGACAGACCCCAGGCCAGTCAACCTTGATTTCCTACTTCCGGCCTACTCAGCAGGTAGACAAGAGACTCCTACTGTGCAAGATGACTGTCTGTTACTGCTAGCCTAGGGCAGCCCAGACAGAGGCAAGCCACAGGGCAGGAAGAGGGACTCCAGAGGGGTCCACCAAAGCCAAGTCAGGAATGGGCCCCAAGCAGGGGTCAGGAGGCCAAAAGAGAGTGGGAGACCCTGAGACAAAAGGAAGTGAAGTGCCCCACATAGCAGGCAGAGGCAAAGGAAAGGTGGTGCAGGAGAATTGTCTATATTCTGTCAATTAGGGTTTAAATAAACACTGATAGGCCAGTAGCTAGGCAGAAAGTACAGGTGGGACAACCAGACAGGAAAAGGAGGCAGGGCAATGAGAACAGGAGTTTTCTGGGAAGAAGGAAGCTCTTTCTGCAGTTCTGTCCAGACACCAAAGAAGCAGGATGTGACCTGCCCTGCTTTAAAAGGTACTGAGACACGTGGCTAACATAGATAAGAATAATGGGCTATATAAGTTATAAGAGTTGATACGAAGCCTGAGCTCATGGACCAATCAGTTTATCACTAATGTAGACTCTCTGTGTAATTTCTTTGGGACCTAACAACTATGGGAACCGGACAGGACAGAAACCCCAACAAGCAGACCTCATGCTACAGAAAGGAACCAGAATCTGCTCCGGGGACCCCCTGTCTCCTGTGGACATATTTCTATTCTTATCCCAAACATGGACACCTGACACTCACCATGAATCCTGACAATGGAGCTGCTGGTGGCTCCAGCAACTTCACACTTGTATCGCCCACCATCTTGTACGGTGGTACCAGTGATGACCAGCTGGGCCCGACAGCCTTCATAGCTCAGTTGGCATCGTGCAGATGGCTTCAGTGTCCTCCCATCTTTGGTCCAGTGCACAGAGCTTTCCAGAGTGGTGGTTTCACAAACAAGAGTCAGGTCCTCGCCTTCTGTGACTGTGACATCTGTGAGTGGCTTAGAGAAGACGCTCGGCTTCTCTGAGGGATAGAGAAAAGACAAAGGTGCTTAGGACTGCGGTTCCTCTATGAGAGCACTAGCGCAGTAGATCATACAAGGCCTGGACTGTTGCCCTAAAGCAGGAGCCAGACAGAAAGGTAGGCTCTGTGTAGCTCCCATCCTGGAGGAAGACAGCACACATCACATCACCCACAAATACTGAATTCAGAAATTAATTCTGAAAGGACCCAACTCAGTCTTCTGAACCAAGTCCTAGGAGATGGGAGGTGCCCCCCCCATGTCATTCGCTATTTCCCTGGAATGAGAGACCCCTTGCCATTGACAGCTAATCTTGCCTCTCCATCAGCCCCCGGACCACACTGGGCACCAGGCAGAGCTTGGGAAGAGCTGTCATCTGCCCCTCTTCAAGGCTTCTCTAGGCCATGTAGTGTCCCCATCATGGATGGCCCTTAGACACAAAACCCACCAGTCACCCGCAGGGCAGCTGAGGTCCGCTGGTCACCCGCCTCGAAGTAGACAGTGCCTGAGTCCTTGAGCGCCAGCTGCCGTAGGGTGAGCACGTGGTAGCCTCCAGGCTGGACAGTGATCTCGTTCAGTTCATTGCTGTGCAAGGGGGTCTTATCCAGGAACCAGTGCACGGGGCTGTAGTCGGCTGGGGAGATGCGGCAGCAGAACTTGGCAGAGGAGCCTTCCTGGACGGCAGCGTCCTCCAGGTCCTCAGTAATGCGCACTTTCTGACCTGCCAGGCAAGGGTCATCTCAGAGCTCCTGCAGCCTAGCGCCAGGCTTGGCTAAGTGCCAAGAGAAATAGCTTCGCCCAAGACCCTGGGTAAGGCCATAAGCAAGAGATCTACTTTACTTTAACCTCAATGAAACTGGGAAGCAGATCTGAGCCAAGGAGTCCTTTGTATGTCATCCTCTGAACCCCAAACCTATATCCCCCTCTGAAGCCCTCTTGCTAAGATGGTGGAGGGCCCACAGCCAGCTGGAGCTCATGTAATCTCTCCCGCCCTTCATAGGGAACTGGGCTTTCCAACAAATAGACTACCCACTCCCCAAACCGCTTACACCAGCAGCGCTCACCACAGCACAGCACAAGTCATACCGCAGGCAATCTCATATCGACAGATGAACGGTGGGTGAGAAAAGGCGGTGGTTCCCCAACCCCCACTCTGCTGCAGAGAATCATCTGACTCCAGCCTTCCTACTCCCTCTCTGTCTGGTCCCTTCCATTCTCCTCTCTGCTTCCACGAGATGGGGTTTTCAGCATCCACAAGCATAAAGAATTTGTGGTATTTGATTCCCTGTGCCTGGCTTACTTCACCTACATTTTAAAGACCTCGAGGGAAAGGTTAAAGTCTCACGACATACAAAAATGATAACTACTCAAGCACAGAAATGCCCAGTAGCCTGATCAGATCCCTACACGCTGCCAACACACATCCAATGATCACCCTGTGTCTCACAGACTTGGACTGCTCTTCCAGTACAATCCCAAGAAGCTACATCAGATGGTTCACAACCACCTGGAACTCTAGCTCCAGAGAACACAGGGGCCTCCTCAGGTACCTATACACACATAAACACACTCAGATCTAGACACACAGAGGAGAGAATATGTACATTCCTAGAAATATTTGACTGTTGAATTAAAAAGGGTAGCGTTGTTGCTGGCGATGGCTCACACCTTTAATCCCAGCACTTGGGAGGTCGAGGCAGGTGGAGTTCGAAGTTCTCTGTGGGTTTGAAGCTAGCCTGGTCTACAGAGAGAGTTACAGAACATGCAGGGCTACACAGAGAAACCCTGTCTCAAAGAAGACGGAAAAGAAGGAGAAGAATAGGGGTAGATAGACATGGATCCTGCATACACACGATTGCACCCACAAACACCTTGGAAAGTAGGGCTCCACTCGAAAGACTCGATACTGGATGGCACTGATCAGTAGGCTGTCACACAGAGAATGGCTCTACTCTACCCACAGGCATCTGTATGGTTTACACTTAAGGTCTACATTTACTGATTTTCTTTTTTGAGGCATGGTCTCATGGACCCCAGACTAGCCCTGAACTTGCTCTGATCTTGAACTTCTGCTCCTCCTACTTCTACCTCCCATTGTCTTGATGGAGAACTGGTCTGGAATCCCCCACAGATATCAAAATCTGAGGGCACACAAGTCCCACATTTAAAGAATGGTGAAATGTCTGCACTCTGCACACATCTGCTGATACACTTTAATAGCTGGTTTTTAATAGGCAATGCAATAGAAGTACCGGTGCAGTATTACATCGTAATGTTTAGGGAGCAGTGACAAGCAAAAAAGTCTGTGTTCATCACAGCCATATTCTTCCCAGTTGTGTGTGCAGCGTGCATGTGTGTGCATGCCTGTTTGCGTGTATGGAAGCACAGATGCATGCATGTGCACACACATGTAGAGGCTCCAGGCTGATGTCAGGAAACTTCCTACTAGCTCTCCCATCTAATTCAATGAGGCAGGGTCTGCCTCTCAGTCAATCCAGAGCCCACCTATATGGCTAGTCTTGATACCTACATTGCTCTGAGATCTACCGTCTCCACCTTCCCAAGCACCTCCATTTCCATGGGCTCTGGGGAATCCAAACTCAAGTTCAAGAGCTTGCACAGCGAGTGCCTTAACAACTGGAACATCTACCTAGCCACACAATTCCTTTTTTTTTTATTAACAGGAGGCTAGATCTGAAGATGTAGAACCCGCAAATATAGAGGGTAAACTTTGTTACTTCTAATTATCAATGGAGAGGGTTCTCACCACACGAGAAACACTATTCCCTGAAGGCAGACTTCAGGATGAGTTCCCTAAATGCCAACCTGGACTCCACACTAGGATCACAGAGCCAGGTGAGGGCTGCGGCCAGGAGGGCCAGGGTCATCTCTGTTCTGACACCATGGCACACCCCTCCTAACCAGGCTGGTCACCACCTCCCTTCCCTACACACCCGAGAGGACAAGCGTTCTCACGCTGCACAATGGAGGGGAACGGGCACTTCACAAGTGAGAACAAATGGAGGAAGCAAAGAGCAAACAAACAGCAACAAACTGTACTGTAAGTTCTGCAGAGAGCATTCTTGTCAACCCTGGGAAAACCCTGCCTGGCATCCACAACACTTTCTCGTGGCCCCGAGAGATCCCCTCTTGTTCCACATGCACCCCATGCTTCATACACACAGATTGTATCAAAGCTTATCTTTGACTTTCTTGAGCTCTGCAGCAACTCCGAACAGGTGACCTGGACAGACAACTGCCCAGCAGGGACACCCCCACCAACCACAGACACCAGCTCCTGCCCCATGTCTGCAGGAACCCTGAGATCTGTACCCAAGCAGCTCATACCCACCTGTCTATGGCTCCTTGCTCTGGAATGCACCCTGGGCTTTCATTTCGATGCCATGCCTTCCCAGCAGGACGACTGTTCTTTAATAACCTGTCTTTAGCCTTTCTAAACCGACACTATCAATATTGGTCAGTTCTCTACTGAGAACACAAGAGGCTCCTTAGTTCTCAACAAGCATGGTAAGCTGTCCCTGCACAATAACTGACACGCCAAGTGTGTAAGCACACACAGAAGACATATCCTGGAACTCAGCACAGGCCTGGACACGCTGTAAGAACACACAGAAAGTGCCCACTGTGTAAATGAAGGCAGTTTGTTAGCTCCTTCACAGTAGGTCACACTAGGAAAGCCTGAGATGCCCAGGCAACCTGCTCTACCTTTAGACATGGAGAAACTGAGGCTCAGCTTGTCCAGAACAAGCAGAGGCCTGATGACTAACTACTTCTGAGCCTCCAGAGTCCACTTCAGATCAAGAAGACCAGAGCAGCCATGAAGGAACCAAAAGCAGCATGCAAGTTAGGGCTGCCTCACCATGGACGAGGAGCCGGGCCTGGGTCCGGGCTTGACCAATGTCACAGGTGTAGGTGTCACTGTCTGTCCTCTCCAGGGCATTGATGGTGAGCTTCAGGGTCAAGCCATCCTGGCTGAGGACATGCTTCCCTGAGGCACGCAGCTCCAGGAGGCCCTTGCGCCATGTCACTACAGATGCTGGGTGCTCCGTCTTGCATGCGAACACGGCTATGCCCTTCTCTTCCACCTGCAGGTCAGCCAGCTCCTCCGTGAAACGGTTTGCCTTTTCTGGGTAAGGGACAAAACAGGCAGAGATAAAGGGCTATGTCCCCCCACAACCTGAGCACATAGGCTGACCTGAGGGGGTACCTCCACTGAGGTCCCGGGGGCAGCCACAGGCTATGCCACAGGGGAGGCTGACAGGGTCGCGTGCTTACCTTCCACAAGGAGCCTGGCGGTACTTTTGGAAGCCTCTGTCTCACAGGTATACTCTCCAGAATCCTTGAGTGAGGCCTCGCGGACAACCAGCACAGCCCGCGTGCCTTCCATGAGCAGGTCGTACTTCTGGCTCTTTCTGATGGCCTTCCCGTCCTTCAGCCAGCGCACAGAGGTGCCCGCCCTGGAAAGCTCACAGCTCAGCGTTGCGTGTTCTCCGAGCATTGTCCGCTGGTCCTCCAAGGGCTTTGTAATCTCCACTGGCCTCTCTGAAATAAGTAGAGCTGGTTCCCGTGAGGCAGAATCAGCCATGACCTAAGGCACATCGTGACTGCAATAACCTCTTAGAAACGGCCTCAGCCAGGGCCAGGATACAAACAGGCAGACACTTGGGAACATGAATTCTCGAGAGATCAAAATCACAAAACCTACAGCCCTTGACTCCTGAGACCTTAGACCACTAGAGGCTCAAGACTAAGAAGTTCTGGAAGCTCCCAAAGCCTCCACTGTGACAGTGAGACCTAGAAAGCATGAGCTATACGGAAAGCTCATTTAAGGTTCATACAAGGGTATGGCCACAGTTTGGCTGGTCCCTGTGTAGATCCAGCCATGAACACCAGCTCCAAGACACCAGAGGCTTCTTCCCTGTCTCCCTGGCCTCAATTTAAGGGTCAGACTGGCTGAGTAAGCTACATGCACTGAGGGCAGCCAGCCCATGGGTGAGAGACTAGAATTCTCAGCTCACTCTAGAAATTCAAAGATGTTCAGGCAGGGCTATGACTCCCCACAGCACTATATTGGGTCCCCACCATGACAGGTAGACAGTCCCTAGAAGCATCCCAACAGTGCCCCAGTCCACAGTATCTGGCCCCTGGCCCCAGCCACAGCACCCACCTCTGACAATGAGCGAGGCCTTGGACGTGAGGCTCATCACCGAGAAGACCACCTCCCCTGCATCACTGACAGCAGCATCTTTGACGGTCAGAGTGTATTTGCGGCCCTGGCGAGTGGTCCGAAAGCGGCCAGAACTACCCACTGTCTTCCCGCCAACGGTCCACACTGCTGGGTCACTCTCGCTCTCGTGCGAAAGGACACACTCAAAGCTGCAGCTCTCCCCCTCCAGCACCTCCACTGTCTTTAGCCTCTTAGTGATGCCCACGTGCAGATCTGTGGGATATAAGAAACAGGTCAGCCCACGGACGTCAACCTCAGGGAACAGTAGTACCCCATGCCTGGTTTCCCACTGTTCCTAGCTCCACACACCTGACAACAAAGAGTGCCATCACAAAACTGGCACCAAAATCCTAGCTTCAAGCTGGCATGGCCTAGTGTTTGCGTGATTGACACCTCTGAGCTGTCAATCAAGTTGATTGAGAGAAGGAGGCTCCTCCACACTTCTAACCATCTTGTAATGCCAGGAGAGGAGGGACAGGGACCCCGTAAATGACCCCTTCCAGAGAGAGCAAGTCTTGTCCTATGAAAACCTCACTGTGCTCCCTTCCCATAAGGCCATCCCAGAGCCCCAGAGAGATCATGAATGAACAGGCTGCCAACCTGTCTCCTCCAAGCCAGGATGCCGGACCCAAGCCAGAGCCAGGTGGCTGGCCAGGCTGAGAGAGGTGTACTCAAAGGGACCTACGTCTTTGAAATAACGGGGCTGAGTGGGGCAGCACCTATGAACCTATGGATTGTTGGGGCTCTGTAAAGAACAGGAACATAGATGGCCTGGAGGCCTGTTCACCTGCAGGACAGGACATCCGCCCTTGGCCTGGGAGCCCTTTACAGTTTGTCTCCTGGTCACACCTCTTAGTGTCTCACACATGCCTGGCTGATTTCCTCCCAATCCCAGCACATGGTACAGAGCAAATGCCAGAGACCTGAATGGATCCACACCAGCCCCCTGTGAGGCTCCGTAGACAATTGTTCCTTAGCCCATCTGCCTGCCCCTGGACCTCAAAGGGCTACATTAAGCCCTGTGTGCTACAGACAACGTCTTTGGTGCCTCCTGGATACACAGAACAGCCTTACGGGCTTGAAAAGCAGCCTAGAGATTCTGGATGGAAGAAGGCTTAGCACCCTGTGGTGGTTTGAAAGAAAATGGTCCCCAAAGGGAGTGGCACTATTGGGAGGTGTGGTCTTGTTGGAGGAAGTGTGTCACTGTGATCTCATATATGCTCAAGCTATGCCCAGTACACAGCTGCTTCTACTACCTGTGGATCAAGATGAAGAACTCTCAGCAAGCTCTCCAGAACCAGGTCTGGCTACACACCACCATGTCCCGCCATGAAGATAATGGACTAAACCCCAGAAACTGCAAGCCGGTCCCAATTAAATGTTTGCTTTTATAAGAGTTGCCGAGGTCATGGCGTCTCTCCACAGCAACAGAAACCCTAACTAAGATAGCCATCCTGCATTAGAATCCCAGCCACTCACCATGCACACTGACCCTGGACTGGGTCTCCGCACTGCCCACGTGGCAGGTGTACAGTCCAGCATCCTCATGGCTCAGATCATGTACCGTAAGGCCCCGAGAGCCTGCCTTGTGTAGGAAGTCATACTTGTCACTGGGACCCAGCTCCACGCCATCTTTGCGCCAGACCACACGTGCCTCAGGGTCTGAGACCTCGCAGTGCAGGGCCAGCGTGCCACGCTCTTCTACAGATACGTCATCCAGTGCTTTCAGGAACACCACCGGCTTTGCTAGAGGAACGACATGGCCGGTGAGGGGAGCCTGTGCCAGCCCGGGAAGGGGGGACACCCCACAGACTCCACAGGACTCCTCACCTCTGACCACTAGCTGGGCAGAAACTGACACCTTGGGGGAGGTGGCACGCACGGTGCCTGCGTCGGCCTGACGGACACTCTTCAGCACCAGCGTGTGGAGACAGCCCTCGTGGTTGATCTCGTGGAAGCTGTCGTTGTACAGGGGAATCCCATTGAGTGACCATTCGATGTCCTCGTCCTTATGGGACAGCTCACACGAGAAGCAGGCCCGGCCTTCCTCTGTGGCTTCAACATCCTTCAGAGGCTGAGTCACCTTCACCTCCCGAGCTACAAGGCACCCACCATCACCTCAGCACTGTGCTCTCAGCCACCCCCGGCCCTGGCGTCGGGTCCACCACCCTCTCCTCCTTCCCAGCTCTCTACCTTCCACAGTAACCTCGGCACTGCTCTGGGCATTACCCGCCTGGCACCGGTAGAGCCCAGCATCCGCTGGAGTGAGCCGGAGTATACGCAGCTCGGCCATCTGGCCCTCCAGAACCATCTTGAACTTTTCGGACGGGGCCAGAGGCGTGTCCCCCTTGTACCACTGCACAGCCTTGGGGGCCGGCCTGAAGTCACAAGACAGGACTACCGACTGCAGCTCACGCCCTGCTTTGGGTTCCAGTGGCCGTGCCAATACCACGGGAATGTCTGGAGAAAACAGCGCAAAGGCAGGGCTGGGAGCTGCAAGCACCCAGACCGCACAGCCCCTACAATGTGCCTGGTCACCTCCCTTGGGAGTGTGCGGCACAAGCCCCTCACTGCCCACACACCCCTTGCTGCCCTGCCTCAAAGCCCTGCCGTGCCTGAGTACCTATATCCCACTTTTCAGGCCTCTGACCATATCCCCACTTCCAAAGTCAGCTCCTACTAAGCCACCCATGTACCACCCAGGACCCGTGTTCTGCTCCACACGCTGTCAATCCACTGAGTGGTGTCCACCCACAGCCTTGAGCCTAAGCCTGATTGCTTCAGCCCAGGCCACCTGTGCCTGGCCACTGTTCCTTTGTCTTGCCCCAAGCCATGTCCCACCCACAGCCCTAGACTAGGACCACCCCCATCTCCGAGCTGCGCCCAGACAGTATGCTAACCTGAGACAAGCAGCTGGGCCGAGGAGCGGGACTTGCCGATGGTGAAGTGCACAGGCCCGGTCATGGTGGAGCAGGTCTTGTGCAGCGTCAGCCGGTGCACCGTGCCGTCTTGCTCCAGGCCCACGTTGCCCCCCGCCTGGAGGACAGTCTTACCAAGGAGCCACTTGGGTGGCCTCACGGAAGGGATGGAGGTCTCGCATTCAAACCAGGCTGGGGCAGGCTCCATAACAGTCACGTCCTGCAGGCCTCGCACAATGGTGATGGATTGTTCTGTGGATGAGGAGCTGGTCACCAGTGAAACTCAGCCAGAGGGACCAGTCTCCCCGTCCTACAAGCTGTCTGTCCCTTCTTATCTCTCTCTACCACATGGCTAAACATCCTTCCCCATGTGTCTAAGATGGCATGGCAGCCTCCAGAATCTCCAGGGAAAGCCACAGAAACCGCAAATTCTCTCCCCGAAACCCAGGAGGACCGTCCACCCCTTCATCCCATACCTTCCACAAAGAACTGGGCACTGGTCTTGACATCACCGGCATCACAGGTGTAGGTATCTTCGTCCTCAGGCTGCACGTCATTGATGACCAGCTTACGGTAAAGGCCGTCACTGACCAACTCATACTTGGGCCCAGACTGCAGCTCGACTCTGCCCTTAAACCATCGCACCTGGGCACTGGCCCGGGACACCTGGCACTCAAGCACACCACGGTGTTTTTCCATGGCAATCTTGTCCCTCAGTGGGCGCAGGAGGGTCACAGGCAGCTCTGTGAGCACAGTCAAGTGAGGTCAGGATGATGACAAGGATGGATGTTTTTGCCTTGGCAACCTCCTAGGAGCCAAGAAACTGACTTCTGCTCCAAACCAGCTGCCCACGCCTTCCACCTGGGCCAGCAGGTGGCCAAGTCAAGCGTTCCACCCAGGGCTACCCCAGAATCTGCTGGGTACAACTGACCACCAGCAAAGTGGAGCTTGGTGTCTTTGCACCTGCTCTTCCCACCGAGGAGATCATACTCTCCCATCTCTGTGAGTCACTGCTGCCTTGTCTGGAAGGGGTCCTAAGGCACCCCAGGCCTGTGGGAGGCCAGCTGTCTGTGAGGCCCAGCTTGCCATGTCCAGTCCCTGTCCTCCCCTGAGCCCTCCTCACCTTTGACTCGGAGGTGGGCTCTTGATTCTGCATTTTCAGCTACAAATTTGATCTCCCCTGCATCTTCAGCCAGTACCCTCCGGAAGATAAGAGTGTATGTCCTCCCTGGAGACAAAGGACACTCCGTATTACTGAGAGAGAAGCGCAGCCTGGGAAACCCACCCTGCTGCTCTGCAGGCCTCTGACCTTCCTGCCGGATGCGCACGTTGTCACTGGGCCGTAGCTTGCTGGATTCTCGGAACCATAGGCCAGGAACCTCATCATGGGACACCTCACAGGAGAAGGTGGCACCCTCTTTCTCCATCACCTCCACATCCTCCAGTGGCTTCATAATCTGAACACTGCGGCCTAGGGGAAGGGAGAGGGGGTTGTTAAGGAGGTTTGAACAAGACTGGCCCCCATAGGCTCTTATATGTGAATGCTTAGGGTGTGGCACTAGGAGGTGTGGCCTTTTGGGGGTAGGTGTGGCCATGTTAGGGTGGGTGTGGCCTTGTTTGGGGTGGGTGTGGCCTTGTTGGGGTAATGTGGCCTTGTTGGGGTAGGTGTGGCCTGGTTGGGGTAGGTGTGGTCTTGTTGGAGGAAGTGTGTCACTGGGGGTGGACTTTGGGGTTTCAAATGCTCATTTGAAACCAGGCCCAGTGTCTCTCTCTTCCCACCGCCTGTGGATCGGGATGTAAAACTCTTAAGCTACCTCTTCGGCACCATATCTGTGCCCTACCATGCCTCCCATCATGACGATGAACTAAACCTCTGAACTATAAGCCAGCCCTAATTAAATGCTTTCCTTTATAAGAGTTGCCATGGTCATGGGGTCTCTTCACAGCGATAGAACACTGACTGAGACAGCTGGCATGCCCAGAAGCATAGGCCACTCCAAGCAAAGCTACCAGTTTGCCATCAGGCTGTGGGGAGCAGAGGTACCAGAGAGCACTACTCATACCTGCCAACCTTCCCTGTCCCCCCCGACCAGAGCTCACCCTGCACCTTCAGAGAGGCCGAGGTCTGAGCATCAAGAGCGTCACACACATAGACACCCTGGTCCCCGATCTCACACCGGTAAATAACGAGACTCCTGCAGGCTCCCTGGGCCACTATGCCCACAGTCTTGCCTGCCCGCAGCTCCACACCATCCTGTGGGGCAGAGAGGACTGGTCAAGCCCTAGAGTGTCTCCGTAGAAGGGGTTCACCTCCCGGATGCCCACAAGGAGAAGCAGGGAGGAGGGAGGAATACCTTCAGCCAGCGTACATCCACAGGCCGTGACAACTCACACTCCAGGGTCACCTTCTCTTTTTGGGTGGCCACCACATCCTGCAGTAGCCGGGTGAAGCTCACTGGCAGCTCTGAGACGGGAAGTAGGGAAGGAAGCCGTGGAGTTAGGAGGCGCTTTCTGATGCCGTGGGCTAACTGTAGCCACACAGGGCTTTTCCACTCTCCACCTGGTCCCAGCTGCCTCCCTGGACCACTCAGGGAGCTGAAATAGGCGTGCTCGGGAGGGGGGCTGCCAGCCTTCACTACTCACCCGTGACTATCAGCTGTGCAGACGTGTGTACACCCTCAGCCCTGAAGGCCACCAACCCACTGTCCTGTGGCCTCAGTGCTGAGAGTGTGAGGATGTGGACAGGGCCTTGTACGGCCAGGTGGCATGCGGGCCCAGGCTGAAGCCGCAGGCCATCTCGAGTCCAGCTGCCCTCCACATCAGCATGAGACAACTCCACATCCATGGAAGCCGTGCCCTGTTCCTTAGCCTCCACGGGCTGCAAACCTCGAACCAGCCGGACCTGCCGCACTGTCAGAGGGACTCCAGTGAGCTAGTAAACTGAGACCCTCCAACCAGCCAGGACTCAGACACAGATGTGGATTCAGCCGACCACCCAGAGGCCACAGAGCAGAGTGAGGCCCCAGGAGTTAACCCCCAGCCCTTACCCACCCAGCTCTACCTCAACCCCAGCTGACCCCCAGGCCTGACCCTCTACTTCCTCCTCCATCTCTTCCTTCCTTGGATTCACTTGCAGGAACCAGGGTGGACTGCCTGCCTCCCCAAAAGACAATCCCACCCATCCTCACAGCCAACACAAAGCCATGCCCCCACTTCTGGAAGAACCCCTCTCTTCCTCTGAGGTCCCGACCCTGGGCTTACTTTCTACGTTGAGCTTGGCCTGGCTCTTGTCATCTGGTGTCTCACAGCCATAGAAGCCGCGGTCAGTGAAGCTCACACTGAGCAGCACCAGGCGGTGCTGAGCTCCCTGAGCATGGATTTCCACGTTCTCGCTGGGCGCCAGGACGGCAGCGTTCCGTGTCCACTTCACCTCAGGCCAGGGCCGCGTCAGCTCCACCTCCAGCGTCACGGAGCTCTTCTCCTCCACCGTCTGTGGCTCGAGTTTCTTTTTGAAAAGGACCGGTGCCTCTGAGATAAAGAAGGGCAGGGGTCATCTTGGTCACTGGGGGCCTACTGAGGCCCCACCCTAGGCCAGAGAACCCCAGCATGCAAGCAGTCCTGCTTCAATCAGGGTAGGCTCCAACTGCACACCTTACATAGGTACATTTTATGGGGGAAGCTAAGGCTGTTTCTTCAATCCCATCCCCCCTGCCCCCCATCCCAAGCCCTGCTGCCTGTCTATGATCAACTGTGCTGAACTCCTAACTATGGGCAGATACCACAACGGCCAGCCTTCGGCTTCTGAGTAGGGCCACTCCACAACCCCTCAGCCACTGTCCTGTTGTCTGCCCTAACGATGCCCCAGGACACCTGCTCATGTTAAGACATATGGGGAGGACAAAGGCTCCAGTGTGGGTCTCGCTGACCCATCATCCCCCCCTCCTCCGGGAGGTCCACCCATCTTCCTTACTCCCATACTCAAGAGCCTGCCACATCTTCAAATAAAGTCCTGGCTCTCGAAGCGCACCCATCCCTTCTGCCTTTGAGCTTTTGAGCGCAGCCTCCCATCTGATTTGCCATTGCAGATGTCTCAGCCTTATCCCTGCTCCTACCAGGCACACTTGAAGAGACAATACCTAGTGTCTCACACACACCAAATCACCTCTGTTGACAACAGACAGAGTCCATGTCCTCCAAGGCCAACCAGATCATCCCAACACACGTGAGCACTATGGGGCTGCCTTATCGGTTCACGCGGAGGGAGAGGCCCCTTTGCAAGGACCCCCTGGCTATCCTGACAGTCCTTCTGGCTCCCAGCTCACCTCGGACCCGGAGAGTGGCAGAAGATGAGGCACCCTCAGCCTCCACTGTGACATGGCCAGCGTCCTCCAGGGTCAGGCCCAAGATGGTCAAACTACAGGTGGCCGCACTCTGTGCCATAACAAACTTCTCGCTGGGCAGCAGCTGGGTGCCATCCTTATACCACACGACTGCTGCATCGCTGGGGGACACGACACACTGAAAGGTGGCCTCTTGGCCCTCCTCTGCAACCACGGTGCTCAATCCAGATGTAAACTTGACCACTCGGGGAACTGCAGAGGGAAAGTCTTCTTCAGGGGCCATGGGAGAAGCTCCGCAGAGACGCACCCGAGACAGACATGCGGAAGGACCCCTCCCCTAGGAAGCCACTTGAGCTCACCCACGGGTACCTTTGACAGTGAGCCGTGCGCTGGTTCGGTCATCACGGCTCTCACACACGTACTCCCCTGCATCATCCTCTCGGAGGCCAGACACGGTCAGGGTGTGCCTAGGCCCCTCCGATGTCATCTGGAAGCGCTTGCCCTGCCGCAGCTGTGTGCTCCCACAGCGCCACACGACCTCTGCCTGCTCTGGGGTCAGCTCACAGACCAGCTTCACAGTGCCACCCAATTCCCCTTCAACGGGCTCCAGGGGTTTGGAGAACTTGGTGGCCACCTCTGAGGGTAGAAAAGGGTGTCAGCCAGTGATCTGGGTAGATGGCCACATGTCCTGAGCTCCACTCTGGGGCTGCTCTGGGATACTACCTACTCGTCTCTGGGGCAGATGCAGGGACCCTGGAAGAGATCCAGACTCCTTACCTTCCACCTGAACCGGAAAGTCCTGGCCTTCCTTGCCAACACGGCAGCTGTAGATGGCACTGTCCAGCACCTGTGCACCTCTCACGGTCAGGGTGTGGGTGTCACCCTGGCTGGTGATCTCATGGCGCTTACTGCGGTGAATCTCCACACCGTCTTTGAGCCAGGTCACAGCAGCCACAGAGGGTGCGGCCAGAGTGGCGGTCAGGACGATGTTCTCATGCTCCTTGACCACCAGAGGCTCCCTGCGGCTGGGTCTCTCTGGAATCTGGGACTCGGGCTCTGGTTCTGAGAAGTAAAGTAGCCATGTAAGAAAGGACCAACACACACGACTCTCCAACAGTAATGCGTGCTAGCTGCTGCCCCTCTGTGTCCAGCAAGAACATAATGCCTCCTAAGGGCCATCATCACCAGTACTGTCCCAACCAAGATCCCAGGAGTCCCGCCTCCAGGGAGACTTCACCCCACAGGGCAGAATGGCATAGAAGGGTAGACAACTCACAGCCCAGGGTATGATTGGCCTGACCTGGGATGAGACTGGAAGTCATAGAAGCTGCCTGAAAAGATAGCCTGGGAGCCAAAACACTACTGGCAAAAGTAGGGTGGGTGTGCAGGAGACCTAGTTGCCTCGGCCAGCAACTGCACTTAGACAAACCATGTGCTGGAGATGTGCAGGTTTGTCCAGGGCCACCGCTAAGGACAAGCACAGCTATGCGGGTACAGTAGAAGCCAACTGCAGACAAACACCGTGGCAACATGCTACAGTTGAACCACCAGGACTCGAAGGCCAAAATAAGGCCCATGGGCCCGCAATGGGAAGAGCAGGTTCCTAAACCTCAGACCAAAACCCTGATAGCTCACAAGGACTCAGAACTGCAGGAAGGTCCAATTGGGCCCCACCTAAACAAGGCCCTTTCCCCAGAACCTGAGGTTCAACAGCTCTTGCACCTGAAGCCAGCCCATGCCGGGTGGTGGTGCGCACACCTTTAATCCCAGCCCTCAGGAGGCAGAAAGAGGTGAATCTCTGTGAGTTCTGGGCCAGCCTGGTCTACAGAGCGAGTTTCAGGACAGGCTCCAAAGCTACAGAAAAATCCTGTCTCAAGAAGAGGAAGAGGAGGAAGACGAGGAGGAGGCCAGCCCAATAGAACTAGTGATGAGGAAGGAGGTGGACGGGGCTCAGACTGGTACAGGGGACATCAGGAATACATGAGAAAGAGGCTCTGCCCTCAGAGTAGAAGGCAGGAGAAAGTAGTGAAAGAAAACAGTCAGAGACAGGGCTGTGAGAACCAGACAAGGAACCCTCGTGTCTCGAAGGGGTCAGCTGCATCTCTACCCTGAACACAATGACACCCACCTGTGACATCCAGATGGAAGGAGACCCTCTGTCCCCCGGCTTCGCAGCTGTACTCCCCAGCATCCGCCTTGCCCGCCTGCTGCACCACCAGCCTCCTCTCGCAGCCTGAGGCCTCCACTCGAACCTTCGAGCTGGAGCTCAGCTTCTTCCCATCCTTGAACCAGGTCACCTCGGTCTGGGCCTGGTCTACCATGCAGCTCAGTGTGGCACTGGCCCCTGCCTCTGCCTTCACCTCGCTGCGAGCCTGCTGCTCCTTGGCAAACACCACCTTGGTGTCTAGGAACAGATGGGAACACACAGGATCAGAGACACCGTCCAGGTCAGGAAGATCACACAGGGAAAAGAAGGGTTGGATATGGTGGCCATAGGACAGAGCACCCTCCAGGCTCCATACTTGAGGGGTTAGGAAGTCCTAGTACCTCTTGACACAAAACCACAGTTCATGCACACATCCCACCATGCTACAGGAGGGTTCTCTACAGTTCCTGATGCCTCACAGGTGGAGGGCCATTCCTGGTTCTGGCCACTAAGGGGTAGTCTTCCAGGATGTGACACTTATCCATGGCTAACCTGCTTCTGCCCTATTGGCAGGCAGTTCTAGATACTCTTTATGTAGTTGCATGCTAAGGTGCCTGCAGTGCTCACAGGCAGGAACAAAAGCATGCCCAAGATGAATTTCCCTGGTACTCAAGAAGGAAAGGACCTTCCTGGGACACCCTTCCCATTCTGTGTCTTGCTCAACACTGGACTAAACACGGGAATGGGAAGAGAGGAGACATGAAGAGAATACGTAACAGGAGAACATAGGGTCAGCCACGGTCAGTTACGACCAGCCACGATCAGCCATGGTCAGCCACGGTCAACCACGGACTAATGCACAAAGGAGCTAAGGGACCAGACTTAACAGAAGGCACAGAGGATCAGTCATGGACATGAGCCAGTCATCCCTTCCACACAAGGCTTACTATCACAACACCTACCTGTGATGTCCAGACAGAAGGAGACCTTCTGTCCCCCGGCCTCGCAGCTGTACTCCCCAGCATCTGCCTTGCCCGCCTGTTGCACCACCAGCCTCCTCTCGCAGCCCGAGGCCTCCACTCGAACCTTCGAGCTGGAGCTCAGCTTCTTCCCGTCCTTGAACCAGGTCACCTCGGTCCGGGCCTGGTCCACTGTGCAGCTCAGTGTGGCACTGGCGCCTGCCTCTGCCTTCACCTCGCTGCGAGCCTGCTGCTCCTTGGCAAACACGACCTTGGGCTCTGTGGACAAACAGATGCATGGAGTCAGAGGCCACGTGGGAAAACAGCTTTGCTGGGTCATCTAGAGGACAATTCCTCCATGTTCAGCACTGCCTATGCCCAGGACAGAAACTCCAGGGCCTCTCAGTACAAAATCAGATTATCCTTCCAGGCGGTGGTGGCACATGCCTTTAAGCCCAGCACTCCGGAGGCAGAAGCAGGCAGATTTCTGTGAGTCTGAGGCCAGCCTTGTCTACAAGAGCTAGTTCCAGGATAGCTAGGGCTTTTACACAGAGAAACCCTGTCTCAAAAAACAAACAAACAAAAATCAGATCGTCCACATAGGACACTAACACTGCAGGAGGGCATTGACAGTGTGTCTGTGACAAGCCTCCTTGAGGGAAGGACCGCAGGCCCATAGCATTGGTGCCTCAACCCCTCCATGACAGCAGAACTCCACCAACAGCATTGCCCAGAGAACATCACCAGGGCTGAGGGTCCCTGAGGCCCCACGCCCTTGCCTGCTAGGAGCGATGTCAGCTGCTACATCAGGAAGGGGCTGGCTGTCTATGGTTAGACCTTATCCCGATGCCTCTCCAGAAAGAGCCCAGTCTGGTCTTGGCTGTTAGTGCTTGGTCCCCCTTAGTGTAATGTTTATTTAGTGACCAATAGTGTTGCCAGGCTTTTCTCACAGCCCTTTTATGCAGACGGCATATTTTCACATGCTAAGGCTCTGAGTACTGTGAGCTAGTGTCTTCCCATCAGCCACGGGCCTTTCTTTTTCTTCTCGAGTGCTATCTTCTGATGATGGAAAGACATCTCATAGGTCACATGGATGCAATGCTTCAGGCAAAGGAAAAGCGCTGTTGTCCTTCATGCTGAGGGCATCTATGTTCTGTTCCAGTCATATTCTCCCAGAGTCTTACACAGCCCATAGTGTTCACTGGGTCTGCTGCAGCTGGGGGCCAGTGTCTTTCTGGTGTGGGGAGCACATCCGTCACTACTGCACTTTCTGTTCTGATGTGGATGGCTGCGTGGTCACACCACCATTTGCCTGTGGCACTTTTTTTTCATGCCTCCAACCAGGGCCATGGTCAAAACACACACAAAGGAAGGAGTCCTGACTGGTGCCGGGTCTGTTTTCAGGTTCCCTACTCCATTTCTGGCTCTGCTGCCTGTACCTACACTGACGTTCAGCTGTCTCCAGCACAACAGCATCAAAATAACCTTGGACATCTAGTAGATGAAGTATTCTGTCTTCATGACTCCTTTGGCTCTATTTGAGCCTTGGAAGCATCACGTCAATTTTGACAACACCAAAAGATCTGCACTTTGGTAGCCATCAGGAACAAATATCTCTCTTGAGCTGGAGAAATGGCTCAGCAGTTAAGAGTACTGGCTGTTCATCCAGAGGACCCAGGTTCGATTCCTAGCACCCACAGGCATCTAACAACTGTCTATAACTCCAGTTCCAGAGAATCTGATGCCCTCTTCTGGCTTCAGTGGGCATTGCACCCATGTAGAGCACAAGTCATTCATGCAGGCAAAATACCCATGCACCCATAAAATTAAAATAAATAAATAAATAAACAGGAGGGCACATTAAACTTTGTGATATATGATCTAAAATTTTAGCAAACACTTTGCTCTGTTTTTATTAAATGCACAAGAGTCTTCTCTCTTTCTTTAAAAAAGTCTTATTGTTCTCTTCCCTTTCACACTTTTGTGTTTCACCGACCTTGCACTCCTGGGTGACAACCTCCATCCCTGCACACTAACTCTTAGCTCGGTTCACCTTGTCAAACGTTTGCACAGACGTCGTCTCCAGTGCACACAAGAGAATGCCTGCCATTCGGTGTCAACACTGTCCCGTCAGCATGCAGCCCACGGCAGTGCGCATTCCCTTTATAGTCTCTGGTAGAATCACTGTGATAAGAATAAGCTCTGAAGAAGGGCTGCATTCTTTAAAAGGCTATAGGAGCACACTAGGGTAGGTGACTGCAGATAAAGTCCTTGTCAAGCACACACGAGGACCAAAGCTGGGATTCCCCAGGACCCACACACAAGCCGAATACAGTGGCACACATCTGTAACCCCAGGGCTCCTACGGGGAGACAGGTGGATCTCAGAAAGTTGCGGGTCAGCTAGCCTGGCTACACCGTGGTGAACTACAAAAGACTATGCCTTAAAGAGGATTTAACCCAGGGATGGCCTCTGACCTCCATACATGCACTATGGCACACGCATGCCCACATTCACACACATGAACATGCACACACACTTGCTATACATATACATATCACACAAACACAACATATAATATATTAGCCGGGTGGTGGTGGCACACACCTTTAATCCCAGCATTCAGGAGACAGAGGCAGGAGGATCTCTGAGTTCAAGGCCAGCCTGGTCTACAGAGTGAGTTCTAGTACAGCCAGAGAAATACAGAGAAGCCCTGTCCCGCAAAATCAATATGTGTGTGAATATGTATATAAATATAGATATATCATATATTAAAATCATAAAATAAAATAAATATAAAATAAGAGATTACAGAACTATTCGAATCCCTAGGATTTGTTTTGTTTTGTTTGTTTTTTGGTTTTTTGTTTTTTTGGGGGGTTTTTTTTTTTTTTGGTTTTTTGAGACAGGGTTTCTCTGTGGCTTTGGAGCCTGTCCTGGAACTAGCTCTGTAGGCGAGGCTGGTCTTGAACTCACAGAGATCCGCCTGCCTCTGCCTCCCAAGTGCTGGGATTAAAGGCGTGCGCCACCATCGCCCGTCTTTGTTTTGTTTTTTTGAGACAGGGTTTTCTCTGTGTAACACCCTTGGCTGTCCTGAAACTCACTCTGTAGACGAAGCTGGCCTCAAATTCACAGAGTTCCAGCTGCCTCTGCCTCTGCCTCCCGAAGGCTGGGATTAAAGGTGTGTGCTATCACCATTCAGTTGGTTGTTGTTGGGTTGGTTTTTTTTTTTTTTTGAGTTTTGGGGGGTTTAGGACTTTTTTTTTCTTAAGCTTTATAGTCATTTTTCAGGAATTGGCCAAGAGTTTATTGAAATTGTGGGAACTTACCTACATTAAATGATGTCACAGTCCTTTCAAATAATTTTTCAAAAAAAAAATCACGGTGGGTCTTCCATTCATCCCTTTTCTACACTACACTAACAAACCTCAGAGTGCGTGGAGCCACACCACTGCCCACAACACTTGAGCCTTGTCAGCTCACAGGCATGCAGTGGGCGGGCCGGGAATGTCACGTTACTTGAGCTGATAAGAAGATGCTGTGGAAGCATTCGGCTTTCCCAGTGGAGCTGCTCCTGCGACAGACACCTCGTCTTCCACAGCTTGTAGATGTGGCATGAGTGTCGCAGCCATTCCCAAACCTAAACACACCCATTAAACTCATTCAAAGATATTAAACAGAAAATTCTGTTTAGAAAAATAATGGTTGCTTCAGAAAGACCCCCACAGCTCAGAGACATGGGTCACTGGCCCTTCCTTATCCATTCACCTTGTGTTCTTGGTTCTACACAGACACTGCATGCAGAAAGTGGCACATGGGTGACGTCCGTCCCATTCCGGGACAGGCTCAGCACAAGGGAGACGAGAGACACTAAGAGACAATGTATAACAGACAGAGCCAAACAGAAGGAGCCCCTGGGCATGAGCCAGGCACTGAACCCCCAAAAGGCCAACTTAGTATCACAACACCCACCTGTGACGTCCAGACGGAAGGAGACCTTCTGTCCCCCGGCCTCGCAGCTGTACTCCCCAGCATCCGCCTTGCCCGCCTGCTGCACCACCAGCCTCCTCTCACAGCCCAAGGCCTCCACTTGAACCTTCGAGCTGGAGCTCAGCTTCTTCCCGTCCTTGAACCAGGTCACCTCAGTCTGGGCCTGGGCCACCGTGCAGCTCAGTGTAGCATTGGCCCCTGCCTCTGCCTTCACCTCGCTGCGTGTCTGCTGCTCCTTGGCGAACACGACCTTGGGCTCTGGGGACAGACAGGGATGCATGGGGTCAGAGACACGATCCAGGTCAGGACAGTCACACAGAAATCTGAACGGGGCAGCAGGAGAGCAGAACACCCTCCAGACACAGCGCTCACTGTGCCCAGTAGAAGTCTGAGCACCTCCCAGCATGAAACCACAGTTCCTCCACACTACACATCACAATGCAGCCTGGACTCAGACCCCAAGTGAGGCCACCTGGCCTCACTCTGGTCAAAAAGATGGACCCAAGCAACATCAGGAACTCCAGGAAGGAACAGAAACATGACAAAGATGAAACTCCCCAACCTGGGAACATCTCTCCAGGTAGCCAGGGAGGAGAGGACATTCCTGGGACACCCTTGCTGGTCAGTGTCCTGCTCGATGCTGCACTAAACATGCAGATGAGAAAGGGGGGATGTGAAGAGACAGTGTGTGACACAAGGACACAGAGCCAGCTCTGGGCGTGAGCGAGGCACTGAACCCCCAAAAGGCCAACTTAGTATCACAACACCCACCTGTGACGTCCAGACGGAAGGAGACCTTCTGTCTCCCAGCCTCGCAGCTGTACTCCCCAGCATCCGCCTTGCCCGCCTGCTGCACCACCAGCCTCCTCTCGCAGCCCGAGGCCTCCACTCGAACCTTCGAGCTGGAGCTCAGCTTCTTCCCATCCTTGAACCAGGTCACCTCAGTCTGGGCCTGGGCCACCGCGCAGCTCAGTGTGGCACTGGCACCTGCCTCTGCCTTCACCTCGCTGCGAGCCTGCTGCTCCTTCGCGAACACCACCTTGGGCTCTGGAGAAAGACAAGGATGCACAGGGTCAGAGATGTAATCCAGGAGGAAGGCCGCAGGGGTGAAAGTACTGGATGGGACAGGTGGAGGACAGAGCATTGTCCGGGCTTGTCACTGGCTGAACCAAGAGGAAACCACAGTCCCTCTCAGAACAGAACCAAAATAGATACACACAGCTTGCCACTGCTACATAGGCTGTTCTGGGAGAGTTGTTGTGCCCGTTCCTAGGCTCATCCTGGAAAGTCTGAGTGTCACGACATTTGTCCCCTTGCTCCTCCCTGACAATGAAGGGTCTCCCATAGGTCGTGTAAGGGTGTGTTCTCACAAGGTCTGAGTCTCACAAGGACATGCCCTGTCCCGCTTCAACCATCACCAGACCCTGCATCTCCAGGGGAGCCTGGACCACACGCGACCCTTACTGCCGGGTCCCGATGGTGGCAAGCCTCTGATCTTTCTGGCCACATATGCAGGTGCAACTGTGCTGTCCTAACTCAAGGTTCTTGCTCACGCCTCGGTTCACTGGATGGTGACATGTTATTAATTTGGCTAACTGTGGGAGAGGGCTGCCCTCGGCTTTCCTCAGTGTCTCCACGGCTCTGCTAAAGGTCCTTCTAAGTCAGCATGCTCAGTTTCCACGTGCTCCCGAGAACCCAGCGTGGGTTTTGATGAGAACACCTGCGTTCCTGGAACGCTCCCCGTGCCTGCCCTAGAGCAACCATGACATCACCTTCAGCTTTCACACTGTCACTTTCTGTCTTTTCTTGTGGCCCATCTGGATTCGATCATGGGGTCTGCTATGCTAACTGTACAGACTTTCCCACGCACAGGAGGATGGTCCACGTGCTATTTGTGCAGATGCTAACCCAACAGTCTTTCTCACGCACAGTAGGATGGTCCATGTGCTGTTTGTGCTATGCTAACCCAACAGTCTTTCTCACGCACAGTAGGATGGTCCACGTGCTGTTTGTACTATGCTAACCATACAGTCTTTCCCACGCACAGGAGGATGGTCCACGTGCTGTTTGTGCAGATGCTAACCCAATAGTCTTTCTCACGCACAGGAGGATGGTCCACATGCTGTTTGTGCTATGCTAACCATACAGTCTTTCCCACACACAGGAGGATGGTCCACGTGCTGTTTGTGCTATGCTAACCATACAGTCTTTCCCACGTGCAGTAGGATGGTCCACGTGCTGTTTGTGCAGATGCTGTCTCTTTCTACAAACTCCACACCAATGTAGAGAGCTAAGGGGGTGGCAGATGGACACTGCTCTCTGTGATGCTCTCTGTGAGGCTGGCCCCAGAGGCTGATATACTGGAATGTCTGGTTCCCAGTTGGTGGAACTGTTTGAGAAGGATTAGGGGGGTGTGGCCTTGTTGGGGGCATCTGTGTCACGGGAAGTGTCTTTGAGGTTTCAAAAGCCCACACCAGGGCAAGTTTCAATCTCTCTGTCTCCAACTTGCATATAACATATAAACTCTCAACTACTGTTCCAGCGCCACACCTGCCTGCTGCCACACTCCCCATGATGATGGCCATGGACTCTAATCCTCTGTGTCCCCCAGATTAAATGATTTCTTTTCGAGGTTGCCTTGGTCATGGTGTTTCTTCACAGCAACAGAAGAGTAACTAAAACACCTCCTTCTGCATGCATATATATATATATATATATGCATTAAATAAATAAACAAATCTTTAAAAAATAAGAAAGAACCTCTGACCCATCTGACTGGTTCCTCTTTTTATTTTTAATCAATAAATAATAAACTATTGGATGCAATGCAATGTTCCAATAACCTGTCTACATTGTAATCAAACATGGTAATTAACATATCTACTGCACCAACTGTTCATCATTTCCTTGTGGTGAGAACATTTTAAGTCCTCTTAGCTGTTTGGAAATGCATTGCACATTATTATGAACTATCATCATCTTACTGTGCAATAAAGCACGGGAACTAATAATTACCTTCTGGAACGTATGATATGATTTATACACAAGCTCCTGTATTAACGCCCTTTCCTATGATGAATTAGTCTTTATGATTCTGTTTCAAAAAGACATTAGGACTACTCAAGATTTCTACTTCGTTTTGTGTCACTTTTTATACAAATTTCTAGAAAATAGCCAAATGGCTTTATTTTTCTAGTTTCATATTCTCTAAAATGCAGTAGAGGTACAAGATTTTTTTCTTTTTGTTGTCTTGTTTTATTTTGTTGGTATGTTTATTTGTAAACCATTTCCTAGTAATGAAACACTTAAAATGTTATGCAGTGACACCCAGAGTAGCCAGGTACTTGAACTCACAATAAGTCAGCTTCTGTTGCATGAAAATCCAATTATGGTTAGGGAATCCAAATTTTCTTAGCTTTATTTAAATTGAATGGAAGTGCTTCTTGTGAAAACTTTCAGGGACCATAAGAGTTATAGCAGGTGGCAACTAGTGTTCAGATGTCAGCCCCCTAGACATGGCTGTCTCAGCAGGGTTATGGCATGGAGGACCTCAGACACTTGAACACTTACAGAGCCTAATCCTTAGCTTATCCTAATCCTAAACACGAGGAAGAGGAACGAATGTCCCTGGGAACCAAGAAGCAACACAGGGAACCCCTGGGATGCTTTGGAGAAATAAATGCTACCACATGGAAATAAGGACAGCTGCCTTGACTTAATCACTTTCATTTCTGCTCTCATAAGAAAGCCTTGTGTGTGGAAACAGAGGGCAAGCTCCCTGCCAAAGTGCCAGGGTCCTTCAGGTTATTAGTCTTAGCATTTCATCCAAATGAGTAAGGTTAGTACCCTCCAACACCCACCTGTGACATCCAGATGGAAGGAGACCTTCTGTCCCCCGGCCTCGCAGCTGTACTCCCCAGCATCTGCCCTGCCCGCCTGCTGCACCACCAGCCTCCTCTCGCAGCCCGAGGCCTCCACTCGAACCTTCGAGCTGGAGCTCAGCTTCTTCCCATCCTTGAACCAGGTCACCTCAGTCTGGGCCTGGGCCACCGCGCAGCTCAGTGTGGCACTGGCACCTGCCTCTGCCTTCACCTCGCTGCGAGCCTGCTGCTCCTTCGCGAACACCACCTTGGGCTCTGGAGAAAGACAAGGATGCACAGGGTCAGAGATGTAATCCAGGAGGAAGGCCGCAGGGGTGAAAGTACTGGATGGGACAGGTGGAGGACAGAGCATTGTCCGGGCTTGTCACTGGCTGAACCAAGAGGAAACCACAGTCCCTCTCAGAACAGAACCAAAATAGATACACACAGCTTGCCACTGCTACATAGGCTGTTCTGGGAGAGTTGTTGTGCCCGTTCCTAGGCTCATCCTGGAAAGTCTGAGTGTCACGACATTTGTCCCCTTGCTCCTCCCTGACAATGAAGGGTCTCCCATAGGTCGTGTAAGGGTGTGTTCTCACAAGGTCTGAGTCTCACAAGGACATGCCCTGTCCCGCTTCAACCATCACCAGACCCTGCATCTCCAGGGGAGCCTGGACCACACGCGACCCTTACTGCCGGGTCCCGATGGTGGCAAGCCTCTGATCTTTCTGGCCACATATGCAGGTGCAACTGTGCTGTCCTAACTCAAGGTTCTTGCTCACGCCTCGGTTCACTGGATGGTGACATGTTATTAATTTGGCTAACTGTGGGAGAGGGCTGCCCTCGGCTTTCCTCAGTGTCTCCACGGCTCTGCTAAAGGTCCTTCTAAGTCAGCATGCTCAGTTTCCACGTGCTCCCGAGAACCCAGCGTGGGTTTTGATGAGAACACCTGCGTTCCTGGAACGCTCCCCGTGCCTGCCCTAGAGCAACCATGACATCACCTTCAGCTTTCACACTGTCACTTTCTGTCTTTTCTTGTGGCCCATCTGGATTCGATCATGGGGTCTGCTATGCTAACTGTACAGACTTTCCCACGCACAGGAGGATGGTCCACGTGCTATTTGTGCAGATGCTAACCCAACAGTCTTTCTCACGCACAGTAGGATGGTCCATGTGCTGTTTGTGCTATGCTAACCCAACAGTCTTTCTCACGCACAGTAGGATGGTCCACGTGCTGTTTGTACTATGCTAACCATACAGTCTTTCCCACGCACAGGAGGATGGTCCACGTGCTGTTTGTGCAGATGCTAACCCAATAGTCTTTCTCACGCACAGGAGGATGGTCCACATGCTGTTTGTGCTATGCTAACCATACAGTCTTTCCCACACACAGGAGGATGGTCCACGTGCTGTTTGTGCTATGCTAACCATACAGTCTTTCCCACGTGCAGTAGGATGGTCCACGTGCTGTTTGTGCAGATGCTGTCTCTTTCTACAAACTCCACACCAATGTAGAGAGCTAAGGGGGTGGCAGATGGACACTGCTCTCTGTGATGCTCTCTGTGAGGCTGGCCCCAGAGGCTGATATACTGGAATGTCTGGTTCCCAGTTGGTGGAACTGTTTGAGAAGGATTAGGGGGGTGTGGCCTTGTTGGGGGCATCTGTGTCACGGGAAGTGTCTTTGAGGTTTCAAAAGCCCACACCAGGGCAAGTTTCAATCTCTCTGTCTCCAACTTGCATATAACATATAAACTCTCAACTACTGTTCCAGCGCCACACCTGCCTGCTGCCACACTCCCCATGATGATGGCCATGGACTCTAATCCTCTGTGTCCCCCAGATTAAATGATTTCTTTTCGAGGTTGCCTTGGTCATGGTGTTTCTTCACAGCAACAGAAGAGTAACTAAAACACCTCCTTCTGCATGCATATATATATATATATATATGCATTAAATAAATAAACAAATCTTTAAAAAATAAGAAAGAACCTCTGACCCATCTGACTGGTTCCTCTTTTTATTTTTAATCAATAAATAATAAACTATTGGATGCAATGCAATGTTCCAATAACCTGTCTACATTGTAATCAAACATGGTAATTAACATATCTACTGCACCAACTGTTCATCATTTCCTTGTGGTGAGAACATTTTAAGTCCTCTTAGCTGTTTGGAAATGCATTGCACATTATTATGAACTATCATCATCTTACTGTGCAATAAAGCACGGGAACTAATAATTACCTTCTGGAACGTATGATATGATTTATACACAAGCTCCTGTATTAACGCCCTTTCCTATGATGAATTAGTCTTTATGATTCTGTTTCAAAAAGACATTAGGACTACTCAAGATTTCTACTTCGTTTTGTGTCACTTTTTATACAAATTTCTAGAAAATAGCCAAATGGCTTTATTTTTCTAGTTTCATATTCTCTAAAATGCAGTAGAGGTACAAGATTTTTTTCTTTTTGTTGTCTTGTTTTATTTTGTTGGTATGTTTATTTGTAAACCATTTCCTAGTAATGAAACACTTAAAATGTTATGCAGTGACACCCAGAGTAGCCAGGTACTTGAACTCACAATAAGTCAGCTTCTGTTGCATGAAAATCCAATTATGGTTAGGGAATCCAAATTTTCTTAGCTTTATTTAAATTGAATGGAAGTGCTTCTTGTGAAAACTTTCAGGGACCATAAGAGTTATAGCAGGTGGCAACTAGTGTTCAGATGTCAGCCCCCTAGACATGGCTGTCTCAGCAGGGTTATGGCATGGAGGACCTCAGACACTTGAACACTTACAGAGCCTAATCCTTAGCTTATCCTAATCCTAAACACGAGGAAGAGGAACGAATGTCCCTGGGAACCAAGAAGCAACACAGGGAACCCCTGGGATGCTTTGGAGAAATAAATGCTACCACATGGAAATAAGGACAGCTGCCTTGACTTAATCACTTTCATTTCTGCTCTCATAAGAAAGCCTTGTGTGTGGAAACAGAGGGCAAGCTCCCTGCCAAAGTGCCAGGGTCCTTCAGGTTATTAGTCTTAGCATTTCATCCAAATGAGTAAGGTTAGTACCCTCCAACACCCACCTGTGACATCCAGATGGAAGGAGACCTTCTGTCCCCCGGCCTCGCAGCTGTACTCCCCAGCATCTGCCCTGCCCGCCTGCTGCACCACCAGCCTCCTCTCGCAGCCCGAGGCCTCCACTCGAACCTTCGAGCTGGAGCTCAGCTTCTTCCCATCCTTGAACCAGGTCACCTCAGTCTGGGCCTGGTCCACTGTGCAGCTCAGAGTGGCCCTGGCCCCTGCCTCTGCCTTCACCTCGCTGCGAGTTTGCTGTTCCTTGGCGAACACCACCTTGGGTTCTAGGAATGGACAAGGCACACAGGGTCAAAGACGTTGTGTAGGTCAGGAAGGCCACAGTGAGAGTCTGAATAGGTGTCCGAAAGGCAAAACCTCCCCCATGCTCTCACTAGCTATACCCAGGAGAAGCCCCAGAGTCTCTTAGAACAAAACAAGTTCACCCACACATCTTGCCACCTATTCAGGGGCTGCTCCAGTGGGCCCTCTGTAACAGAGTCTGAGCAAGGCTCCGAGGAGGAAGAACTGTGGCTCAGAACACGGGCGCACCTGATCAACAGTGACAGTGGAAAGTCTCCCTCAGGACGGTGCAGAACATATCCTCATAGAGTCTCCCAAGCTCCGCTCCCTTGCCCGCTCCAAACATCCTCAGCTGTTCTATTCAGAGGACAACTTGGACTACCTGTGGCCCTTATTGCCTGGTCCTGAGAGTGGGAACCTCAAGTCTTGGGTCATTGGTGTTTGCTCCTCCACGCTGCCCCTCCAGTGTTTTGCCTAATATCAAAGGCCCTGTGGTTTTTATGCTCCCTTCAGAAAAGACCTCTCAATAATAATCCTAAATATAAATGATCTTAACTCCCCAACAGAGCAATGGGTTAAAAATAAGATCCAGGGACTAAAGAGATGACTCAGTGGCTAAGAGCACTTGATGCTATTGCAGAGGACCCAGGCTCAATTTCCAGCATCTACACAGTGGCTCATAACCATCTGGAACTCGATATGAGTTACAACCAGACATCCACACAGTGCACAGATACACATTCAAGCAAAATGCTCACACATGTAAAATAAAATAAATAAATCTAAAGCTATTTTTAAGTATGTCAATAATTGGCTTAATATGGAACTATTTGTAGTGTTCAAAAAACACGCTTCACCAGAAAATACAGACTTAGGAGTGAAGGAGTCAAACAAATGGAGGCGAGAGGGGAGCGAGGTTTGCATTTCACAAAGCAGATTCCAAGCTAAAGTTAGCTCGAGGGACAAAGAAGTTCACTACAGCTTAGTCAAGGGAGTAGTTCATCAAGAAGATGTCTTGCCAGGAAGTGGTGGCACACGCCTTTAATCCCAGCACTCAGGAGGCAGAGGCAGGTGGATCTCTGGTCTACAGAGCAGGTTCCAGGACAAGTTCCATAATTACTGAAAAAAAATCTGTCTCAAAAACCCAAAATGGAAGACAAAGATATAAGAATTATGAATACACATGTGGACAGTCCCAAAGGACCCACCTGTGATGTCCAGACGGAAGGAGACCTTCTGTCCCCCGGCCTCGCAGCTGTACTCCCCAGCATCTGCCTGGCCCGCCTGCTGCACCACCAGCCTCCTCTCGCGGCCCGAGGCCTCCACTCGGACCTTCGAGCCGGAGCTCAGCTTCTTCCCGTCCTTGAACCAGGTCACCTCGGTCTGGGCCTGGTCCACTGTGCAGCTCAGTGTGGCACTGGCCCCTGCCTCTGTCTTCACCTCGCTGTGTGTCTGCTGCTCCTTGGCAAACACCACCTTGGGCTCTGAGGATAGACAAGGACACATAAACAGGGTCAGAAACACTGTCTAGATCAAGAAGGCCACATGGGGAAAGACACACAGTGTCCAGGGAAGCCCAGGGCCTCTCAACACAAAACCCCGGTTTATCTCCATATCCTGTTGCTGTTGCAGGGTCACTCAAGGGGAGACATGGTTACACTCCTCCATGGCCAGGCTGCGAATCAAGACAACCACGTGTCCCACAGTGACAATGGAGAGTCTCCCGGGACTTGGTAGGACATGCCTCACAGAGGTGAGAATCCCCAAGGCTCCACGCCCTTCCCTATCTGTGTATTGTCAGTTGTAGCCCTTGCAAGGGAGAGCCTGGGCCATCGGTGGCCCTCTGCTGTCTGTCATAGTGATGTCATTGGCCATCTGTGTGTGCATGTCCTCAGCATAGCTGATGCTCAAGTAGCCCCTACTCTCAATAAGACTGCTTCTTCACATTTATTTCAAGAGTCTGTTTACATATTACAGACTTATCCTCTCTTGTTGTCTAACCTGTGGGTCTGATCCCAGTTACAGATGGTTAGATGTTTACAGGTCGCAAAGCTGGATCCCCATGTGGTGACGCTGAGGTGGAGAATTTTTGACAAGGTAGAAATTAGTGGAAGGTCTGGACCATTGGAACCCCACTCTCTTATGAGTTAACACTGATCCAGTGACACAGGCTGAGTCTACAGAACAAATGGCCGCCCACAAGAGCAGAGCTTCAAATATTCCTGTGTTTGGCCCCTCCTGTTCCTAACCTGGCTCCTTTCTACTTCTCTGCCATTTTGTGGAATTATATCCCTCATGAGGACACCAGTACCATGCCATCCGAACCTTCATTAGTCACTAATTTGTAAGTTGCACGGCCTCTGTTATTTTGCAATAGCTGCACACAGCGGCCCCATCTACTCGCTCTGGTTTTTAACATAATGTGGCTAAATGGATCATCGTTGCTCCACTGGGGCTAGTGCGCTTGTTTCCTACAAATCTCTCCTTATCCTGAAAACCTGAAGCAACACACACCAGGACTACAGTTTACCTGGGACCCTGGTGTCTCCAGTTCACCTGGAATTGACCTCTGGGATGTGAACTAGCAGACAACTCTTCCTTTCCATGTGTTTTAATGCCCCAAAACTCTCATGAAAAGTTCCTTCTCCCTTCCTTGCTGGGTCTAGAAGCCAGGGCAGGAAGGAGGAATGGGTTTACACATGGATGCATCTCAGAGCCCAAGGCTCTGCTCTTTCCATCTATTGCTAGCTCTGCAGTGAGGGCCCCGGATCCGGTTGCTATGCTGTAGAGTAATCCCAGACAAGACTAAAGGAAAATGCTCGTGCTTTCTTTAAGAGTATAGGATGCTGGGCTGGCTCAGTGAGTAAAGTGTTTGCCCTGCAAACCAGACAACCAAATTTGATCCCTGGAGCCCAAAGAAAGGTAGGAGGAGAGGACAGATGCCATGAAATTCATCTCTGACGCATAATGTAGCATGCGTGCCCGCACATGCGCAGATAAGCAATAACAATAACGGTGATTAAAATACTTCAGGTGTGTAACCTTCCCCTGCAGAGCTCTCAGCCAGATACAGAGTGCAGGTGGTCTGAGTGACCCTCAAGAGACATCAGGGCCCTGGGCTGCAGGTGTTATGAAATGAATGGTTAAGCCCAGCTTTGTAGAAGTGAGGAAAGAGACAATTAAGGTCCGTCAGTGTTCTGGTTCTGAGGCCGGAGTCTCACTGGCTGACAGCTATAAATTCTGATAAAACTGATCAGATCAAATGCAAACAAACAAACAAAACCCTATAAAAAAAGGCATTTTTTTTTTTTTGCTTTTTCAAGACAGGGTTTCTCTGTGGTTTTGGAGCCTGTCCTGGAACTAGCTCTTGTAGACCAGGCTGGTCTCGAACTCACAGAGCTCCGCCTGCCTCTGCCTCCCAAGTGCTGGGATTAAAGATGTGCGCCACCACCGCCCGGCCCTATACTGCCTTTCTGAGAAACATGGAGAACAAGATTCTGAAAACAGCCAATGACCTATGCCTCAAGTCTACCTGCTTGTGACCCGTGAGTCCCTAGAGAGTCCTTTGGCTGAATGTTTGAGTTTAACCAGCATTTCCTCCCAGTTGGAAGCCTGCTCAGTCCACTTAGGACAGTCTCTGATGTCAAAAACAAAAATCTGTGGGTTTGAAAAAAAGAGGAATACACCAGCACATTCTTTGGCTAATATTTAAACTTCATTGCAGATGAAGTAAATTCAAGAGCCCCAAATCACATACACAGCAACAGGAACTGTGTTCCTCTGCCTGCACTTGACTCTCCATGTGTCTTGTCTTACTGCTCTTACCGGCATCAATCAGCTGACTAATCCTGCTTTAGTCTGACTGAACCTGGACTCTCTTCTGTGGTGGATGCCAAGGACCTGGCTGCATCTCAGCAGAGGTCCCCAGGGGATCTGAGGAGGATTGTTCAGGACACACTGCCCACAACATGAAGAGTATTCCTAATGCAGTGATGGAAACAGTATTCAAGCTGCAGGAGGCCCTCTCTCTTCTCTCCAAGCTGCCCTGAGCTCAGCTTAAAGAAGGAAAATCAGAAGCAGAAGGAGGGGCTTAAGGACGAAGTAGAAAGAGGAACTAGCAAGAGCTTGGAAGATGCTTGACAGTTAAATACATAATCCTCTTGGAGAGGACCTGAGTTTGGTTCCCAGCATCTAAATTGGGCTACTCACAGCTGCCTGTACCTCCAGCCCCAGGGGAGCCAATGCTGCCCTCTTCTGGACTGATTTGTACCTACACTCGTGTGCATATACCACCTACATATATACATAATTAAAAAGTAATAATGAAGTCACTCTCTAAGGGAATAGTACCAGGATCTGTCCAAGCCATAGCCAGCCTCCACCACCTCCACACAAGGCTAACTTTATACGGCAACACCCACCTGTGACATCCAGATGGAAGGAGACCTTCTGTCCCCCGGCCTCACAGCTGTACTCCCCAGCATCTGCCTTGCCGGCCTGCTGTACCACAAGCCTCCTTTCGCAGCCCGAGGCCTCCACTCGAACCTTCGAGCTGGAGCTCAGCTTCTTCCCGTCCTTGAACCAGGTCACCTCAGTCTGGGCATGGTCCAGCGTGCAGCTCAGTGTGGCACTGGCCCCTGCCTCTGCCTTCACCTCGCTGCGTGCCTGCTGCTCCTTGGCAAACACCACCTTGGGCTCTGAGAACAGACACAGGCACACAGGGTCAGAGACACTGTCTGGGTCAGAAAGGCCACGGGGAAAAGAGCCGGCTTTGACAATGGAGGACAGAACTTTCTCGGCCTTGATGTGAAGACTACGACCCTCATCACAGTGTAAGGCCTCCTCTCTCTGCTGAGTTCACTCCCCCAACCATGTCTGTAGACTTCAACTGTGGCGCTCACGGCAGATGGATCTTTGGTCCCTGCTCTTCCCACCCTCCCAGTCAGATCTGGATGTCAGTGCTATGCTGACTGCATGAAATGACCTATGGATTCACTTCCTTTCTCCGGTCTCTGAAAAAGTCTCCATGATCATGGAATAACTCTTTCCAGGACTGTTTGAGGTTTTCCCAACAAAATTACTTGAAGATTTGGCTGCTATTCCACTTATTTAAAAACACATGGGATTTATTGAATTTTTATGTCCATTTCCACAGTTTGCTAGTAACCGGCCAAACTGTCACAACTTTTCAGATTTATTACCATAAAACGTCTTATGGTAGCCTCTTAAAATAACATTTCTGCTGGGCGGTGGTGGCTCATGCCTTTAATCTCAGCACTCAGGAGGCATAGGTAGGTGGATCTCTGTGAGTTCAAAACCAGCCTGGTCTACAAAGCAAGTTCCAAGACCGCAAGAGCTGTTACACAAAGAAAAATTGTCTAGAAAAACTAATGATGGTGATGATGATGATGATGATGATGATGATGATGATGATATTTCCATGAAGACACTAGCTTGTTTCTCAATATCTAAACATGGACAGCAGTTATGTGGGCATCTAATAGAGTCCTGCAGTGTGGCAGTGCCAGACGCCAGCTGAGATTGCAGCCCACCCTCTAAGTCCCCAAGGCTCTACCTGCACACAGGCAAATGTCTGTCCGTCTCAGACTTGTCCCTCTGAGGACCTGGATCCAGGCGCCAGCAGCAGCAGCAATGTGAGGCGTGAGACACTCACCCTTTACCATCCCTGAGTTCAGGGCAGGAACCCTGTGGGGATCCCTAGTACACTATCCAAACCAAAAGCAGAGGCTAAGTGGTATTTGCTTTAGATTATACTCTTTGTGTAAGAGAGGACAGAGGATTGAGACCATGCACAAGGCCCAGCCAGAGTTCCAGATGCCGTACAGAACAGCAAAGATGCTCTGGGAACATGAAACTCTGGATTGCCCCACAGTAACGCCCTCAAGGCTCACAACATGGAGCCCTCTTCCTCCTATGTATTCATTATCTGCCTAGTTGCAAGGGAGGAGGAAGGGCGGGAACTGTGAAAGATGAAGGTCAAAGCGATAAATCAGGCCCCTGCCCACTGTCTCATAAGGCCAAATAGGTACCTGGCACATCCAGATGGAAGGAGACCTTCTGTCCCCCGGCCTCGCAGCTGTACTCCCCAGCGTCCGCCTTGCCCGCCTGCTGCACCACCAGCTTCCTCTCGCAGCCCGAGGCCTCCACTCGAACCTTCGAGCCAGAGCTCAGCTTCTTCCCGTCCTTGAACCAGGTCACCTCAGTCTGGGCCTGGGCCACTTTGCAACTCAGCGTAGCACTGGCGCCTGCCTCTGCCTTCACTTCACTGTGAGCCTGCTGCTCCTTGGCGAACACCACTTTGGTCTCTGTAAATAGATAGGGATACAGTGAGTCAGAGACACTAAGTCAGGAAGGCCACCTGGGGGAAAGTCTGATGGTAGTGGTACCACTGGAGGGCAGAACATCACCCAGACTCCACAGCCACTGTGCCTAAAAGCCCGGGTGCCTCTGAGCACAGACCCAGACCAGGCACAGACCCTGCCTCTGCTGCAGGAGCTATTCTTCAATGGCTACTCCACAGGCTCTGTGGTGGAGACCTGATGTTTTCAGCCCCTTCAGTGGTCCGTTGTTCCAGGCTGACCCCATTTATACCTGCATTGTCTTCAGATCCTAGGGGTTCTGTATGTATTTGAGTACCAGAGTCTCTCACCAGCTACATTTATTCATTGTCAGTATTCTCCCATCTGTGTGTGTGTGTGTGTGTGTGTGTGTGTGTGTGTGTGTGTTCTGGTTAAATCAAGAATTTTCATGAAGCAACACATCTGGTTCTCTGTAAGCCATGTTCTCACATACTGGCTCTGAAATGGTTCACACGGTAACGCCGTGGCCCACTCAGCTATCATTCATATCGGTTTTCTCTGAGGTTGTCACCCAGCTCACTGTTGACGACAGCGTATGCTTTGCAGGGAGACTTCCAGGGCTAATAACAAATGTGCACTGCCCTTAGGGGAAGGTGGTCCTAGCTCTATGCTTCACACTAGTCCACAGGAAAGGAGGGGCGGGCCTATGACAGCTGTCAGTCAAGAGCTGGTCCAGAAGCCACTTTCATCCTGCTCTACTCTCCTATGGCCACATCTGGTTCCGCTGTCCTATTAGTCTGGCCTTATGATGAGGGCTGATCTCTGGAAGGAAACGCTCTCAGACGTTCATCTTCAAGAGAGCACAGAACCTTTGCCATCGGTTTGTCAGTCATTGTCACACTCAAACAAATACGTTTAGATCCTGATCTAGGGATGAAATCAAGTCTTTTGTGGCTTCTAGTAGCTTCTTCAGGTGTTGATCACAGTCCTTCAGAAATATCCGACCTTTTCCTCACTGGGCTTCCAATGTCGTTTGTTGGGCATCAGGTAAGAAAACGGTGCACCTTCAGTTCCTGTGTGTTCTGTAGAATTTCGCTTTCCAAGGCTTTGCTGCAGAGTTTGGAGGGAGCGATGTCTCCTGCAAGCTGGGTTTCTGCGCGAGGCATCCTTCCCAAGGCTCTCACTACACTGTTGGCCTCAGGAACGGTCTTAACTGGTGGCAGTCAACTCTACCCCTACTGGCCTGCCCTGCATTGTCTTGTTGCTATTTCAAAGGTAAAGCTCTCACCCGAAGTGGGATGTTAGCTGCTGTTTCCTGCAGTTCTGTCTTTCACAGTTGAGGGGATGGGTGTTGATTTCTGTAAAGAATTCATGATGAATTTTACTGAAGAGTTTTCAGGATGAGATGGTGATTTTTGTGTATGTGTATGTAGGCATGTGTGTGCCACACCATGAGTGTGATCAGAGAGCAACCTGCAAGAGTTGGTTCTCTCTTCCCACCATGTGGGTCCCGGGAATCAGATCCTCAGGCTTGGCAGCAAACACCTTCCTCCTCAGCCACCTCACCAGTCCCAAGAGAGTAAATGTTATGAAATCCTGCCACTTGCACTATCTGGATCTCTGTGCATTTCCCTCAGAGCCCGACCTGTGCCTTGTGTTGAGCCAATGCCTCGTGCCTGGCCTCCCTTTCCACACAGCCTTCAACTCCTGCAGAGCAATTTTCTACCAGGCATTCAGTATCCAGCCCTGGCGTGGATGTGGCCTTGAGTTCTGCATCTTTTCCCTGTCATGTTTGGTTTGCATGTCACATTGTTTGCATAAAATGATCCATCTTGCATTCCTCCTGTATCCCAAGCGAGCTTCTGTAAGTAAAGGACGATTTGTCTCCAGAACTTCTGGAATGATATCCCTGCTGGCTGCACACCCTGCCCCTGAAACAGTTCTTAGACTCCTGCTTCCATTTAGTTAAGGCTTACAGCATTGTCTGAGTTTTCAGTTTCTTTTTCTGTCAGCTTTGGCATGGTTCTCCAGGAATCAGCCAAACTGTCACAACTCGCCAGTTTTTTAAACCATGAAATCAGCTGTCATAGTCTCTTCAAACAATGAAACAGCAGGCTTTTTTAACAGTTGTCCGTGTTCACAACTGTATGTTGTATTCACAACTGTATGGTTGGCCCTCTGCATCACGGATTCAGCGACACCAAACAGAAAATGCGGAGGTGGGACAGAAAGGCATCTACAAGAAGCACAGGCTTGTTCTTGTCATTAGTCCCCGGATAATAGACGGCAGCTGGTGGCCCTGACACTGATGGATACCGTCAGCCAGGACAGGAGCTGAGATGTCCAGAGAGAACAGGTTCCCATGGCTGTGCAGTTAAGAGCACAGGCTGCTCTTGCAGACGACTCGGGTTTGGTTCCAGCAGCCACACGGTGACTCACAGCTACCAGCTCCAGGGTATCTGAGGCTCTCTTCTGAACTCCATGGGCACCAGGCATGCACATGGCACATGTATATACGTGCAGGAAAACATTCATATACATGAACTCAATAAATCTGGTTTGTTTGGGGATGGCAGGATGTTGTTTTGTTTTGTTTTTTTAGTGTACAGACGGGCCTGGGGAGATGACTCGGCAGTTAAAAATGCTTCCTTCTATTTCAAACTACCTGAGTTTGGGCAGCTCACAACCACCTGTAACTCCAGCTCCAGAGGATCTGAGGCCCTCTTCTGGTTTCTGCAGGTGCCTGCACTCGCATACACATACCCACAGAGACACGCACATGCACACACACATCATTTGAAAAAATGAAATATATCTTAGAAGAACATGTGCAGAACATGTGTGTTGGTTATACGTAAATGCACCAACATTTTATATAAAGGGCTGGGACATCCGAGGATCCTGCATCTGCGGTGGGGGTCCTGGAACTAACTCTTAAGGACACCAAGAACACAACACAAACCTGCAGGGTAAGAGCAGAAGTTCAGCCTACAATGACTTAGCATTAAGCGTCCTAACAAAAGGAAAATACATGAGGTTTCCACCATCTTTATGCAACCAGTCAGAGGCCCAGTGGCACCCAGCCACCAGGGACATACTGAGGCTTTTCCTAGCACTCCGGTCAGTGGCAGCTCTCCCAGCAACATGGCCGCACACCACATCAGTGCTTCTCCACACTAACTCTGTGCATCATCTTCCAAGGGCTGATGATGAGAATGTTCTAGTGAAAAACACCAGGAGCCCAGGACATGATCAAAAAGCCCATTCTGCCCTGACATGTGTCTATCAAAGCACGTGACCACTCCCCGCTCTGTGCACTTCACAGAAGCTGTGCAACCGTCCACCAGCAGGTAGGTTCCTACAGACAGGTGTGCGGGAGACTGGCTTCCAAATCCCCGGAAAGGGAGTGAAGGGGAGCCCAGGAAACAAAAAACTGAGAATAGCAAGAAAGCCTTGAGACAGTTACAGGTGTGACTGAGTACCTGGCCTGTGAGTTGTCCTTACCCTGAGTAAGCGGCAGCTCTGGCTATGGAGAAGCACACATGGCTCTGGAAGAGACCCTGGAAGTTTCCAGTGCCCTCAATCCAAGAACGATCACTCTCGCGGATAAAGGTTACAAGGTCACCTTACAACCAAGAACCAACTAATTCCAACAGAACCAACCAAAATATGCTGGCCTGGCTCTTGGAACACACAGCTAGCTACACCATGTGGACACCACTCAAGGTATGTAAGAAGGCCTACACCTGCCTGTTTTCCTCACGGATACGAGAGAGCAGGTGGGAGGGCAGAGGATGGTAATAGACAAAGTGTAACAGGAAGAACCCAGTGGTCAGCGATGCACCTGATCCAGTCATCATCTCTACACAAACAAACTGATATCTCAACACCCACCTGTGACGTCCAGATGGAAGGAGACCTTCTGTCCCCCAGCCTCGCAGCTGTACTCCCCAGCATCCGCCTGGCCTGCCTGCTGCACCACCAGCCTCCTCTCGCAGCCCGAGGCCTCCACTTGAACCTTCGAGCCAGAGCTCAGCTGCTTCCCATCCTTGAACCAGGTCACCTCAGTCTGGGCCTGGGCCACTTTGCAGCTCAGTGTGGCACTGGCGCCTGCCTCTGCCTTCACCTCACTGCGAGTTTGCTGTTCTTTAGAAAACACCACCTTGGGCTCTGGGGACAAATGGGAACACAAAGTCAGAGCACTATCTAGATCAGCAAGGTCACAGTGGGAAAGACCCTGGGAGGGTCAGCCGGACAGCAGATGTCATCCAGGCCCTGCACTCTCTGTGCTCAGGACAAACCCCAGGGCCTCGAAACACAGGGAAAGTCAAGCTCCCTCATCCATCCAGAATACATCCCAAGACCTGCAGACGGTGCCTCAGATGCAGATAGCACCAGATACTGCGGATGTTTTTCCCGGAGGGCCCTGAAAAAGTTTAGTTAACAAATTAGGCTTGGTAAGAAACTCGTTAACCAGACACGGTGATGCACGGCTTTAATCGCAGCACTCAATAAAAAGAGAAAGGCAGATGTCTGTGAGTTTGCTGCTAGGCTGGTCTACATAGCAAGTTCCTACCAAGGCCATTCAAGACTGCATAGTAAGACCTTGTCTCAAAAAATAAAAAAAAATAAAAAAATCTGGGTGCTGTAGCACTCGCCTTTAATCCCAGCACCTGGGAGGCAGAGGCAGGCGGATCTCTGTGAGTTCGAGGCTGACCTGGTTCTACATAGTGAGTTCCAGGACAGCCAGGGCAATGTAGAAAGAGTCTGACTCAACCCCTCCTCCCAAAAAAATCATAACAACTAGTAATAAAATAGAAAAATTAAAGAAACATAGTGTAACAGAAGCCCATGCTCTAGACCATTATCAAGTAAAATATGGACCAAGAGAACAGAAGTGAAGCGACACCTTGGCCTCCACCTGGTGAACTGCTTATTTCTGGAATTTTCCATATATTTTAGAACCATGGATGACAGGGGGTAGCAAAACCCATGGAGTGTTACTCAGAGTGAAAAGAGTGGCTATCAAAATTTGACACACACCCCATCACTCCTTACTGGTGTCACTAGGCAGTTTTTTCCCTGCCAATTTTCTGCCTAACTTCCAATAGCACCCTTTCTTCTAGGCAGCCACCGTAGGATCTCTGTCCATATTTCCTAGTCTCAACGTAGCGGACTGACAACAGCATACACTCCAGACACTTCCCTTCTGCTACCTGTCTTCTCGCCGCTTCTGGTAGGCTCTGCCTAGTCTCTGGCTCTAATTTTTCAGTTAGTATCACTGCTGTATGTGACATGGCCAGGAGGGTCACACACAGCTCTCGGGTGGAGGCCAGACGACATTGTAGGTATGTTCTCTTCTTCCAAGCTTACGTGGATTGAACCTGGGTCCGAGGCTTGCTCACCCAGCTCATCCAAACCTGCTGGACCATCTCACAAGACCTAACTCAGTTTTCAGTTTCAAAATATTCATGTGTGTTTTATGGTGGTCACTGTGTTTGTTCTCTTGTTCCTGGGCACTGAGGTTGCTCAGCAGTAGAGCTGTGCCTTGCATGCACAGAGCTCTGTATTCCATGCCCAGCGTGTGTGTGTGTGTGTGTGTGTGTGTGTGTGTGTGTGTAAGAGTATGTGTGTGTAAGTGTGTGTGTGTAAGTGTGTTCCAGAGTGTACATTTATTCTATTGGCACATACAGTCATCCCATAATTCTGGTGTTCACCTGTACAGTACAGAACAACCTAAGTACTTCAATGATAACTACATGACAAGACATTGAATGTTTCCAGCAAAAACACGATAAGCATCAAAGGAACTGGAAACACAGACTGCCCAAGTTTGACCAGTGCGCATCATTGACATGTTATCAGATCCCACGCTGCACCTCACTGTCACTCTGTAGATCGTTATATGTTAAGTATGTTCACAATGATAAATTCAGTCCATAAGTGAAGTCACAGGAATATATGCATGTCACTTTGAGGATTCTGTGCTTCTCTTTCTATTCTAAGTCTAGAACCCAACTATAGTTGGGTTTGTATGTGGTGATCACTGGTCCAGTGTTTCCTCAGTATGGTTGAATAATCTCTCATAATCTCTCATGAAACAATCATACTGTCTGCAGCTGTTCCATGAGTCCCATAGGGGAGAGGAGAAATGTAGGTGGGGTAGGGGTGGGGAATCCATTGCTCAGGAATCCACCCTGAGCTCTGCCGTCTGCTCCTTCAGTCTAGTTGCCAATCCCTGCACTGAGACACCCATGTCTTCTTTACATGTTTTTAGCATAGGCTGACCCATGGTGCAGCAAAGGATCCCTGTTTTCTTCTTTGGATCTACTGTTTAAATCAGAAATGCTCCTTAAAGGCCCACCTGTTAGAGGCTTGGTTCCCAGACTGTGCCGCTGGGAGGTGGTGGAAAATCTAGTATTTAGGGGTCTTGTGGGATACTAGGTCACTGGGATTGTACCCTCCAAAGGGACTGTGGGACCCATGCATCTTGCTCTCTCTCACACACATTCCAGCATAAAGCAGGTAGTTCAACTGGAAAGGAAGCCATATGCAGAGAGAGTTTTTCTAAGGAGAAAAACACTAGGACCACTGGGGTCATCAGGGAATTTCCCACCACCTGCAAACAAGCCACCTTGACACATAAGCACTGACCTGTGACGTCCAGACGGAAGGAGACCTTCTGTCCCCCGGCCTCGCAGCTGTACTCCCCAGCATCCGCCTTGCCCGCCTGCTGTACCACCAGCCTCCTCTCGCAGCCCGAGGCCTCCACTCGAACCTTCGAGCTGGAGCTCAGCTTCTTCCCGTCCTTGAACCAGGTCACCTCAGTCTGGGCCTGGGCCACTTTGCAGCTTAGTGTAGCACTAGCGCCTGCCTCTGCCTTCACCTCGCTGCGTGTCTGCTGCTCTTTGGCAAACACTACCTTGGGCTCTGGGGACAGATAGGGATGCACAAGGTCAGAGACCGCAGATTATACATAACCCTTCTCCAGGGCCTGGGGCTCATCAGAGCCCAGGCCTGGCCAAGGCAACACTTCCCATAATTGAAAGATCATCGTGTGATTATAAACAAGGTTCTGTGTCACATGGGACCCAAGCTGCATTGCTGAAGCTTCATGTGTGGAAGGCCTGGGCATGCAGGATCTTGTCACTGCCCTAAGAACCTGCAAGACCACTCTGATGCTAGCTGGCAGGTGAGCTACTGTAGCCCTTAAGGCCATCACTGCTAGTGTCCCTTAACAATACCTATCCTGACATTTAAGGACAGAACTCTGACTCTTCCCTGTCTTGGAACTCCCAGAAACTTCAGGCCATCCATGGCTTCCCAGCCCTCTTACATTCAGAGACCACAAACAGCAGGAGGAGGCACAGTTGGGAGGAACAGCCACCTCAATCCCAAACCAGAAACCCACATCTTTCTGAACCACAGCGGAGAGGAAGTGCAAGACAGCAAAATGCAATAAAATCAAGCAGGAAAGAGTGACCACATGGTGTATGGCCTTTTCCCAGACTCAAGGACAGGGTGGAGAGGGTTGGTCACACATTCATGGTCTCATGGGAATTATGATATGGCCAACGAGGGCTTCCAGAACCCGGAGACAAACAAACACTGAGGTCTAAGGACAGGGAGAACACCACCCCAAGATACCTGAAATGTCCTGGAATAGCCCACTGAGCACAACCCTGGCACCCACCTGTGACATCCAGACGGAAGGAGACCTTCTGTCCCCCAGCCTCACAGCTGTACTCCCCAGCATCCACCTTGCCTGCCTGCTGCACCACCAGCCTCCTCTCGCAGCCCGAGGCCTCCACTTGAACCTTCGAGCCGGAGCTCAGCTTCTTCCCGTCCTTGAACCAGGTCACCTCAGTATGGGCCTGGTCCACTGTGCAGCTCAGAGTGGCACTGGCCCCTGCTTCTGTCTTCACCTCGCTGCGAGCCTGCTGCTCCTTGGCAAACACCAACTTGGGCTCTGGAGACAAGGACAGGCACACAGGGAGAGAGACAATGTTACCTACTTCACAGACACCAATTCTGCAAGGTTCCATAAATTGTGTCCTTGAAGTCATGGACATCAGGTGTCCAGTGAGATGTTAGACTGTCTTCACAGATACAGTGTCTTGTCTCGGTGGCTCAGATATGCATTTGGAAGTTATCCTAACTCAAGATCCAGAAGAAAGTGGCTGTGCTATTCCAGCTCTCTACCTTTGTGTCTCTGCAATGTTTGCGGCAGATCCCATTGCTCTGTGATACATCCCAGAGCTGGCACACTGTGTGCTCTGCGGACTATAGCCTCATTCTCTGCTGGTTTTATCCATACATAAAGTATGCACAAGCATCTATTCAGCTCAGTGAACCTCCTCATATGCACCTCTCTCTCCGCACAGAACCTATGAACAAACAGAGCTTTTCAGCTCCCCATCCACAAACTGTCACTACATAGGCAGGCAGGCAGAGAGAGAGAGAGAGAGAGAGAGAGAGAGAGAGAGAGAAGTACAAAATCACACACATACACACAGGCTCACACACAACATACACACAAACACATACACACACTCAGATACATACACAGGTGTAGGCACGCACACACACACACACACACACACACACACACACACACACACAGAGCCTTCTGCCTGGGCTCTGAGTTCACATCTGTTGGGCCAGTTACATGCTCTATAGTGTTGCTCCACTCAGTGGCAGACCCCAAAATTACGATGATGGTCCCTTAAGGTAGTTTTACCCAGCAACATTAAAGCTGTCTCCATTTGTGTGACTGTATTCTGTGGTACCCACGTGATGGGAAATCACCCAACAACAAATTCTTCATCATGTTTATTTTGTTATATTCTGGCGGGTTTGTGTGTTTTGGTTTGGCTTGTCTGAAGGACCCATCCATGCTACCTATCATTTCTTCATTAGGTGAGGGATTGTGGTACACGACTTTAACTGGGGAGACAGAAGTAGCCTGGACTACACAGTGAGTTCCAGGTCAGTCAGGGCTACATAGTGAGAGTCTGTCTTTAAAACAGGAAGCTTGTTCCTTTACGCTGCTACATGCACCAGCATAGGAGTTATGTACCAGTCCATGGGTTGTACCACATAAAAACTGTAACTGAACGACTTTCACATTCCTTCTTATGGCTCATTTGGGCCATTCACCTGGAGATACAACCAATAAAGCTGCTATAAACATACTTAGTGTCCATGGAGATGGCTCAGTGGTGAGGAACTCAAACTGCTCTTACACCCACTGAGGTGGTTTGACGGAGAATGCACCCCCCCCCCCGGATTGAATACTTGGTCCCCAATTGGTGGAAGGTCTTTTGGGGAAGGATTAGGAGATTTGGTCTTGGAGAAAGTGTGTTGCTGGCAGACTTTGAGGTTACAAAAGTCTCCAACCCTTCCCTGCATGTCTCCCTCGGTTTGCCTCCTGCTTGAAGATCAAGGTAAGTTCTCAGCTGCTCCAGCCAACACGCCTGCTGCTTGCTGCCACACTGCCCCACCACGATGGTCCAATTAAATGCTTTCTTTATGAGTATGTCTTGCGGTGTTTTGTCATAGAGGTAGAAAAGTAACTAATTACCCATGTTGAGTGGCTCACAACTGCCCGTGACTCCAGCTGCAGGGGATCCAACACCCTCTCTGCACTCATACGCACATACCCGTACAAGGCATATACATCACATAAATAAAAATATGAGTGTCTTAAGACCATCCTTGGCTACATCTTTGGTGATGGAATCAGCACAAAGGGCTCTCCAGCTTTAAGGGACACTGCTCTATTAACAGGTCCTCCATCTCCCACCCCATGCCTGCTGTCATCCATGTTCTTAACCTGTGCATGCTTCATCTGTCTCTAATCAGAGCCTATGTCATAGTCATATAGCACCGGTTTCCATGATTCTGCTCACTTCTGCATCTGTAAGATGCTTTCATTTAAAATTAAAATGATTTGTCCATGAATTGCAAAGGCAATTTAATTACATTAAATTATAAATGAATATTTTATTAAGACAATTTACATAGGAAATGCTGTAATTTTTTCATTAGCATAAAATCTTCAAAGGCACATGTTATGTAGAAAAAAATGCAGGTGAAGAGAAAATGCAATCCCAGGCTGGGGAAGCACCTCGCTGATTTATTCAACTATCTCCACAGGCAAGGTCAGCAGAGGGCCTCCTGAGGGGCAACCAGAGCTAGGAAGGCAGTGAACCACAGAGGCTCACACTTCACTGTCTCATGGGCGGGGCACAAACTTATACCATGAAGATGAAGGTGCACACATCCATGAAACAAGGTTGTTATCAGAGCTGGCACAGTAAAGGAAGCAGGTGACCTAGACTTGGTGGTGAGTGGTATCTAAGGCACGCACAGCCAGGGACCTTGGTGTGCAGTAGTATTTAAGGGACACACAGGGAGACAAGTAGAACATTGACATACAAAAGATCTACACCATTGGTAGGAACTGTGAGCAAGAAAGTAGGTGCCCAGCACTCAGGGAGGCAGAGACAGATGGATCTCTGTGAGCTCGAAGCCAGCCTGGTCTACAGAGTTAGTTCCAAGACAACCAGAGACACACAGAGAAATCCTGTCTTGAGGAAGGGAGGAGGGAGGGAGGGAGGGAGGGAGGGAGGGAGGGAGGGAGGGAAGGAGGAAGAGAGAGGTGGAAGAAGGAAGAGAGGGAGAGAGGGAGGGAGGGAGGGAGGGAGGGGGGGGAGGGGTTGGGTATCTGAGTTGTGGCACAGAGTGCTGGGGAAAAATGTCTATCACACCTGGTTACTCCCAGCCCTGCCTTTCTATGCTAGCTAGAGTGTGACAGTGAAACCAGACCTGAGTCTAGGCACAGGGTTCTACAAGAAACAGAAGGTGGGAGGGACCACAAAGTAAACAAACAAATAGGAAAGCAATCAATGAGGTGGCTGACATCTCCTATAGACAGAACTCAAATTTATGAGGACAAACCCCCAATGAATAGTGTAGGGTGAGAGTCCACACTCTAGAACTTTCCTTCCATGGTGGGTGAGTTGTGAAGCTGCCTAAGAGGTTACAAAGCTACCTGAGTCAATTTGTGTTGCTAGAACAAAAAGCCTGAGGCTGCTACTTCACTAAAATAAACGAATAACTAAACCGGTTTGTTCAGTTCATTCTTCCAAAGGTTCAAGGAAACAGCCCTGGGACTGGCTTGGCTCTAATGAGGACGCACAGAGGAGAGCAGCAGTGGGGGGAGACTAAGAGGGAGCTGTGGAGCAGTCTCTGTGCACTGTAAAGATGCATCACTCTCATTGGTCAATACAGAGCTGCCTGGCCTATAGCTCGGCAGGAAGAGACTGGGTGGGAGAGTCTGGGATGTGGGAAGAGGGCTAAGGAGTCTAAGGAGATGCAGAGCAAACAGGATGGGAAGTCTGTAGATGAGGTAAACGGGTCTCAGGGTAGCACACAGATCAATAGAAATGGGTTAATAGCCAAAAACAAGCCTAAGCTGTCGGCTGAGCTTTGTAATTAATATTAAGTCTCTGTGGTGATTTGGGAGCCAGCTGATGGCACAGATCTGGCTGGTGGTACCAATGAAAGCTCTGCCTACAGGAAAGGGACCTGAGAGGTGACAGACACTCGGGAGAACCCATCCACACCAGTCCCACAAGACCTGGCCCACTGCATTAGCTACTCATGAAGCTAGAAGTTCCATGGCCTGCACCTCCCATGAGGCAAACCCTGTAAATGTCTCCCATCTCAACACATGGGGAATCAAATGCCAGCACGCATGCCCATATGAGAAGCCAGCCACCCAAACCCAAGCAGAGAGCAGTAAAGATGCTGGAGGGGGGAGGGTGGCTGGCTGCAGAAGTCCTAGGAGGAGTCTGCCCAGGACTCAGGATAGATGAGAGATAGGCAACCATGAGCAAGCTGCACCAGGCCCCTGGAAAAGCTCCAATACTGAGTGCTCCCCACCTACCCAGCAACTGTGGAATATTTAACTATATAAGGATGTGTTATATTTGTCTATGCTGCCTTTGTTAACAAAGTAAAGATGATCCTGGAGGTGGTGCAGGCCTTTAATACCAGCACTTGGGAGGCAGAGGCAGGCAGATCTCTGTGAATTCAAGGCCAGCCTGGTCTACAGTGATAGTTCCAGGACAGCCAGGGCTACACAGAGAAACCCTGTCTGGAAAGAAAGAAAAAAGAAAGACAGAAAAAGGGAAAAGAAAAGAAAAAAGTGTTACATTTGCTTGTGCTCCATTTGTTTAGTTATGTAAAGATCTGTTGCACCTTGTCTGCCTAAGGCACCTGATTGGCCCAATAAAGAGCTGAACAGCCAACAGCTAGGCAGGAGAAAGGCTAGGTGGGGTGGGGTAGGCAGAGGGAATAAATATGAGGAGGAATCTAGAGAATAAAAGGGGAGAGAAGATAGGGAGAAAGGGAGACTTCCGGAGCCAGTCACCAGACAGAAGCAAGAAAAGTAAGACATACAGGGGAAAGGGTAACAATCCCCGAGGCAAAAGGACATAAAGAGACACGGATTAATTTAAGTTAAAAGAGCCAGCCAGAAACAAGCCTGAGCTAGGCTGAGCATTCAAACTAATAAGAAGACTCTGTGTCATGTATTGGGAGCTGGTTGGTGGCCTCAAAGACAAAGCCTGGAGCACCCAGCAAATAGAGGGACTAGAGGACATCAGCACAATCAGCAGTCGGAGCATCAAATGTGTCTAAGTCAATAAAAAAAATTCTCTGTCACACCAGGACAGGAATGGATATGAGAAAAGCCCCCAACTGCAAAAATGGTGGGGTCTAGTGGGACATGGGTGGGTCATGGGGCTGCCCTTTCAGGAGCAGCAACAGCATTCAATAAAGCTGACAGACAAGAGTGCAGTCATAGAAGGAATAAAACCAAACGTGGTGACGTGGTGAGGATAGAGCTCAATGGTGGAGGATGTAAGTAGGTTGTAAAAGGCCTTGGATTCAACACCAGAATGTGTATGTGTGTATTGTGTGTGTGTGTGTGTGTGCACGCACGCATGTGTGCACAAGAATCCATAGAATCTGTTATCAAACAGAAATGATAACGCTGGAAAATGCAACAGTTAAAAGCACACCTACTTCCGGTGGTACTGGCAGTCCTTATGTGTACTACAACATAAGATTAGTTAGTCGGAAGCACAGAGGATCATAACTAGGCAGAGAGAAGCATATGTGTGACAACGGGTGTAAGAATATGAAAGGGTCGGCCAGAGTCACAGGAGCCCTTCCAAGGACAGATGGGAGATGGGACAAAACAGCCAAGACCAAGAATCCCCACAACAGAAAGACATAAACCTCCAGGCTCAAGATGATCCAGCCCCCAATATGAAGCAAACCATACAAGGTCCTGACTGGAACACTTCTGTCTTAATCAGGGTGTTGGGTGCTGTAAGACACCATGACCAAAAGCAATTTGGGAAGGAAAGAGTTTATTTCAGCTTATACATCCCAAGCACAGTCCACCATGAAGGAACTCTGGGCAAAAACGTAGGTCAGGAACCTGAGGCAGGAGCTGATGCAGAGGCCATGGAGAAGTGCTCCTCAAGGTCCGCTCAGCCTGTTTCCTTCCTTTCTCCCTTTTCCTCCCTTTCTTCCTTCCTTTCTTTCTCTTTCCTTCTTTCTTTTCTTCAACTGTGTAAAGAGTTTTCTTTTAATGTATAAAACTAGACAAAATTATTTTGGGGGATTTCACCTGTGATCCCTTCACTGTCCATTGAGGTCACTCAAGTTTAAGGTTTCTGAACTAACCAGTTCTCAAAGAAAGGTCTTTACTCCAGTTATGATTCTTCTATTCTCTCATCTCTCTTTGAATCAAACACATACCTAGGACAACTCTGAAGTTCTCCACCAGAGGGTCTCTGGCAATTCCTTCAAACAATGTACCTTAGGAATCCTCCTAAAGCAGGTCTGCTCTCACTTGCTGACGCCCCTTTTCTCTCAAGAATGAGTTCATGCCATGTTCCTCCCTAACTGCTCAGAATGCTAATCTGTGTGCAGCATATGCCAGCACTACACTGAAACAAGCATCCATCCAAGGGATCTTCCACTCCAGCCTCATGTTCAAACTTCATCCACAGGCATCCCTGTTGAGCCGCCTTGGCTACCAAAGCTCATACTGGACAATCAGCTCTGGGTTGCAGAAGAGGATTTATTTGTGCACCTGCTTCCCATGCCAACCTGCTTTCTTACACACCCAAAGCCATTTGCCCAGGAGTGGCACTGCACACAGTGGGCTGGGAGGTCACTGTTTAAGAAAAGGACCACAAACCTGCCTAGAAGCCAGTCTTATGGAGACATTTTCTCAACTTACAATCCTTCCTCCCAAATGACTCCAGCTTATGTCAAGCTGACATAAAACCAACCGGCACAACTGCCAAAAATCAGTATTTTCAAACAGAAGTTTCGAGAAGCCACACACCAGGAGACCCACTGTAGCAGAAACCAAGGAGCAGAGATGGGGGAAACCAACATTGACCCAAACCTTGGCTCTGTAACAATCTGGCTTAGCAAGTCAAAGCTCCTCTGTGCCCACCTTAAAATGGGAATAGTCAGGATTCTTTCTCGTAGAATTGCTGAGAAGTTCAAAACCTTTGACAAATATGACACACTTCACAAAACCAAGGCACCCGAAAGAGACCAGCAATTGCAAGCAGTGACTATAGGTGAAGCTGGGAAAATAGGTCACAAGGCAGTATCTCCCCCTAATGCCTGATATGCACACTACAGAACACGAAAAAAGGAGGGAGGGAGGAAAAACCTACCTGTGACATCCAGACGGAAGGAGACTTTCTGTCCCCCGGCCTCGCAGCTGTATTCCCCAGCATCCGCCTTGCCCGCCTGCTGCACCACCAGCCTCCTCTCGCAGCCCGAGGCCTCCACTCGGACCTTTGAGCCAGAGCTCAACTTCTTCCCGTCCTTGAACCAGGTCACCTCAGTCTGGGCCTGGGCCACTTTGCAGCTCAGTGTAGCACTGGCGCCTGCCTCTGCCTTCACCTCGCTGCGTGTCTGCTGCTCCTTGGCGAACACCACCTTGGGCTCTGAGAACAGACAACATCAGAAACCATTTGAGTTATGAAAGTCACATGGAGACAAGGCCTGGATGAGGCTACCGGAAAGGGGGAGGGATGAACTCCCTCAAACCTCTCAGCATTAAACCACAGTTCATCCACACATCCCGCCCGCCGCTTCAGGGGCAGTTAAGGCAGGGCAGAGTCACTGGTGAAGGACTATGGACTAGACACTACTTTATAACAGTAACTCAGTGCTGACAAGTGAGCCACCGCCCCAAGAGCTGCTCAGTCCTCATCTGCAAGCATAAATCAGATTCAAGGGGACATTCTCACATCGAAGAGTTCAGCCTGAACTAGGGGGAAGCACAGTGGTAAAGCACTTGCCTAGCGGGCACCAGCAGGATGAGCACACGCATGCGCACGCGTACACATAGACACGCGTGCGCATGCGGACACACGCGCGCACACACACATACACACGTGTGCGCACGAGGACAGGGACACACACACACACATGGCATCTGTCTGCCACTCCACAGGTCCTCATGTGTTCCACAAGGAATCCAGGAATCCTGAACTAATATTGCAGGAGCTAGCTGTGTGGTTTGTAAGGAGAAAAAGTCCATGGGGAAAGCTAAAGTCACTCCTGACCATCCAGAGACTGGAAGTTAACTAAGAACAACTGCAGTGCCAGGCAGTGGTACCCTACACCTTTAATCCCAGCACTTGGGAGGCAGAGGCACGCGGATCTCTGTGAGTTCGAGGCCAGCCTACTCTACAGAGCGAGTTCCAGGACAGTCAGGGCTACACAAAGAAACCCTGTCTTGAAAAACCAAAAATAAGCAAAAACAACAACTTCAGTTACCTCTTGGTAGCTGTGAGAACAGAGAACTCACATAGTGATTAACTGGACTTGAGGTACCTGCAAGGTCAGAGGACAGCGTCGCCAGCTCTGAGTTATAGGTCAATAAGTACAAGCTGGAGTCAGAGATGAAAGAGGAGGGGCTTCTGTCCCCTAATTGGACTGGCACTGCAGGCGATCTCTCTGATTGGGCCAGGAAATCTGGCATCAGGATATGGGGCTCTCTAATTGGCTGACTAAAATGTAATTAATTGCCTCGGTCTCTGCCCAGTTTCTGCCAGGAGTCCTATAAAAAAACCTCCAGACAGGGCTGGAGAGATGGTTCAGTTAAGAGCACTGGCTGCTCTTTCAGAGGTCCTGAGTTCAATTCCCAGCAACCACGACATGGCTTACAACTATCTGTAATGAGATCTGGTGTCCTCTTCTGGCCTGCAGGCAGACTTGCAGATAGGATGCTGTATACAAAATAAATAAATCTTTTAAAACAAACAAAAAGACCTTCCAGACAAAAGAAGTTCGATGTCTTTTCCTCTCTGGGATCCCCCGCTCACTCTTGGGGGTGGGGAGGGAGGTCTTTCACTTTTCCCTAATTTCTCTTAACAAAACCTGCTCTACTTCGCTGCTCCCATAACTTATCCGAATCTCTGAATCTCTTATGTTCTCTGGCATAAAGAAACAAACTAAGGACCATTGGCTCAGGCTGACTTTTGGTGGTCATTGAGTTTCTGGTGCCTTACGTCTCTGGGTCAAGCACAGAAAGGTCTTTGAACTGAGAAAGGTCTTGTTCTCAATCTTGCATTAGTCCCAGGGACAGCGGGGGAATATTCCAAAACACCTAACTGAACCCTGGCAGCCCCAGGTTCAGTGTTGATATAGTTTCAAATATGATTATGTGACTGAAATTCCTCCTTACCCTGGCTGAACATGAAATAAAAATTCTCTTTAAAAGACAGCTCTTGCTGGACAGGGTGAGACTACAGAGAGCTGTGGGAGGGACCTCAAACAGACACTGGCTGCCTCAGACCTACACACAAGTAGGACCAGAGTCCATGGCCCCGAGCAACACTGGTGAAACCTAAGAAGGTGCTGAGAACATAAAACAGAACATGATAGCATTAAGACACCTCCTGAGGCACACAAGAGGCCCTGACTAACCTGAACACATATGCGCCAAATGCACCTGGACCAGGCCACCTAGACCAGATGCAGGGATGTGATTGGCAAAGGATATGAGAGAGGCAAAGATGATACTCGGTGGAAAGACACCAGGGCCTGCCTGGCCATAACCAGGCTCATAACATCTGCAAACTAATTTAGTGTCTCAGCACCCACCTGTGACGTCCAGACGGAAGGAGACCTTCTGTCCCCCAGCCTCGCAGCTGTACTCCCCAGCATCTGCCTTGCCCGCCTGCTGCACCACCAGCCTCCTCTCGCAGCCCGAGGCCTCCACTCGAACCTTCGAGCCAGAGCTCAGCTTCTTCCCGTCCTTGAACCAGGTCACCTCAGTCTGGGCCTGGGCCACCATGCAGCTCAGTGTAGCACTGGCCCCCGCCTCTGCCTTCACCTCGCTGCGAACCTGCTGCTCTTTGGCAAACACCACCTTGGGCTCTGGAGATAAACAGGGACACACAGTTGCTATAACTAAGTTAAAATCCACCTTGGTTCCCAAACTCTGGTGACTCAAGGGTCCCATTCTGTTAGCTTTTGATTAAGGTTTTTAACTCTGAGCAGCATATCCATTGCCAATTCTTTCAGGAAGTTTTCGTGAATGGTAAACTCTCTAAAGATACTTCCTGAACATGTGCTATTTCACCCTCACTCCTGAATGACAGCTTAGCGGGCCATGGAATTTGCAGCTGACAGTTATTTCCCTCAATACTTTGGGCACCATGCCATCACTATTTTTCTGTTTCTTTTTTCTTTTCTTTTTTTTTTGTGGAAAAGGTTTATTATTCTGTACAAGTAGGTTTTTAATAAACTATTGGCTTCTTGTTACAGTAAATTGTCAGCCATCTCATTGCAATAGCATTTCCCTACCATTCAGAATCTGGAAGCAATCCGCCTTTCTCAAATTATCACTTAGTATTTTCTCCCCCACCTTCAAAACACAGAAATGGGTTTTTGAATAGCAATTAGCCATTTACAGAAGCCACAGGATACAGATAGTCATTACACAAGCCACAGTCGAGGCACTGGCCAAACCCTGCCAACAGGCGTGGGGAAAGATGTTAGGTTTTAGAAGCAGAAGTATTAAAGGAGTTAGAATATACAGTTCATGCCTTCTGAATCCCAAATGAGAGAAAGCCTCGCTGCCGTCCTGCCAGACGCCATGGTAACTAAAACATCACTCCAAGGATCCGGTACCCAAAATGGACAATGGATTAAAGCTCCCTTATCAATACTATTTTGGAAGCATCACCAGAACAGAGTTTTAGTGATGGATCAGCCTGGGCTCCATTCTGAACTGAGAATTTTACTTAGTACTAAGACTCTCGAGCATCCGAGAAAAGCTGTGAATCGAGCTTTGTTCCTCCTCGAGGGAAATTGGATAGGCTTGATGACTTCTGCTTACCTCCCCATGGTTCTAGTTCTGCTACCAAGTAATTCAGTAATTGATCAGAGTATTTAAGCAAAAATGAAAACAAAAGCAGACTTGCAGCAACACATCCTAGACAGATGACATTTTTTTTTAATGTCAAGATAAGGAGCATTACGCAGCAGAAAAAAAATAACCTCCTGAAATTTGCAGGCAAACGAATGAAGCTAGAAAACATCATTTTGAGTGAGGTAACCCAGACCCAGAAAGACAATTATCACATGTACTCACTCATAGGTGGTTTTTAAACATAAAGCAAAGAAAGCCAGCCTACAAATCACAATCCCAGAGAATTTGGACAACAATGAGGACCCTAAGAGAGACAAAGATGGATCTAATCTACATGGGAAGTAGAAAAAGACAAGATCTCCTGAGTAAATTGGGAGCATGGGGAGAGAGTTGAATGGGAGGGGAGAGGTAGGGAGGGGAGCAGAGAAAATGTAGAGCTCAATAAAAATCAATTTAAAAAAAGAAAAAAAATGACAAGATAAATGTAAATCATAAAATCAAATGCACTCATGAAAGGACACCTATTTTACATTATATTTAAAAACCCTAGAGACTGCCAACTGTGCATGCTTACCATAACATCTCGTCTGGGAAAGCCCATGAGGGGGTTTCCTGCAAGTACTCACTGCCGTGGTAAAAACAATTATGTGCAAACTGCAAGGTCCCTAATAGCAGCTGAGAGTTTATATGCAGAAAGATGTCACTATCTGATCAAATATGCAAGAGAAAGAAACACCAGAGGTCACAGCACAGAACAGTAGCCACCACCGGCTCCCCTCCACAGCGCTTCCCTGTATGACAGCTTGACTCCTTCATCTAGTCCTCACTTTCCCACAGCCCAGGAGTCTGAACGATCTTTTCAACAAGTCTCTCAAAGGTACACTGAACACCATCACAGGTTTTTGCACTTGCCTCTATGAACAACACGGAATGCTTGCGTACAAATTTCAGGCCTTCATTTCTACCAACGTCATGATTTTCCTTACCAATTTTATTTCCAACTAGCATGTTTACTATGTGATCTCTTGTACCGAATGTTTCCAATCCATTTAGCCAATTATCCAGTTCAGCAAAGGTGTCTCTTCTGGGAACATCATAAAACTAATATAACTCCCTGTGCACCTCTGTAATAGCTGGGAGTTAATGCTCTGAACCGCTCTGGACCAGCCGGATCCCACACAGCAAGTTGAGCCTCATCCCCATCCACTGAAATCACTTCACCTTAAAGTCGACACCTATTGTTGCTGCAAGTTCTGGATTAAAGGTGTCATCTGGGAACCTCAGGAGCAGGCTGGCCTTGCCCACCCCACGCTCGCCGATGATCAGGATCTTCAGAGTGGTCAGCACATCCTCATCCATCCTGCACCCTGTCTACTTGGACCTGTCCCTGTCAGTGTTTCCCGACAGACTGCGCATGTGCACCTCTGTGACCACCGTTTTTTTCTGTTTCTTGTCGCCCAAGTCTACACTATACCTCACAACTCCCTCTTCCTTATTTTTCATGCCTCTTAGTGTTGCTCCACTCACCCCTACAACAGTTCTCAAACCTCGGCCTCCTCTCTGAGCTCAGAGTCACTGTCTCTCCTCACCTCACCACCTCCTGGAGTAACCTCGGCCTCCTCTCTGTGCTCAGAGTCACTGTCTCTCCTAACCTCACCACCTCCTGGAGTAAGGAAGAGCCTCACACCTGCTCTCCTTGACTTTGATCTCCCCTCATCCAAATCAATTCTCCATTTAGCCTCTTAGAAGCTAAATGTATCATCTCCATGTTCCTATCTCCAGAAATCTAAAGAACAGAGGACCGCTCCCCTTAGTGGACACCTCCGTGTGTCTTCAAATGCTCCCAGGTGTGTGGGATAGCCCAACAGAATAAGTGTGTGCTTTTGAATGCATTTCCAATACAAATTTGATGTTCATTTTCCATTTCTATGATAAGAGAAACTGAAGCATTAGCCCTAGTCCTGTGTCACCAAAAAAGAGGAAGAAGAAAAAGAAGGAGGAAAGGAAGGAAGGAAGGAAGGAAGGAAGGAAAAGAAAGAAAGAAAGAAAGAAAGAAAGAAATTGGCCAATGGCTTAGAGTAATCTGAGGATGAACAGACATGGTTCAGAAAAACCTCTGAATCTGGGTCACAGACAGCCAAGTGAGAAATTTTATATCACTGTTCCTCGCCCTCTCTACTTCAGTGTGCTTTTGAACCCAGGGGTGTGTCTGCAGCTGCAGACAGAGCAGGGCAGACCAGGACCCCAGACAACCAGCATCATCTGATGTATGTATGGATTTAGTCTCTGAGCTTCACTCACGGGTTGTCTCCATTAGTTCTGAGTTCTCAGTGCAGAGCACTGCTCCCAAGAAGGATCATAGGGCAACTGGAAGTCTTTGCCGAATTCCAGGCTTCCATGGACAGTGAAGAACAGACTGTAGCAAACAAGTCTAACCAAAAGCTAAGGAATGAAATTCCACAGAGGGCTTTGGAGTGTGTTGGTATCTCCTAGCACAGTGGCCATGCTCAGAAAGGCCTGCACACCTGGGCAAGCTCAGTGAAGGCCTGAGGTAATGCTGAGTTCAGTGTACAGGTCCTGCTCAGGAAAAGTTGCATCCATGGACAACAGCCACAGACCTGCCCTGTCCAGTCACATGGTGATGAATATCTCCTCTATGGCCCAGCTCAGAGATGTCACAAACACGCAGACACTACCAGCAACAAATGTCAGTAACAATTTTAAATAAACCTTTTCTTTGAAAGAAAAGAGTATATTGGAATAAATAAAAAGTTAGTTCTTTGAAAAAGATCAATAGAACAGACTAACCACTGTCTCAACTAAGAAAAAAGAAATAGCTTGATTTAATAAAATCCAAAATAGGCCGGGCGATGGTGGCGCACGCCTTTAATCCCAGCACTCGGGAGGCAGAGGTAGGCGGATCTCTGTGAGTTCGAGACCAGCCTGGTCTATAGAGCTAGTTCCAGGACAGGCTCCAAAGCCACAGAGAAACCCTATCTCAAAAAACCAAAAAAAAATAAAATAAAATAAAATCCAAAATAAAAGTGAAAACATCAAGACAGACTTCCCACAATTACAAAGGCTCTCAAAACACATTGTGAATGACTGTGTGTCAGCAAATTAGATAACAGCCCTCCAGTGGTGGCGCACGCCTTTAATCCCAGCATTCGGGAGGCAGAGGCAGGTGGATCTCTGTGAGTTCGAGGCCGGCCTAGTCTACAGAGCTAGCTCCAGACAGCCAAGGCTGTTACACAGAGAAACCCTGTCTCAAAAAAAAAAAGATATATACATATATGAAATTTAAAAAAAAATACATTCTTAAGGTAGAATTAAGGAAAGAATTCCATCACAGTGGTGACATTGAAAAATACACAACTTAGTGATAAGTTCTCAAACAAATGCAAGCCCTATTTGCTGAAAACATCACTGAAAATATTCAGATAAATATACAAATGGAAAGGCATGCCATAGTCACAGATCTGAAGTCCTAATCTTAAAAAGGTAGTACTCCTGAAGCTGATCTGTGTGGCCATGTAAACTATGCATCCTTACTTGGTAAATTTGAGAAGGGACATTAAAGTTAACAGAAATTCAGAGTAACTTGGAAGACCAATATAATCTTTTCTAAAAGAAAGAGGAGTCGAAGAGGTAGCTTAGCGGTCAAGCACTGGCTGCTCTTCCAGAGGCCTGGGTTCTGTTCTCAGCACCACACTGCAGCTCACAAGTGTTCATAACTCCAGTTCTGGGGATCTGATGCCCTGTTCTGGTCTTCATGGGCACCTGGCACAAGTGTGGGTCACAGACATACACTCAGGCAAAACACCTATACATGTAAAATAATAAAGTTTTAAGAAAACAAACCAATTTTAAAAGAAAAAAAGGAACAAAATTAGTGGAGTTCCATCTCCAGTTTTAAAACTTACTGAACCGTCACAGTTCACCTGGGGTAGAGACACGGCTCAGCAGTTACGAGCATGCACAGCTCCTTCAGAGGACTGGAGTTCCGTTTCCAGCACACACAACAGCGCACAGCTACCTGTGACTCCAGCGCCAGGAGTCTTCCGCCCTATGTGTTTCTCCTTGGGTACTGCACACATATGGTAAGTTTACAGACATGCGGGCATCTTTTTTGCTTACAGTGATTTGCCAGGCATACTGGCACATGCCTTGAATCTCATCACTTTGGAGGCAGAAATGGATACATTTCCATAAATTTGAGACTAGTCTGTCCTATGTATCAAGTTCCAAGCCAGCTAAGACTATATGGTCTGACTACCTCCCCACCCGCCAAAAACAGAAAAAAGTTCACAGTGACCAGTTAAGCAAGGTCCTAACTCTCTCCTTATTCAAGCATGAACTCAAATTTATCAGAGACCTGAACACAAAACCAGACGCGGTGAGACAACTAGAGGGGAGTGTGGGGAACACATCTCAGTCAGTGTATTGATGCAGATAATGGGTTTGGGCTAGGACCCCAAAACCAAAGAAATAAAAACTAATTTAGCATGTGCATGTACACATGCATGCCCACACACACACACACTCAGAGGGAGAGAGCACTAATCCTTCCATATCCTTCCTCTTTGGAAAGTTGAAGGTGACGGTCAGAGCCATGTGTGACCATGAGGCAGAAAGAATTTGAAAGAAGATGACACAGAATGGAAGCTTGTGACTCTTGATAAAAGGTCAGAAAGGGTAACCCAGGGTTCAGTCCCACTGTGACCAGACCCCTGTGCAATGGGACACGCCACCGTGGTGCCCACAGAAAGGTCTCCTTCTCTATGCTCTGGGGACAAGGAGGGATTTTTTTCTTAACTGTGGCCAAACAACAGAGGTAACACTAAGGTCTCCCAGAGCAGAGTTTTCAAGAGATCCTGCACGCTGAGGGAAACCTCAAGAAGAGGCCCACATGGCCCACATGGAGACCACCAGTCTAGGGACAAGCTATTGCCAGGCAAGAGAGACCACAAAGGGAGGCAGAGGGCTTCCAAAGCAGCACTGAGGACAGCTCCATTGCTAGAAAAGGGGCCTCTCGTCCGCTACAGCCCCCTCCTTCAGGGCCATCTCAATGAGGACGTCAGATGCAAACACACACACAGCTTGGATTCCCAGCCCCAGGAACACCACACTGGACAGAAATGAGCCATGAGCACAGACCGCATGGTGTCTCCTACCCCATGAACTAGAGAGACAAAAGCATACTTCTTGTTCACGCCTCTGAACTTGGGGTTGCTGATTACTTGTAGAGAATTATCCAATACACACTCTTGTGCAGCCTGTGCAACACACCCAGCACCTGGCCCACACTGGACCGCTTCCCCCGGGGTTGTCCCATAACAGAGTCAAATGTCTAACCAACTGACCTGTGACATCCAGACGGAAGGAGACCTTCTGTCCCCCGGCCTCGCAGCTGTACTCCCCAGCATCTGCCTGGCCTGCCTGCTGCACCACCAGCCTCCTCTCGCAGCCCGAGGCCTCCACTCGAACCTTCGAGCCAGAGCTCAGCTTCTTCCCGTCCTTGAACCAGGTCACCTCAGTCTGGGCCTGGGCCACTTTGCAGCTCAGTGTGGTACTGACCCCTGCCTCTGCCTTCACCTCGCTGTGAGCCTGCTGCTCCTTGGCGAACACCACCTTGGGCTCTGTGGGCAGACAGGGATGCACAAGGTCAGAGCACTATCTAGATCAGCAAGGTCACAGTGGGAAAGAGCCTCGGGGGGTCAGCTGGACAGCAGATGTCATCCAGGCCCTGCACTCTCTGTCTCAGGACAAAAACCAGAGCCTCGAAACACAGGGAAAATCATGCTGCCTCATCCAGAATACATATCAAACCCGCAGGAGGTGCCTCAGATGCAGATAGCATCAAATACTGTGTATGTATTTCCTGAGAAAGTTTAGTTAACAAATTAGGCTTAGTAAGAGACTCATAAGCCAGGTGTGCTTGGCACAGCTACAATCTTACATTCGGGAGGCAGAGAAAAGCAGACCCCTGTGAGTTTGAGGCTAGCCTGTTCTATGTAGCAAGTTCCAGGGAAGGTTACATAGTAAAACATTTTCAAAAAAATAAAGAAGATATAATAATTATAAATACACATGTGGACTGTCCCAAAGGACCCACCTGTGACGTCCAGACGGAAGGAGACCTTCTGTCCCCCAGCCTCGCAGCTGTACTCCCCAGCATCCGCCTGGCCCGCCTGCTGCACCACAAGCCTCCTCTCGCAGCCCGAGGCCTCCACTCGAACCTTCGAGCCAGAGCTCAGCTTCTTCCCGTCCTTGAACCAGGTCACCTCAGTCTGGGCCTGGGCCACTTTGCAGCTTAGTGTAGCATTGGCCCCTACCTCTGTTTTCACCTCACTGTGAGCCTGCTGCTCCTTAGCGAACACCACCTTGGGCTCTGGGGACAGATAGGAATGCACAAGGTCAGAGACCGCAGACTATACATAACCCTTCTTCAGGGCCTGGGGCTCATCAGAGCCCAGGCATGGCCAAGGCAACACTTCCCATAATTGACAAATCATCATGTGATCATAAACAAGGTTCTGTGTCACATGGGACCCAAGCTGCATTGCTGAATCTTCATGTGTGGAAAGTCTGGGCATGCAGGATCTTGTCACTGCCCTAAGAACCTGCAAGACCACTCTGATGCTTGCTGGCAGGTGAGCTACTGTAGCCCTTAAGGCCATCACTGCTAGTGTCCCTTAACAATACCTATCCTGACATTTAAGGACAGAACTCTGACTCTTCCCTGTCTTGGAACCCCCAGAAACTTCAGACCATCCATGGCTGTCTAGCCCTCTTACATTCTGAGACCACAAACAGCAAGAAGAGGCACAGTTTGAAGAAATGGGCACCTCAATCCCAAACCAGAAACCCACATCTTTCTGGACCACAGAGGAGAGGAAGTGCAAGACAGCAAAATGCAATAAAATCAAGCAGGAAAGAGTGACCACATGGTGTATGGCCTTTTCCCAGACTCAAGGACAGGGTGGAGAGGGTTGGTCACACATTCATGGTCTCATGGGAATTATGACATGGCCAAGGAGGGCTCCCAGAACCCTGGGGACCAGCAAGTAGGAATGGACAGACAGAAGCATCTCCTGCCATCTGCGGGACTTGCTCTGCAGCCATGGGATTCCCCCACAGCCAACAGCCTAGACCCCAACCATACTTAAGTTCACTTTTCAAGCTCATCACCCCAGGTTGGTGTTTCCAGGGAAACTCCCCCAAGATTGGCTCACCATCAGCCTAAGTTGATCAGACCTATAAGTCACTGGACAGAGCTGAAGACACACAAAATCTGAGGTCTAAGGACAGGGAGAACACCAGCCCAAGATACCTGAAATGTCCTGGAATAGCCCACTGAGCACAACCCTGGCACCCACCTGTGACATCCAGACGGAAGGAGACCTTCTGTCCCCCGGCCTCGCAGCTGTACTCCCCAGCATCTGCCTTGCCTGCCTGCTGCACCACCAGCCTCCTCTCGCAGCCAGAGGTCTCCACTCGAACCTTCGAGCTGGAGCTCAGCTTCTTCCCATCCTTGAACCAGGTCACCTCAGTCTGGGCCTGGTCCACCGTGCAGCTCAGTGTGGCACTGGCGCCTGCCTCTGCCTTCACCTCGCTGCGAGCCTGCTGCTTCTTGGCAAACACGACCTTGGCCTCTGGGAACAGGCAGACAAAGACACTTGTTCAGTGGTTCCTTCCAAGCCCCTAAGTCCTGGATTCTGGTTAATAAACTCTGGAATCCAGGAAACTCCCAAAGCCCCTTGCTTGGCAGTGCGTGTGCAGTGTCCAGTCAGTGTGTGATGCCAGATCCGATTAGCAGAGCATGGCGAAAGGAAATACCCAGGCCAGCCCTTCCAGGCCAAGACAGCGTTCTCCTATTCCCTAACCTACCGAAACACTTTTCACAGAGCAGAGGAAGGCCCCATTCATAAACACATCCCCAGTTTTCTCCACCACCTGGAAACTGACTGTGCCGTGATTTTTACTGTTGGAAACAGTCAAACTTAAAAAGCCATATTACTAAGAATTCTGTTGCACAGAATTTATACATGTGTAGGCTTTTAGAGCCCGTGTGAGGAACGCATGCCTTTGGGAGGCAGCAAAGAGATTTTAGCTGTGGAGACATACATGGACCCCACCCAATGGTCCAGTGTGGGGAACCCCAGACCTCTCAAGGGTGGTATGCACCTATGCCAGAACTGTAAGTCTACAGCATCTTCATGCAGGGAACAGGAGGAGATACCCTTGCCCTGTCTGGTGTCCGAAGCTGCCCTCAGCCAATGCCATATCCCCATGTCCTACTGCAAGAAGCACTGGCAAGAAGGACCCAAGCATCTTGCTGTTTTTGCCCCAGTACTCTTATACATGTGCCTCTGGGGTCCAGCTTGGCTCCCAACCACAGCATTCACAGTCACCTGCTACGTCTGTGAACAAAAAGCTGTGAGGCCTACAGGGTATGGATGAAGATGCCCAGACTTAGACTAAACACATGACTTTGACTCTCACCCATACCAGAGAGGTTCTATCCCCAGCTAGGAAGGTCTTCTCCCTACAGAGCTGAGCTATCCACCACCATTAAGACACACACACACTGGGAAACAGTTACCTACTGCCTAGAACCCCTCAGAGCATGCCTGGAGCTAGGGAACAGAGGATACACATCCAGAAGACAGTGCAGCCCCAGGACACAATGCCAGCCCCACTGCAAACCTGTGCTTACCTTGCACCAACAGCTGGTAGGTAATGCGGCTCCCACGACTAACACACTCATAGAGGCCAGCATCATCCTGCACCACATCCCGCACCAGCAGGGCTCGCCTCCCATCCAACACCTGCATCTCGTACTTGGGTCCTAGGGGCAGCTCTCGGCCATCCTTCAGCCATGTCACAGCCGCAGCCTGATCCGACAGCTCAGCCAGCAGCTGTGCCTCCTCGTGCAACCGGGCCAGCACCTCCCGGGCAGCCACAGCAGGAAGCTTGTTGCTGGCTAGCCCCAGAGCTGCTACAGGTCAGGGGTGGTCAGACAGATGGTGGGAACAAAAAGACCACAAGAGAGCGGGCAACAGAAGTCACAGGCAGTGAGGGAGAGGGGGGAGGATATGAGGATGGAGAAAGAGAGATTAAAGGAAAAAGAGAAACTCAGGAAAAAGGGGGGATTGGAAGGAAAGCAAGTTAGTGAAAGGCAAGAAGAGGGAGGGTATGAAGAGGAGGTAGGGGGAGCAGAGAGGGAGACCATGTTGGAAAGCCAGATGTAGGGGGAGTGAGGCAGAAGTGAGAAGGGAACAGGCAGGCAGAGAGGTGGCATAGGAATAGACAGACAAGAGAATGAGAAAAAAGGCAGTCAGAGATGCCATCCAGCCCTGGGGCATCCCGAACACATGCATGCATGCACATGCGAACACACACACACACCAGCCTCAACTGCCAGCCTGAGGTGAGCAGCCTCAAGTCCCCAACTGTCCTACCCACTTCATCGCATTGCCCTCAGACAAATCTTCTCCAAGAGACTACCTCTCCTGCCTACTACCACACTGCAGAGAAAACAGGACTCAGGGACTCGGACCTACCTCGGACCACCATCTGGATGCTGGTTTCAATGCCATCAGCCACAAACTTTAGCTGTGCCCCATGCAATCTGGCGGGCACCTCTCTGATGGTGAGTGTATGCCGGGTACGGTCACAGCGGATCACGTATACACTGCTGGCTTTCAAGGGCTCCCCATCCAGGAACCACTCGCCCTCAGAGGCCACCGTGAGATCCACAGAGAAGGTGACCTCACCTCCCTCCACTGCCTCCACCGCCTTCAGAGGTGTCTTTACTGCCAGCCCGGGGACTGAAGGGAGGGTAGAAACATGGTAAGAGTTGGAGACGGATAAGAGCACGGGTTCTGGCTCTCCCTCCTCTGCCCTGCCCCCACACAGATGGAGTGGCTGAAGCCTGACTCCCTGCAGCTGCTGGGTCCTGTCTTAGGATACCCCGTCCTGTATGGGGAGGCCTCAACATCCCCAACCCACATAGAGAGTAGGCAGAATCATGCTTTGGGGTCGGGTAACTAAAGGGCGGGTGGCAGCCCCCTGTGATGTTACTGGATGGTCTCACTCACCCAAGTGGATCGTCCCTGGAAACTCAAGGTAAGGACTCTGGCCAAAGTGATTGACAGCTGACACACGGAACTGGAAGTCCCCTTCCTCAGCCACACCAGAGACAGTAAACTCAGCTGTGACCAGCCATTCCACTTCATGACACCGGCTCCAGGCATAAGCACCAAGCTTCCTTTTCTCCACCACATAACCATCAATGGTGACAGGGCGCTCCCCACGGGGTGGTGGGGACCAGCTGAGGGTCACAGAACTCTCTGTCTTGGCCTTTACCACAGGATCAGCAGGGGGGTACAGGGGAGGCCTCCTGGGTGCTGTGTGAAAGATAGGTTGAGCTCACCAACTGAGAACTCCCTCCCCCCGCTTCGGGTCACTCAGAAAGGGAATGTCAGAACTTGAGTCTTTCCCTGGCACTGCTCTGCTGGAAGTGATGGTATCGCCCACCATCCGTGGGCTCAGAAGCCCCTCTCCAGACCAGCTGTCATACAGTTGCAGTGGGAAGGCCCCTCCTCAAGAAAAGAGCTTAGAGTAGAGGACCCACAACCACAATTTTCTGCCACCCTCGGACCTCCACTGGCAAGGGGAGCCCGCAGCACTGAGGGAGGATGGGGCGCAACTGTGTCCCTGCCAGGAGGGCCACCCAAAGACCATTCTTCCAACGCTTACCTGATACGCAGAACTGGGTGGTCGTTCGGCAGCCACCAGCCACAAAGGCCACCTCACCCATATCCTCCAAGGTGCACTGGAAGATGGTCAGTGTGTGGCACGTGCCTTCTGCGGTGATGGCTACCCGGCCCCCTGCCACCATCTCCTCCTGGTTCCTTAGCCACCGGACAGGACCCTCGGGGACATCTAGCTCCACCCAGAAGATGGCTGTGTCTCCAGTGCGCACTACAGTCTTCCGAGGCAGCTTTCTGGTCAAGTTCCCTGGAGTGGGAAGATTGCCAAGATGGTAAGACAAGCCCCTTCCCTGTGTATCCCATACTCCTTTTGCACACACGCCTAATGAAAGTGTGACTTCCATCTCATCTCTCTACCCATCCTGCCCCATCCTCGCACCTGTTTCACTTTCTCTCTCTCTCTCTCTCTCTCTCTCTCTCTCTCTCTCTCTCTCTCTCACACACACACACACACACACACACACACACACACACAAACACACGCACACACACACCTTCTGCCCAATCCTACCTTCTGGTCCCTTGTCTTTCCAGAGCCAGACTTAACCCTAACCCTAGCCTCCCTCTGACCGCTGCCAACCTCATCTGTCCCCAGCCCCAGGTCACTGCACACCTCTACGCCCTAGACCCTCTCCACCTACTGACTCACTTCTTGCGCACTTGCTCGCTCTTCCCTGTCTGTCCCGCCCAGTGCCGCCCAGTCCGCCCAGTTTCTCCCCGCCTGCCTTGGACCGAGAGCTCTGCCACGGTGCGGCTGCCCTCTGTGGTCTCACAGATGTACACCGCATCGTCGTCTGCAGAGACGTCGCGCACGGTCAGCCGGCGCTCGGTGCCCTCCTCCTCGATGCGGTACTTGGCGCTGGCCCACAGCCGCGTCTCCTCCTTGAACCACGCCGCCTCGGTGGCCGGCAGCGCCACCTCACACTGGAATGTGGCAGACTCTTTCTCTCTCACCTCCAGGTCCTGCAGTCGCTTCTTGAAGGGCACCGCCGGTTCTGCGGGAGAGAGGTCGACGGGTTTATTGTGGGGGGGGAGGGGAGTAACACGGCGGACCAAGGGATCAAAAATGGAGAGGGTGCAAGGTCGGAAAGATAAGTTGAAGAAATAGAGTGGAGAGTAAGAAAAGGGGAAAGTGGAGCACGGAAGAGACAACGGCAGGGTGAGGTGTGAGGTAGGGCTGTGCAGGAAGGGATGTAGGGATGGTGACTGGGTTCCCTACGGTGGTTCACGCCAGGAACCATCCTCGCCTGTTCATTTTGAAGAACCAGAGTCGCCCAGACCTCCCACTCAGAATGCAGCCACCAGACCCTAGCCGAACTTTTGTTAAGAGCCTCACCCCTGCGCATGTGTGGAGAAGCCAGTTTGCTCACCTCGCACGACCACCAGCACCGAGCTGTAGGTCTGGCCCACGAGGTTGGAGGCTGTGCAGGTGTAGAGGCCGCGGTCCGACTGCTTGCAGAAAAGAATCTTAAGGACGAAGTTCTCTTGCTCATCCTCATACACCACGTGTCGCCGCCCCTCGGTCACCAGCTGCCCGTCTTTCTTCCACACTGTCTCGGGCTTGGGCTCGCCGGTCACAAAGCAACTGAGGCGAGCGTGTTTGCCTTCGGTCACCGTGCAGGTGCGTGTGCCGGCGCCGGGTGGGGAGGGAGGGACGCCCTCTGCGCGCATGGCCTCGCGCCGCTGCTGCAGATGCGCCAGGAGCGAGGCGGTGGAGGTTCCGGGTGGTCCGGCAGCCTCGGCGTCCGAGTCCACCACGAGCGCGGCGGCAGCGCTGGCGGAACCCAGTGGGTTCTCTGCTCGGACTTCATAGGTGCCACCGTCGCGAGGCCGCGCCGATCGGATGCGAAGCGCGCTGGCCTCTCCGTGATCTTCCACGCGCACATGGGGGGCATCGGGTGGTCCCAGGCGCCGTCCATCTTTGGACCAGCTCACGGCAGGTTGTGGTGAGCCGCCCACGCGACATCGGAAGGTAGCGTCTGCGCCCTCGCGCACGCGAATGGAGGTGGGCCGCAGCAGAAAGTGGGGCGCCTGCTCAGCGCACGTGCCCTCCGAGTCTACGCGCAGGCCTACGGCTGCAAAGGCCTCCCCTATAGCGTTCCTCGCGCGACATACATACTGCCCACTGTCACCGAGTGCCAGATCCAAGATGGTGAGGCGGTATACATCCCCGTCCTGGGCCAGGCGGAAGCGTGCTCCTGCCTCCACTGGCTGCCGGTCCTTCTCCCAGCTCACATGTGGCGTGGGGTTACCCACGATCTGGCAGCTCAGCGTGGCATCCTTGCCCACAGATACCACAAAAGCCTTTGGCCGTGTCAGGAAACGGGGCGCTCCGCTGAAGGAGTGGTCCATGATACCAACAGGGCCGGGGGTCTACAAAGGGCAAAGATGAAGGTCGTGATGCTATTAAGATGAGCCAGTTGCCTGTGCCACATTCGGCCCTCTTCCCTATCCAGGGTTAGCAGGAAAACTCAGTGGGCTGCCTCCTCAGTAAGCCTCATTTTCTCCTCCACTCCCAAGCCAGCCTAGAAGCTCCAAAATCCATCGGTTCTGATTAGCCCCTTTTTGTGACTTGGAAGTCTAGCATCTTCAATTACTTGATGTACTTCCGGTCTACCCCCTACTCCAGCCTCACTACCCAAACCAGCAAGTCCTCTTGACTGCCAAGGGGACATGTTCTTCAAACAGCGGGAAAGAAAAGGAACCCTCACTTCTCCTGAAATGAAGCTCGTCCTAACGGAAGTGCCCTCTCCCACTGGGCTGCAGGTGGCCCTCTAATCACTAGCACCTGTCTGCCCTCAAGTCTTCAGGGAAAGCCTGGCCCCAGGTAAGAGCGGGTATGGGAAAGTGCAGCCAATGGCTACAAAGGCTAGCAAGAGGGTCCCTATAGTCTGGGGTCAGTACAGACAGCTTCTCTCTACGAGAGCTGGGGCCCAGCTGGGCCTAGCTTAACTTGGGGCCTGATGGCCAGGTCACACTATTCAGTCCTTAGCACGGTCCTGCCAACTTGGACCCTCTGCAAGAATGAGATTGCACGCCTCAGCCCTCCTAGGAATCATCGGCACCCAGATAACATTGACCTCTGCCCGATCGAGGCCCCTGCCAGCCAGCCTCTGATCCAGTGAGTAGGTGAGACTATCTGCCTGCACCGGGTCTTATATAAGAACAGTGGGCACGGGGCTGGCTCAACAGGCTCACCTCCTCCACCCCTGGCAGACATGAGCACCCCTTAACCACCGCCTCTACATCTGCCCCGCTTTACCAGAGCTTCCTGGGCTGCCTGCTATGGGGCTGGCCAGTGGATGGGTTTATGTTCCCCCGACCCTCCAGTTTCCAGTCCTGTGATTCAGGTAGCTAATCCCCCTAATCCTCTTCCAGGAGGCTGACTCTGGACTAGGACTGAGCTGCACTGGCCTGTTTGCTGACTCACTGTCCAGTCAGCACCTCTGTCCCCCACCCACAAACAGGCCTCTTCTCTTAGGGTTAGGATTAGCCATCGGGCAGCACCTACTGCGGTCTGTGAGCAGCCCCTGAACCCACTTTCCGGCATCTGTTCCGTGGAGGGTCTGCCTTCACATCAGTATCAGGGGCCTGGCATCAGAGGTCTTTCTGGCCTCCATACTCAGTCTACGAGTTCCCCTGGAGCACGGCAGGGCACCTTCTGAGTCTACCAACCATCCTATACATGGCCTGGGGTGACCCAGCCTGGGACACATAAACCAGCATATGCAAGCAGCCTGGCACACACTTGTTTCAGGGGAGCTGGGCCCAGCCTCAACAGGTGCACAGGCCCTGGAGGGGCAAGAGTAATTGGAGTTCTCCTAGCCCCCCACACATGGTGCCCCTGGGTCTCCTTGTCTGCTCAAGGCCTGGTTCCCTCCGCAACTATGTTACCAGTCAGTCAGTCGCACACCAAGGCACTGGCTACTATCATGGGGTCAGAATGACAGCCTCAGAGCCACTCAGCCACCCTGACAAGCCGGTCTAAGGCCAGAGAGAGGCTCCCGAGACTGGGGAATCTGTTCTTTTCTTTCCTACAGATGAAGAAACCGAGACTGTAACAAAAACTTCAGGAAATCTATCCCTGACAGGCCCCTCCTCTTGCCTGATTTGGGCTAGAGGCTCTGGGCATGTGTGCTAAGCAGGGCACTGTCCAGGTGACCAGCCCCATCCTCTCAAAGATGCCTCTTCCTTCTCCGAAGTCAGCTCTTCCTCAACACCTAGAGGACTTCTCCAACCCAGCAGGTGCCGTGGACCCCACTACTGCCCAGGGTGGATTGCAGGAGCCCCTGCCACTGGCTCATACAACTGGCCACACCACCCACACCCTCCACAACTTTAACAGAACTTGGCTACTTTGATTCTTGCAGAGTGGACCAGTTTTCTGGATGAACCCAGTGGGTGGTGACACACAGACACTGGCCAGAAGCAGAGGCTATCCCCTTCCTGGAACTCCACCTTGCCGGCCCTCTCTCTCCTCTACAGCACTCTGAGAACAGAACCAGCAGGCCTGTGGCCCCCGTGCCCTTCTATAGCAGATTTCCAAGGGCAGCCCCTGAGCTCAGCCTCACCTTAGACCCCGCGACTGTGGCTTCCCCCGCTCCCCGGGAAATTCTTTCCCGGAGTCAGGTGTCAGTGCCCCTCTGGCTGTCCCCTCCACTGAGCCAACAGGCCCAAAATAGCCCCAGCTGTCAGCGGGCATCCATCTCGGAAGAGCTGGGGGCAGGGCCACCAGACCCCCAGGCAGCAGGAAGACTGGGGGTAACCCGGCCAGTGGTTGCACAGTACCAGCCCCAACCTTCCCAAATCCCAGAGGGCAAATTGTCCCTTCCCATTCTGAGGTCTCAACGCAGAGTCACAGAAGGACCCAGCTCTGGCATTCAGCCCACTGTCATCTCAGGGAGTGGCCCAGGTTGACCAAGCCCCTAAGATCCCCATGTTCCACAAACCACCATGACCTTCAGTCCATCTGACCTCCAGGAGCAAGAGTGGGCCCTCCAAGCAGCTCTGCCTCCTCACCTGTGTGTGCCTGGGCTGGGGGCAGCGTCCAGGGGTTGGGGCAGCGCCCAGGCAAGGGGCACAGATGGTGAGTTAGGGGCTGCTGGGTCTTGCCTCCTTCCTGGGGCCCAGGCCGACGTGGTTCCCACCCAGCAGCCCACACTCCAGCCGGTCCTCAGACTGGACAGGGACGAAAGGACGGGCAAATGCTGTCAGCTGAAGAAGGCTGGGCCCGCCCCTGCCCCACCCCCATTTCTGGTCAGCCCAGCCCAGCCTCGCTCCAAAATAGCCCCTGGTGTCACAGTCCAGGATTCAGTTTCACCCTCAGTCCCAAGGAGGCAAAGGGCAGGTGGTCAGGGGCAGGAAGATGCCTGTGTCCTCCCACTGTGATGTGGGCAGCAAGGAGTTGGTCTAGCTTTCCTCAGACCAGCATCCTGGAGTGTGGTGGGGGACAGAGCATAGGGTCCCAGAATGGTGTCAAGAGGGTCCAGTAAGCAGTCCTGAGGACAAAACTTGACACTGACCATGAAGGGGGCCCAGGCCCACCACACAGAACCAGGTCAACATTTAAGGGGTCACAAGACTACACAGGGGTCTAGAATCGGCCCAAGGGGACACAAATCAACCCAAAGACCCAGGAGCAGTTTATTTCCTTTTACTGTGTGTACATTGGTGTTTTGCCAGCATGTATGTCTGTGTGAGCTTGTCTGATCTTGGAGTAACAGACAGCTGTGAGCTGCCATGTGGGTGCTGGGAATTGAACCCGGGTCCTCTGCAAGAGCAGTCAGCAGTGCTCTTCTTAGCTGCGGAGCCATTTCTCCAGCTCCTCTCCCCCGCCAAGCACTTTAAAGGAACCCATGGGCACCCAAGAAAACCCACGACTGCCCTAAGAAGGATCAGGGATCAGATTTACCCCAAGGGAACTAGGACAGTCTGCTTTCCTCCCCACCTGGCCTATCTAGGACCCAGTAGTGTAAGGGGATGGCCATTAGCCATACACTGGACCCTGACTCACCTACTCTGCCCTGTCCACACCTAGAACCCAGGCAACCTTGGTCCCCATGCCATTCTCGGGCTGGCTTGGGTCTGTGGTGGCCTTGAATGAGAGTGGAACCCTAATAAGAACCAACCTAGCCAGGGCCATGGGATCTGAAGCTTGGATTGAGCTGAGCACTGCCTTATGCCCGGGTGGGGCTCTTCATTCTTCCACTGTGGACTTTGGCAGTATCTGCTGCTTCGTGTCCCAAGCAGGACTGCCCATTCCCCCAAATTTGGAGTCGATTCTGCCCAGGAAGAAGATGAGCTGGCAGCCTAGGGTTGGGGGTAGCTGGTGGGATCCTTGGTCTTTCCGAACCCTTAGGAGACAGTATTGAGGAAGGCATAAGTTCTTCCTGCCAGCCCCACTTAAGGACATGGGGAATCAGGCGAAATGCCAAGGCTTGTCTTCTGTGGCCCACACACTCTATAGCTGCACCCCCACTTGCCAGTTCTGTGGGACCCAGGCTGGGAGCTACTTCACCCCTCCACTCTGGCCCCTATTCTGGAGCCAAGGCCAGTGTTCTGTGTCCTTGCCTGCACTCCGAGCCTGTGGTAAGGGTTCTCTTCTGATAGTATCCCCAATCCTCACCTGACAGAGAGGGCAAGAGGACTCTTGGGGGTCCTGTGTAGTTACATTCATTCTTCTCACAAGTTTCCCTTTTCATGGTTTCCAGACCCCCAAAAGCCCCACCGCTAACACGAGTGCCACAGGGGAGGGGCTTTAGCATTTGAATTTCATCTCCATGAGGAAAGAGAAAGGAAAGACACCAGGTCCAGGAGCAAGACCCTGAAAAGCTATGGCTGATGCACGCACATGGGCTCTTATGGGTGTGAGTGTGTGGTGTGTGAGTGTAAATGTCTGCGCAGCTGTCAGTTCACGTGTGTGTTGGGTATGGAGACATCAGCTTATGCGGAGGCATGCATGCCCACGCCCACCCAGGGCATGTGTGGAAGGACACAGGAAACTATCGAGCTCCCTGACTACCTCCAGGGCCTGCTGGCAAAGTGGGATCTTCTTTTGCTTGAGTGATACAGTTCAGGGTTTTGTTTCGTAGCCTGGGTTGGCCTTAAACTCACTCATGGTCCTCCTGCCTCAGTCTCCTGAGTGCTGGTATTTCAAGTACATGGTACCAGGCCCAGCTCCTCCTAACTCCAGGGTTGGCCCTAGGTTCTGTTGGTCTTCACCCTTACATCACTGGCTCATCCATGAAGTACCATTCTGGCTGGGTTTTCTGCCTCCCACCTGGGTCTGAGTGATGCTTGCACCAAAACTTCCTGAAGCTGCAGTGGTCCCTGTGCATCTCCCACCCATCAAAGTCCACAGGACTCAGTGCTCAGCCCAGGATCTGCCCCATTTCTTGCTTGCATCCTTTGGCAAAACAGTTGTTTCCTGAGCCTCTCTCATCATCATGGGATATAATAGAGAAGCGGATTCTTTTGACTCCAGACCCACGGAGAGACACCGGTTCCCACAGGAATGCATGTCCAGGGATTTTCGCAGCTGAGACGTGTTAAAGGAGAACGGCCGGCCATACACACTATGAGACAGAGGCTGGAGACAAACAGGTCCGTTGCCAAGCTGTCACAGCCCAAAGTGAATCAATCCAGGTTTCTACAAGGCCTGGACGCCTCCTGTTCTACAGCTCCTCCTCCTCTCTGACCGTGTCCCCCCACTCTGTGCTCCTCTTTCTGTAACCCCTCCCCTTCACAGCTGCCCTTCTCCAACACTGGCTCCTCAAAGCTCCCCTTCTGGACAGTCTGTTTGAAAGAGGAACTGCCCTTCCCCTTTCCTGCCTGGGAGCTAGCACTTGGAGTGGCTTGTACCCGTGTCCTCAGGATGTGGGTCACCTCTCTGTCTGTGTGTGCATTTGTGCTTCTGTCTAGTCGGGAGCCTGGCCACTTCCCTACCCCAGCGGGGACAGTCACACTAATGCTGAGTCTGAAAAACACACGCAAAACCCAAATTCATCCTCCCCCAGCAACTCTCCGTATTGCCCCTTTGCCAGACCCTAGCAATTACTCTGCCTCTCTGGAATTTCTATCTAATTACATTTGAGTGAGAAATCTGGCACCTGTCACTCTGTATCCTCTTCCATCCATGCACTTGATAATAACGGAATTTTGCATTAGGTAGAACGGCGCTCCACTCTGTGGGTACGTTTAATCCTTATTTAATATTTGGATTTGTTATACTCAGATTCAGACACACTCAGATAGAAAATATTCAAAAAAAAAACTCGCAGTGATGGTACGCACCTTTAATCTCAGCCCACAGAGGCAAAGGCAGTTGGATCGCTATGAATTTGAGGCTAGCCTGGGCTACATAGTGAATTCCAGGACAGCCAATGATACTCTGTCTCAAAAGCAAACCAAAACAAATAATTGTCTGTCTTGAACAGATATGAACTATTCTTGTCACTAATTTCCAAGCAAAACAGACAGCTATTTACACAGCTTTTACATTCTGTTGGGCATTCCCAGATAGCTAGAGATAAACTAAATACAGGGGAGCAGCTGGATACCATTGACACAAAGCTATATCGCCCCAGCACTAGAAAGCTGAAGCAGGACTGGGTGTGAGGCTAGCCCAGGCTGTGATGTAAGACCCTGTGTCAAAAAGCCAAAGGAAGAAGGGGGAGTGAGGGAGGGAACAAGAGAGGAGGTTATGTGGAATTTCTTCTGCAACCCCTAAGCCATTCTGAATTAAGGACTTGAACATTTGTGGATTTTGGCAACAGCGGGGTTGGGGAAGAGCTCCTGGAGCAAATTCCCTAAGGATATCAAATGACAACAGTACACACTGGTTTTTTTGTTTGTTTGTTTGTTTTTCACTGATCAGTTGATGAACACAGGGCTGTTTCCATTCCTTGGCTGCTGTGAGTATGCTGCAGCCCACGCAGGAGTGTAGAGGCCTCTCGGGCTAACTTCTTTTTGTTTGGCTATATCCCCAGGATAGGCACTGCTGGACTAGTGATGGACATAGTTCTAACCTTTTAAGAACCAGAAGAGATACAGACCAAAATGTACAAAAGATAACGGATGAGCACATTCTGTGACTCTTACACAGCCCTGTGTCCATGTTAGCAAAGCTGTACCATGTGTCTCCTTCAGTTCCCGAGGATCCAGCTGCAGTGCCCTCACATGTGTGCAGAGAGGGATGGTGATGACTACGCTCATTAGCTTGGCCACGAATTCTTCTCTAGTGTGCACACACACCAGATCATCCCATTTCACTTCTAAAAGGCACGTGATCTTCATGAGTTACACCCCAGAAAAGATGTTGGGGTCTAAGAAAATAAATTTAGGCAGAAACCAACAAAATTTGATCTCCATGGCTTCTGGAGCCCTTTCCTACATGTGCGTCTAATATGATTGCGTTGAGAGGGTGGGGTGTCTCTGCATAAGCTGTGTACTCTGGAGAAGCCCATGTTTAATTCCATCCTGGGTACTTTATTTGGGAAGCATCTCCAGGGCTTGGTTGCCTCATGGATGTCAGGCATCTGGCAAATACATGTTCCCAACGTAGGAAGCAAGGCCCACAGTCACACACTCACCTTCCAGTGCCCTTCCGGGTCAGGCTCTTAGCATATGTTCCCAAGGAACGGTGCCTTCCTGCCTACAACAGACCAAGGCTAAAGCAGTTTCTCCTGAGTGAAAAATGAGGACCAGCCCTGGGGCCAAGGGACAGGTGCACTCGATGCCTTGTCACCCCTGGATGGGGTCCTGGCTCAGAAAATCCTATTAGTGGGGAAAGGCACAAGATACAAATAAACCTTGAAGTAAGAAAAAAAGCCGGATGGTGGTGATGCAGGCCTTTAATCCCAGCACTTGGGAGACAGAAGCAAGGCGGATCTCTGTGAACTGGAAGCCAGTTTGGTCTACTTATCAAGTATCAGACCATTCAAGACTAGATGGTGAGATCAGAGAGAGAGAGAGAGAGAGAGAGAGAGAGAGAGAGAGAGAGAGGAGGAAGAAAGGAAGGAAGGAAGGAAGGAAGGAAGGAAGGAGAGAGAGAGAGAAAAAAAACAGCACCACGGGGTGGCAGTGGTGGTGGTGCACACTGTTGGGTCCCTTGAAGACAAGCCTTCACACCCCTACTTGATCTGTTTTGCACTGTTGTGGTTGGTTATTCTGA